CAAGGGGGGGGAAAGGGGTAGAACGGGTAAGGAGGATAGGGTAGCGGGATAGAGGACGGAAAGGAGAAAGAGGGGAGGAGCGATAGAGAGGGGAAGTCTTTGACCATGCGACGGATATGGTCGTTGGAGACTCTGTATCCGTAACACACGCAGGGGGTTGCATGAGTCCTTTCCAAGGCGTCGTTTCGAGCTAGGAACCCCCCTGGTTGTTATGTGTTGCCTGCTTAGTGGCTAAACTTGACGACAGCGAGAGACGGACTGATTAGAAACTGTACGGTTTTATGGTGAGGAAATTTGTATCCGGTGCGACTACTGGACTTATCCGGAGCTCCAAATTCTTATGACATAAACCAGCGTGACTGGACAAATGACATAAAATGGACAAGCCTGGTATCGAACCCAGGACTTCTAGCGTGCATCCATACACTACTCGCCCGTTATGCCAGGGGGGGTACCCCTTCCCTGATGGTTTGGGAGATCACTTGATCCCTTCCTCCAACACTCGCCCTCAATTTGGGGTGTTAGCCTCCAAATTGATGTACCGTGGCTGTCCACCATGAGGAAATTTGTATCCGGTGCGACTACTGGACTTATCCGGAGCTCCAAATTCTTATGACGTAAACCAGCGTGACTGGACAAATGACATAAAATGGACAAGCCTGGTATCGAACCCAGGACTTCTAGCGTGCATCCATACACTACTCGCCCGTTATGCCAGGGGGGGGTACCCCTTCCCTGATGGTTTGGGAGATCACTTGATCCCTTCCTCCAACATATGGTGCAACGAGGCTATGGCTACCACCAAGTAGTGATGTAAGGAGGCGATGAAGAGGTGGGCGTTGAAGGAGAGAACGAAGGAAGGTCAGTTGGGAGGTTCAAACGAGACCACCACCAAGCTGTTCCCTGGTTCTTTAGTTAGGATGGGGAAGTGTACTAGTGTTATTTATTGTAAATAAAGTACCAATCCGAGTGTTTTGGCTAATTCTATTTTTATGGGTTAGTTTTAAAGTTCCTGGGAATTGACTTACAGATAAACCGAGCCCTGCGGAGCTGTTTCTTTAGTGAAATTTATTAATTTGTCTAGGTGTAATTCTGTGTAGCGTTGTTTAATTTGGATTTAAACTTGAATTTAATCTTCTACTTGGTGAAGTTTCAAAGATTCTATTCAGTTAATGAATTTGGATGGTGTCTGGAGTGGCCCTTGAGTTCGTTTTATTTTTGTCTTTATTTTATCACTTGTTTTAACAGTAGCAAAATAACTGTTTTGTGTTTACACTTTGAAATCTGGAGTGTTAACCAGCTCTCCTGTTGAAATATCTACTTAATATTTCTCTCCTTAATTGCTGCCTTTTACTACAGTGGCAATCTTAACTGTATATCACTTTTTCGCACTGGAGTGACAACCAGAAATGCTTGAGAAAAATAATACTCTATTTTCTTACTTCTCTGAGGGGGGCGAAAAGTCGCAGAAAGGGTCTCCCTTTTATACTCCTTGGGTCGCCTTCCTTTTTCACGCTCTACCTTCTATTTACAGGATTTATTTACAGTGTATTTTTCTCAAACTGAATAAAAATGAAATTTTCATGCTATAGTTCTACTGTGCTTTTGCTGCGCTGAACTGCGGTTCTACTGCGGTCAGACTGCGCCTAGAATTCTTATTGTCCTCCCTCGCCTAAGCTATTTTAATGGTTAATTAGAACTTGGCTGCGCTGCATTTGCCGCAGTTACCTATTTCAAATTCTATATATATACCATTAAATTTGCTATGACTCGATGACTCTGAATTCAAACTTCGCATTACTATGTGTACGGCTGTGCTGAGACCTTCAGCTGATTTATTCCATTTTTATTTAGTGACATTTAGTTAAAATGAGACTGAAATGGTAAATGAGTGAATTATTCAGGTTTGAAACTGAAAGAAAAAGTTGCTAGTAGTCAAGAATTACTCAAACGAATGTGTTATAGCTCTCCACCTCATTAGAATATCGTTCCCTAAAATTCCCGCCATGGTCCGTCGTAGTTTAGTGGTTTTCGTGAATTTTGTTCATATTCTCTGATTTCCTTTTGTATTATCACATCCTAATCCTCCAGATGTATCGTTGGTTGTTATAGTAGGTTGTCCTTGAAGATATCATATTTTTATCTATTTTATTTAGGACTCTGGACCTCTTGAAGCTGTTTTCCCGCGCATTTTCAGGTTTCTAACTTCATGTCCTTGTATCTCATTCATTTCTGGATGTTTTCTCACGTTCTTAGTATCATAAATTTTCATTTATTCCCACCTTTCCAATGGTACTAATATTGTGTCCTATTTCCTGGTATTCGTTGAGTTAGCAAAGATTCGCGCGCACATTCGGTAATCACGTGCGTCGTTCGTATGCAGGAGCCGTTTTCGTTTATTTGTTCGGGATTTATGATATGCGCGGGTGTTTATTTCTTTCATATGGGCTTCTGTGATTTATTTCAGATTTTTCCCTCATGATCTAAGGTTGTTTTGCACTTTCCGTGCTTTGTTTTGACCGGGCTCTTCCTTATTTGGATGGAAATTGGTCTTCGCAATCTGCCGAAGTGCGGATCTCAGTTCCAACGGCCGGTTCCCTGCGCATCGCCACCCTCACATGTCATTACACATGATGCGGATTCCTATATTCCCGTCATGGGTATAACTTCACAACAGCTGGACCGTTTGGGCTGAGAATTTGCATAACTATAGTTTCCTATTTTTCATAATTTCCGTGTAAATTTCGTTGTATGTTTTAATTATGGATCCTACGCAATCATCGTCTTGTCCCTGAGCTCGGACTTTTGATGTCGCTATTCCTGTTATTGGATTTCTCATTAACGCATGATCCTTTTATTATGAAAATTTGGGAGGATTAAGAGTAGATCCTTTCCTTTCTAATGGGCTATCAAGCTTGTCTCAGTCATTACTAGTTAATCTTCGCGCTTGCTTTTTAGACATTGTCCTCGTTTTGCAGGAGTTTTAGTCATATCTCCATCGTTTATGGGTAGTTTCCCCTGTAATTACTCTCATTGGTTCCGTTTGGGTGACATCTACATTTCCTATTATAAACACGACTTTGACTTTTGCATTAGTTCCTGAGGAATCTTTGTTCCGTGGTACTTCCATCCTTGCTACGTGTGCGGACGTGGGAAAGTAGTTTCCGTGGAGGTTCTCTGATTATTTTTATAGTCAAATCTTGGTCGATTGTCCTAATTCTTGGTTTAATATTTGCTATAAATTCCCCCGAGAATTCCGTCTCGTTGATGGTAAGCTTGAAGTATTTTTGTTATTTTTCTTTCTTTCGATTTATCGTGTATAGTCATAATAATTCGTTGTGTAAACAACTGGCCATGGAAAGCAAGCTACAATCAAAAATCCGGGGCGCATACACATGTGTGTGCGATGACACAGACTTGGTACTCGGCCTCGCGAACGAGAGCTCTCTTGTAACTCTGACTCTTGCCCCTATGCGTGTACGTACCGGCGCCAGGCAGGTGACCGCCTCTACAGCATTTAGCGACCATGATTTGTTTAGGACTCGGAGAATAGAAAGTTAAGACAGTTATAGCACATCCCTGGTCACGGTGACTTCTAGTGTGCCTGTTCAGCGTGAGCTAGTGCGGATCATGGAAATTGCATATGAATGCAAGATCCTGCAACATCGCCCTGGGCACTATTCATGCTGTTTGAGAAAGGCAACAGAAATCAAAGGCGCGAGTCCTGCCGCTTCCACACGTCCAAACTACGTCTGACTGTTGCCTAGCCCAAATGACATTACTCAGCTCAAACGATACCCTCTAATGGAAATCTAGACCGTCTTCTTCTGCTCGTTTCTTTGCCCTGGTCTTCGTCACCCGTTCTACGCTGCGTTCGTCCCTAGGAAAACGCCCAGCTGCTTGTTCGCCCTATTGTCCAGCTCATGCATGCAATTACTTTCTGACTCATTCCCCTATCCATGAATCACAACTCTTCACGTTGTTCGGATAAGTCCTGCATTTACCCGTACACGGATCCTAGGCACGGATGGGAAGATAGACCGTGTGGTGGAATATGCTAGGTTACTGTTGACAGATATCTTGTCAATACTATGAGTATCCTGATATTTGATCTTTCTGTCGCTTGACACATCCTCATCCCATCTTGGGTTTTCCCTGGGCGTCCATTCCCTGCTCTCGATTCCTCCTTTCACCGGTACATTAACTCAGCACATCTTTCTCCTCCCGGGCTTTCCCTTTCCCTTCCCTGCTCAGATTCATTGACACAGTTCTGATAGTTGCTCCACACAGGAGGCATCACGTCCTTACTCCATCTCGTTCTCACGCGCTCTACTCACGCACAGTTACCGCCTTCTCTGTTCCTCCGGCTCTATTGGGTGAGGTGGCCTCAGCAGGTAGAGGCGTTCCCCCAGCTAACTGGTCCTCCAGCACAAATCCTCCAGCTTTCTGTCCTGGAACATTGAGTCGGTACATTGTCTTTTACCTCTCATCCACACCTCTCCAAAATTTTCTCATCTCAATCGCGCTTTTCCTTTTTGGGAGAATACAAAGGCAACTGGTCACTTCGTCGAGTGTAGTACAATTGAGGTTCGGAGTGTGAGAGCTTTCACGTTCTGTTTTATATACGCTTCCAAAGTCTGCGTCGTCCATACCACATACCAGCGAGTGCAAAGATGGAGGAAAGGGAGGGGGTTAGTTGGTGGAATGTCAAAAGCCGGCTAGGGATACCGCAAAGGCCGACGCTTTCAAGGAGAAGACAGTGTAGAATTCAAGATATCGTCACGCTCAGACAGGGATCGAGTATCCTGTTTTCCGCAGTTGTCGTTGTCGAACATTTACAATAACCTGCAACCTTCATGAGAGTGCAGGGCCGGGAGGGGTCTCCGCAACACATACACCTCGTCCTCCCTCGTCCAAGCAAATTTGCCAGACCAGACTCTGGCTGTGGTGTTTTGAAGTTCCACGATCACGAGTTGACCAAGCCAAAGATGCATATGGTCAGGCAATGTTATAAAAGACAGAGCGACCTCTATAGAGGCTGGGATCCTGCCTAAGAGCGACCACCCACTGTCTAAGCGCGAAAACCCAGATGTGTGTCTGGGTGTATTGTACAAAGGCATTGAGCTGTGATGGGACGTCTTAACTAAATTCTAGATGGGAGTAGGAGGCAACGGATGTGCCACCAGATAATCGAGGAGTTCAATCCAATCTTCCTCCGTCCTCCTCCCAGCAACCATCTTTCCCCCTTCACCACGTTTCTCGATCTCTCTCCAAGTGAAAAACATCCTGATAAGCCCAGGAAAATTATCGTGCCTCCTCCGCCAATCCTCAACATACCGACCACCGCTTCCAGGCAACGGTAGCCCAGTAACGTTCCTCCGTTTGAGGAAATCTATAAGACCATCCATGAAGTTGCTTGATGCTTTTCCTCGCCCATCGAAATCAACGGGCGAGTGACCTTGCTTATCGGGGTCATATCCTGCCCGTCGAAGTCGTTCCTCTTCCTCCTCCAGTTCTCGAAGCAGCAAAATCCTGCCAGCGACGAGGGATGGATCAGCGATAACCCGAGTAGCAAAAATAGCCTGGGCAGCATCTGTAAGTGCAGGTGGAGTCCCACTCTGCAGCCCAAGGACAAAAAGAGAGCTAGGAGGAAAGTAGGAGCTCAAACTCATTGTATGTTTGTAAAGGGGGCGAATATATTTCCCGTTGCTCGTGAGCGGCAGAGGAGGGGGTGGATGGATATGTGAAGTGTTGCGTGATTTGGCATTCGGGTCGACGGTAAGTGCATCCCCAGCACTCAAGAATGGAATTATATAAAGATACCCAGTTGCAAGAATAACGCTATCAACATCTGTCACGGAGGAACCATCTTCAAAGTAGATAGCATCGCGATCGAAGTGTGATAATCGAGGCTTTGGAATAAGGAAATGGTTCGACGGGTCGCCTGTCGTCTCTGCTGATCGTGCAATGTATGCCTATCACCAACACGGGTATAATTACGCCAGAGAAAAACAGCGGCGAAATGGAAATGTGTACCTTGGAAACGAATGGGGTAAGGTGGTTCCCAATATCCATGCCACTGAAACCACCCCCGACAATAAGAACGGTGCGATTTATATAAGGCTGTGGCCCCATAAAGTACATAGAATGTCGTATATCTCTCCGGAACTGAGACTTGGGATCACTGTTTGATAGCCAGTCGCCTTTTCCGGGGAAATTATCCACATGGGGATATCGGTTGTGACCAGTAGCGACGATAAGATAATCGAATTTCTGGTATATGGTCTCCAATTCATGTTCTGGGTTCCACCGCCTATAACGAGTGGGATTTTGCGGTGTCACTGATGGGATTTTTCGTGGCTTTTGAATGGTGAGCTCCCAATGGCCATGGCTAACATTGCCGAGCCAACGAGCGACAGTGACATTGTGCCGCAAATGAATCAACTCAGTAAGATTGTAATGTGCAACGAGGTCTTTGTGGTACTGACACATGGGCTGCGCACCCGGATATAAATTTAGTTCAGGGGGAAGGGGAGGTGGAGATGGGTATCTGAGCTAGGTGGATTAAACCTTGATTGCGAGAGTAAGGTGCAAACTCACTAAAAGGATGCGGAGTATTCGTACGAAGGTTTGGGTAGAGCGCCGTCTCTGGTAGAAGGGGTGGCTCAGGCTTAACTTCTTGCTCAAGCCTGTAGAATCAGCCTGCATGCATGACGTGAAGTCCCTGAAGAAAGGACACTGCATACCATACACCGCCTATATCGTAACGCTGCTCATACAAGACAACTTCCCAGTTGACATTATGCTCCCGTTGATACTCCTGGCTAACCTTAAGGAACGAAAGACCTGCTGTTCCAGCACCTACAACAGCTATGCGCTTTGGCGTCGAAGAAGTCTCTCGCGCTTGAAAATGTAGGCAATCGGACTGCCCAGGTACTCCAAACGGATGCTGCCATGGCAAAAAACAGTTGATCAAGGCTGGGAGAGCTGATGCCAAGCCCAGCAGCATCTTTGACACTAGTGCCGTTTGCGCCTCACCTGACGTTCCCACGATCCCTTAACTAGATGATGTCCCCACGGCTAAAAAATGATATACAATAGGATAATGCAAAATAGAGTCGCTCACATGATTTCTCCCGCAACCTCCGAAATCTGTCGAGCGTATTAGGCATGCGTGAAACAGAAAGTGCGGAATGAAACACGCAAAGAAGGTCAGATGTGTCGAATGAGCTCGCGTGGTTTGGTGGCTTCAAGCTTGTGCAAACAAACACCTGGCCATGGAAAGTTACGATCAAAGATCTGGTATATGTGTGTGTACGTTGGTACTCAGCCTCGCGAACGAGAGCTCTCTTGTAACTCTGACTCCATCGGTGAGCACAGTATTTGGCAACCATGATTTGTTTGGGACTCGGAGAAAGGAGATCATGGCCCATTCCTGGTCACAGTGACTTCCAGCGCGCCTGTTCAGCGTGAGCTAGTGCGGATCATGGAAATTGCATATGGATGCAAGATCCCACAACATCGCCCTGGGCACTATTCCAGACTCCTACCCAGTCGTCTGGCACTATTCATGCTGTTTGAGAAAGGCAACATCGAGTCCTGCCGCTTCCACGCTCTCGTGACACATCCAAACTACGTTTGACTGTTGCCTAGCCCAAATGACATTACTCAGCTCAAACGATACCCTCTAATGGGAATCTAGACCGTCTTCTTCTGCTCCTTTCTTTGCCCTGGTCTTCGTTCTACGCTGCATTCGCCCTAAGGAAAACGCCCAGCTGCCTGTTCGCCCTATTGTCCAGCTCATGCATGCCATCACTTTCTGACTCATTCCCCTGTCCATGAATCACAACTCTTCACGTTGCTCGGATAAGTCCTGCATTTGCCTGTTCACGGATCCTCGGCACGGACGGGAAGATAGATCGTGTGGTGACTGTTGACAATACCATGAGTATCCTAATATTTGATCTTTCTGTCGCTTTCATCCCATCTTGGGTTTGCCCTGGGCGTCCATTCCCTGCTCTCCCACACCTCAATTCATCCTTTCACCGGTACATTAACTCAGCCCCCCACATCTTTCTCTTCGCTCTCTTCTGCCGGGCTTTCCCTTCTCTGCTTGGATCCATTGACACAGTTCTGATAGTTGGTGCCGTCCGCACAGGAAGACTCCATCTCGTTCTCACGCTTCACAATTACCGTCTTCTCTGTTCCTCTGGCTCCTCTCTTGGGTGAGGTGGCATCAGCAGGTAGAGTCATCTCCCTAGCTAGCTAACTGGTCCTTCGGCACAGATCCTCCAACTTTGTCTCCTGGAACATTGGTCGGTACACTGTCATTTACCTTTCATCCACACCTCCAAAAATTCCTCATCTTAATCGCGCCTTCCCTCTTTGGAAACATAGACAAAGGCAACTGGTTACTTTGTCGAATGTAGTACAATTGATGAACTCCTTTTGAGGTTCGGAGTGTGAGAGCTTCCGTGTTCTGTCTTATCTACGCTTGCAAAGTCTGCTTCGTCCATACCACGTACCAGCGAGTGCAAAGACGGCTTGGAGGGATGTCAGAAGCCGGCTAAGGATACCGTAAAGGCCAACACTTTCAAGGGAAAAAGAGTGTAGGATTTAGAAAGGGGTTGCTTGTATAGGGCATGCTCCCCAGGATGATGTGTGGCAACATGTTTCTTACGACGGCAAAGAGTATAACGTCACGCTCAAACAGGGACCGAGTATCCTGTTTGCATTAGAATCCGTTACTCACAAACTCCAAAAGATGTTTTACACTACTTCGTGCCCAAACGTTACAGCAAGCGAAAATACCTCACTACGGCAAGGGAGTTACCAGACAATTCTGCTCAAATAGGTTGACTGCGTTTCGGTGCTCAGTGCTCGCTACGAATCTTCGAGCCCTCTTGTTCTTTGATGTAGTCTTTCGCCATCCTTGCGCACTGTGTTTCTTCGTCCTGGAATTCAAGGAAAGCTGGGGAATGAGGATGCAAGAGGGATCCCCTCAATAGGAAACGCACCGTCATGCAGACAAACATTTTTATCTTGGCGTCATCCTTTGTGATCTCCCATACAACTCTGCCTTCATCCCCCCTCCCGACTTGCTCGTTCCTTGTGTCATCTAGTTCAACACCTATCCAAGCAAGATAGGAAGCCAAGTCCCTCCTCAATTGAATGCTCCTTTCGCCAATCCCCCCCGAGATGACAATCCCATCAAGATGTGCATTAGGCGAGCTCCCCAGAATCTTCGTGATGTAAGGTGCCACGAAGTTGATAAGACGGTCAAGGAAAAGGTCGTATGCTAACTTGGAACTTTCCTTTTCCTCCTCAGAGGCATTGGTATCATTTCCAAATGCCCTCAAAGTGATGGCACTAAACTCGGAAGTCCCAGCAACAGCTAGCAAGCCCGCTTCTTTATTTAGAGTCATCTCTCCCTTGCTGAGCTTTAGGCCTCCCTGAGCATAAACGACCTCTCCAGCGGCATCCACCGCATGGAACGCAAGTGCTGGATCGACGCTTCCGCTTCTGGTTCCCCCTGGCAGTCCTTCCAGAGGCGTGAGACCCATGCTTGTATCTAAACTTTTTCCATCCTTAACACAGCACACGGAAGCACCACTGCCGAGGTGAGCAATCACCAGGCTAAGCGAGGAAGCTGGGACTGCCAAGTGCGCAGAGAGTAATGAAAGTATCGATGCATAGGACAAGCCGTGTGCGCCATACTTCCTGAGTGGGATCAGCGGTGGTGAGGGCGGGATCGGTATTGGATAAGTGTAAATATGCCTAGGTATTGTCTGATGAAAGAGAGTATCGAACAGTAAAACTTGTTTGGAGGATGGGAGATGTTCGAGACATGCTATTATTGAGTAACCGCCGGGTATTCAGCAACGTTATGGAGACGACCAGGTCAGGGGGCGTACACTTTACCACCTGAACGGCTCTGTGGTTCTGACGAGTAGCACCTCAGACCTAAGGTACTTTCAGGTACGTTATTGGGGCTGACTTACGTGCAAGGGCGCAAACTCGCTCAGCTTATCTAGCAGCTCAAGACCCGCTTCGTGTCCCGGCCATAAAGCCATGGGCTCCGCCTGGGAGCCACCGTGCACGACGCGATGGGCAACGAGCTTGATGACATCCCGCGCTTTTGTTTCGCCTCTCGTCTGTGTATCCACGTGGAAGCGGGCTGATAACGATGCCTCAATAAGTTCAATCGTCCGCTGAAATACGGCGTCGTCTATGGTGCAAAAATTCCAGTGAGATACAAATATGCAAGCGTGTGCGCCCATGGGAACTTGCACTCCATTCCTTCTTTTTCCTCTTCCGTACTAGTCTCATCTTTTTGTCCTTGATCATGATGAACGACTAGCTTTATAACCGGCTTCTGCCCTTTGGAATTAACTTTTGAAGCAGAGCCCAATATCAGGACTTGCAAATCGGAGAGGAGGAAGAGCTTGAATTTGATTGATGACGAGCCGCAGTTCTATCCGGGGGATCGACATGACTGAGATAACAACTGGCTGTCCTAACGATCGGCTCTCACCAGAGCAAGTATCATGTCCGTTGCACCCATTGCAAAGCGATCCCAACTTAGTTTCTTCACCCCTGTAAGTGTGGCGTAAGGTGGCTGTACACTCAGAACCCTGACCGATTTGTGGTGTTCCTCGTGAGAATTACTGCTGCTCTGGGAAATCACCCTCCCGTGTCACTAGTGAGCAGTGCGGCGTCTAGTTCGCCGAGGAACACAACAATGTCTTTGTAACTGCCATTGCGGTACCCCCCAAGTCGGCACCTGCAGTGAGCCTCATCAATGAAATTGGCAGATTATCTGCATTAGAGGGCCAGTGGCTGTCACCCTTCATTGCCTATCCTGTAGCCCTTCCCAGCGGCCTTATCTGGCTTAAGATATAGCTGGCGGCGTACCCGCTGACCGCTCACACTCCATGGCTCGTTGCACTCGGCCAGCAGCTCTGATGATGGCTGAAAGAGCAGCCGCCGCTCGCCCCGTCGACCTATGGAATGGAAGATATAATTAATGACCGACCTTACGTCCACGGATACTAGATGTGAGGACTTTCTCCCATGTCGCTTACTAGCTAATCAACTGATATATTTAGGATCAAATACGAGATAGGCTCCCAGCAATGTGCATAATTGACCCAATTCTTTAAACGAAGCATCTCCCTCCCAAGAAGCGCCATTGCAGAGGTGATGGTCTAGTTCAAACATCTACGATCCCATCGGCCCCGGATATGAACGTAATTTCGGTCCAAATCGTCAATGCTAGTCATTCGGAATTGGGTCTCGACTAGCTATCAAGGGGCTGTCCGAAAGAAATGGTACGTGGAAATATCGAGGGCAAGATAGTGGATCACAGATCCGCATCGCATTCTAATACTCTTACAACACAAGCAAACTACCAAAATGAAATAAAAATGTGAATATGAATTGAAATTAATGATCCTCATTTCGTTTCAATCGCTCAAACACTACTCCCCCGGAGGTGCAAACGATGATGGTTCCAACTGCCCATTTTCCGGATTTGAGCTGGGAGCCGTCCAGCCTGTCCCAGAGAAGATATCAAAATCGGGTATGTAACCCTCGAAACCAAGACCCTTGAATGATGTGGCAGCAGCTGAGTGACCAGTTGTTTCCGCCGCCTCATTCCTTTCAGAGGGATTGGTAGCCACCGTACGATCCCAAGTCGTCATATAAGTTTGCGCAATCGGCGTAGACCCGGACGAGGCCTGAGTAGGGACTGAAAAGAATGCCGGGCTACTTCCCGAGTTCTCGGAACGAACGGCGGAGGCGGGAGAGGATATGTCGAACGATGGAGCGGTCGAACCTGAGACGCTCCTCCGCCGCTTATTTGACTCTGACGTCCCTTCGTCAACTCGGCGGCGACGACGATGATGATCAGGGGAAGATGAGGGTGAACATGGGGCACCAATGCTATTTGCGGATGAGCCGTCTGGGGACACTCTACCCTGCGCTGAATGGCGACTAAAACTTGGGTGGTATTGAGGAGCAGGGGCATTTGAAGCGGAAAAGTTGCTCGGACCGGACTGGTTTAATGTTGGTCGAGCACCAGACGCCTCGTGGCCAGAATAACTCCCTTGTGATGATGACGGGGCACTCATCGAAATGCCATCATCATTCATTAGCCCAAGCATGATCCGATGACACCGTTCGGCGAGCGGCCAAGTGGATGACATCTCTTTCAAGGCGTCGACGCAATTAATTAGATGTATATGAGTGTTGATCGCTGTTGAACTTGGTGTTTGACTCGGAGATGTTCTCAGCATCTTGATACCGGATAAGTGAGCAATGGAGTTGGTGAAGGCGAGGTATATGAGGTGAGGGTTTGAGCGAGAGAAACGTTGAACAGTTGGATAATACGAAAGCAAGACGTTGAATGCAGATGCAGCCTCTAATGTTATTTGCAAAGCGTTAGGGACAGCAGGATGTGACCGACTGGGTATGCAATGATTCAGTTCTCTAATCATCCTGCCCGTTGAAAGAAATGGTGGACTCACAATGGTCGATACATAAGTATGATAGCAACATGGTAAAGCAAATTGACATCTAGCGTTGGAAGGCTCGCCGAATGGCCCATCGAAATGCGTAGTTCAGGTGGTAGTCGAACATGCCATTGGTCAAGCTCAGCTTTGAGGGGAGCTAGCTTGTCTAAACTCGGAATTCCGTCGCCTTCTGAGTTATTTTTGGAGCTGTGGTATAGCTGGAAGTTGATATGAGAGATGACAAGACAAAGGGATGCAGTATGTGAGAAGAAATGCGGTGCCGGTGTGTTGAAATTCTCGAGAGATTGAGGATGCCCAGCGTCGGGTGGTGGAGGGTTGGATATGGGGATTTCAGTCGCCCACTGAGCATCAAGGATCACAGATGGTCTTCCAAGCTGAAGGGATAATAAAAGATCGAGTATGCACACAACTCCCCAAACTCGACATCGCATATCTTTCGTCTCATCCGAAACTTCAACCCACGCCGACGAGCTGAGATGCAGGCCCAAATCCTGGCTCATGCGGACAGCGACGCCTTAAAGAACGTAAATTAGCAGTCAGGAAATTCTCAAGTCAAAACGCCAATCCACACCCATAAGGATCCACGCCTGGTTCTCCTTTCCTCGTCCTTGATCTCTCAGCGCCAAGAACAATAACGCCTGAATAGTCTCCAAATCCGCTGATCTCCTCACGTTTTGATTCATAACGTTGGCCCTAGCTTGCTCGTACCACATATCCGCCACAATCCTCGAGGCATCACCCGTCCCCATCGCCTTAGCTATGGGATTGGAATCCTCATCATCAAACGGAGTCAAACAAGCACAATAGGAACATAGTGCCAAAATGAGCGTCCGAGATTTGGTAGCACGTGAGAGAATAGAAGTCCGTGAGAGAAGGGGGAAAATGGGATGTACACATTGCAGGTACACTTTGGCAAGGTGATGTTGCACTGGGATTGGGGGAAGTTCGATTGACATAGAAAGGGGTCCTTGTGCGCCGCTTGGCGACGCGCCGAGAGAGGGTGGGGACACGCCACCCCCTCCAAGTCCAGCCGTGCTTCCTGTTCCATCGGTGCCCAAAGAGGATGTATGCGCTGCTTCGAGAGCATGAGTCGAGGGGGCAGTTCGCCTAAAGACGCAAAGATCCACCGTTAATGAAAGGAAGCCATCTAGAAAATCGAGAAAAGAAACAGAGTGGAAACGAGTCGCCGGATTGGATAAATCTAGAAAAGATAAACGAAAAGGGAAGAAGAAAAAGGGTCAAGTTGAAGTTGAATAGCTAAGTGTGAACGCCGGCTCGTGTTTACCATGCGGCTCCGAGATGAAATTCAAAAAATGAAAAGGTTGGGACAAAGCCCGTTTCGACATAGTGCCCCCAATTTATTTTCCACGCTCTACTTACCAGAAACTGCCAGTATAACTGTTATCCAACGCTTGATGGTGCACGCCCGTAGCCGCCCCACCATATCGTACCGTATCCGTATCTCTATACAACCCTAACATATCTGCACCCTTCCTTGCAACGTTATTATTACCCGCGGCGCTGGTGGCATCGCCACTGTGCCCGCTACTACTCGAAGCAGTTGGGATCCACGCATGAGTAGAAGAGGAACTTGGTGATGGTGTGGCACTGTAAAGTAACGACGAAGGGAGGGTGGATGTCTGAGGCGATAATCCTACTTGTTGCGGTTGCTGTTGTTGCTGCTGTTGCTGTTGCTGTTGCTGCGTGGTGTGTGGCAGGGAAGCGCGCTGATCGCCTAGTAAATCGGCAAGGGCAAGGTCTCCTGGCCATTGGACCTCTTGTGGGATGTGCTGTCCCACGTTTGATCCTAAACCTATGTCAAAGAGCACATCGAGAGGATTTTTATCCATTGCAGTGAGGTTCTGATGTAATGGTGGGGAGGAGGCGGTAAAGGTGGGGGGTTTGAGTTATACGGTAAGGAGGGTGAATTGGATGCAGTCGAGGCGAGACCGCCATAATCATCGTATGTCGGAGACGGATTCGACGATATTGAAATCTCTGTTGCACTGCTCCCGAAGGGCGAACCCCCACCCCCACCTCCTCCCATGAAGAAACTAGATGGTACAGAGGAACGATGTTGTTGCTGTTGGTGCTGGTGGGCGTGACGATGAGAATGGGATTGTCCAGGGTGAGCGAATTCGCGTCTGGGCATCGACAGTGACAATTTGGAATCTTCGAGGAAATAGGGTTGGTGTTGTTGTTGCTGATGTTGATGAGAATAATGCGAGTGGCTCGTATCGGTGGAAAAATGTGGGAGCGGAGAAGCCGAAGCACTAACCAGGGAAGTCAATGACCCCAAAGACGAAGACGGCGCGGAAGGCAAAGAATGAAACTGCCCCGAACTGGAATGCGGGGCAGCAGCACTACCCGTTGTCGTTCTTAGCGGGCTCTCATGCTCAGGTCTTGACACAGGCTGAGCAAACATAGCACTAATTCCATCCAATAGCTTACTGGTCTCGCCTTCTCGCCACTGAGCCGTACAATCATCCCATCGTTGCGTAACAGGTGTCCCAGCAACTCCACCCCCAATGCCTCCCAAACCAGACGCGGAAGCGGGCGTGGAAGGCGACCCATCATTCGAGCCACTCCCACCATCCTCATCATCGCCTTCAGACCCCCGCCTTGTAACAGGAGTCGAAATCCCACTACGTCGTCCGAAATTCGTCATCCCTGCAGACCCCGGAAACCCACCTGAAGATGAACCCAGTCCATGATGCCCGGCTGCGGATGCAGCGGCGGGTACGGATCCACCCCCACTGATCTCCGCCGAACTGGCGGCCATACTCCTCGCATGCTTAAGCAATAGTGGTGCAAGTTGGGGCTCCTTCTGAATGAGCAATCCCATAAACGCATCGTTGATGTGAAGTCGAACTTCGACGTGGCGGAGGTATCCTAATGGGGGTCCACGACGCTTTGTTTGTCGGGAATAGGTACATGATAAATTGGCTTCGGCGCATGCTGAACATTGAGGGTGAAGACCGTCACACTGATTGCATTGTAATCGTTGTAATCGTTGGCCGGGGGAGCGATGGCGGTCATGCGACCATTCGAACCAGAGCCAAAATGACAAAGCGAAGAACGGGCATATGGCATGGAGGCAAAGGGATCCGATTATTGTGTTGACATTTCATCGAGTGAGGGAAACAGGGCGTTATTCCAGCACAATTGGTTTGCCGGCAGGCGGAGGGAGCGTCAAAGCAAATGCGTAAATCATAGAAATGAGAGCAACAAAGTCAGTACACAACGACGAACTGAGCAAAATGTAGAATGTGGTAGGCTCGGTCCGTACCTTTTGTCGTTTCAGTCTGCAAGTGTCGCAAGCTGATAGATTCCACCGGATAACCCCATCGCCGATGTTTGAGGGATAGCGGTCACGCCAAAGTCGCGAGAGCAGGTTCGAGGTGGACGAATTGAGGATGTGATTGAGATTATCCAACAGACGAGCGCGGGAATATCATTTTGAAGACATTTTGGAACATGAATGTACGCGGCGACGCGTATGTTTTATGGTTCGATGATGCAAGTGTGAGGGGTTTCAAGGACGAGCAGGGAGGAAAGATAGTCAGTAACGGTTTGACGAGCAGAAGAGTTGGGGAAAGGCGAGAGACTAGAGCAGGCAACGAAGGGGGGAAAACGTTACGTTCATCACCCGACGAATATGAAGACACACATCTAACCCACCGAGGGAACGACACTGGTCAAGGAAGATGGATAGGCAGTTTACGCACCTGTCGTAACTTTCTTCACTCCGGTACTTCCTTTGCCAGAGCTAGGAATATTGGCACTTCGAGCCATGGCCTTTAGTCCCGCGTCCGAGGCGCAATATGGATTATAGGGGCAATCGCGAATGAAAGAAAGAAGAGACAGTGTAGGCCGCTGAGGGCTAGTGCTGCGTAACTGCTAGTGCTACTACTGGAGTTGCTACTACTGAAGTATGTCGAGGCCCCAACCCACACGTTTCTTGCCGAGGCAAAGAAGGGAGCCCCCCCAGCTCCGGGAACTCCTGCTCACTCTAGCACTCGAAAACACGATTCCCGAAGATGCCCGTTGATGTATGATTTGATGGGGATGGGCAAACGCGTGGATAAACAAAGAACGTCGCCCGTTGGGTTGGGAATGTGTTCGGCGCGTTCTTGTTTATGTTGACAGGTGGGCCCAGGACGTGTAGGTGGCTTGGGGCAGGCTTAGTACCTGTTCCTGCGTTCTTTCTTGGAGTTATTATTCGTTTCACTCTACTATACGATGAAGGTTAAGAGGGGAACGGGCTGATCTAGACTCTGAAGACTGATGCTACCCTTTTAGTTGAGTGAAAGGGCGGCGGGGTAGTGTCGAGTGAAACAGCGAGGGGCACAGAATGGCTAGACATGTTCGCCTCATACATATACAAAATTACAAGGACCATACAACAGAATGGAGACGTTGCAATGGAGGACTCGATCGGTGAATGTGAGAGCGTTGCGTCGTGCACGTTGTATATGGGCAGATTCTTTGGATTTACTTGATATATCAATAACTCATCACCGCGTGATCAGGGTCATCCGGACAACCAACGGAGGATTTGGACCCAAGAACGCCCAGCCAGCCGCCAAAAACGAAAATGGGGTAGAGCAAAACGGTGATTTTTGTTTGCGGCTAAGGATGAAGAGAGCGAAGATATTTGTGATGGGTTGTTTATTACTCTCAGTGTGGCCAAATAATAAAATTATAACAAATGATATTTATATATTAAGACTCACCATTAAAAAAGGGAAATCAATATAGTTCAATTTTAATTGAGAGGGGGAACAGTTGGGCTTTTGAATTCCCTGAATGGAGGAAGAAGACTAACCATTTAATTTTTATTGCAATATAATAGTTGATGTCCCCATTCACTTCCCAATTCAAAATCGTATTCAAATTGGGATGCGGAACCGGAACGGCATTTCTGAATTAGAATTTAGAAAATCGATTGATCTAATACATACCACGATTTCGGCTAAGTGCGGAACACGGGCGGCGGAAACAGGCGGTCACTCTCAACATCGTCTTCCAGCGTCGACTACATATCGCTAGCACCGTTACCCATCCCATTCCCATTACTACAGTCTAATCTGACTCTTTTCTCCCGGTTCCGAATCATCCCCATGTCCGACGGCGACTTGATCCCTTCCAACAATATACAAACTATTGGTGCTCACGCTGCCACGGCGATACATGTTTTAACCGATCTACAAATCGAGGTGATGGCTCTAATGATTTAGCCTGCTTGAAACCCTCCCCCCCCCTCCCATTGCGAGACAAACCGACTCTCAGGGACGTTGTCCAATGATCACAGACAACTTTTATTCAACCAAGACATCGTCCAATGATCCGTATACACGCACATTTCATTACTAAGCACAAAAAGGGCTCATATCTCCGCGCTTACCTGCCTGACAACCGCGACCGCCAGGCGCTATTTCGAGACATTCTATGCCCAGCTCCTGCAGGCATATTCGCCCCCTAGCACATGCCACTAGTCCTCATTTGTCCAGATGCTATATTGGGCCCCAAAGGCGTACTCTCCGATACACAACTTCGAAGTTGACGAGCGTTTCATTCAATCATTTGCAGCGGCCATTATAGTTTCGCGAAATGACAACAAATTGAAGATTCATTCCCATCACATATACAGTATAGAACATAGAATGGCGTGTGCCCACAAGGATTGCATGTCATGATCAGCGAGGAGAAAAACACGCCCTCTAGTAAGTGACATACTTAGCACTTCAATATACATATTATATATTGGCATTCCTTCGAATCCTTCCAAGCTGTTGTTGGATGGGGAAGGTCCGATGAATTCTCAGTTTAAGGCCTCCGGAATTGTCCAGGCGAAGGCAGGGGCACATGCAGACGAGTGCCAGTGTCGTACATGATGTGAACAGAATTCTCAACCAAAGGGGAAAATACCGCCACACGGAAGATATTTGCTATTATAAAGCCCGCAGCACGCCGAACAACGCCGGTTGGACTCTTCCGAGTCTATGTTGACCGGCTTGCTGACCCACGGTCCACGATAACGTTAGAATGGACTTCGATATCCAGCGCTAGCGATATCGAGCCGACATGCAACTAGGATACTATTGAAAGAATTCCGCTTTCCATGGCCTCTCTAGTATTGTCGCCCTCACTGCAGCTATCTTCTTGGAGTTAGACTTCAGACTCCCTCACATTTTCAGAATCATTGACAAATGCCTCGCAGGCTCCGCCAGCTGTTCTAGATGCTCTCTCAATCTTCATGCGGGAGAAGGTAGTGCGCTTCGCAGTGATATGCCCATCATCTGAAGGCCATAAAATCCATCTCATAAGCTCGATATGTAACTATCGGGCTAACGAGTATGTACGTATACGTACAGCTAGGTCCGTATGCCATGTGCATCCGCTTCTTGTTACGATGGCAATGAGACCTAATTAACAAGAATACGGTACCAGACAGGTGGCGCACGGTCCCATTCGCTGTGCTACTCTACGACAGCTTCCGCCGATGATGGTGCTTTGATGTCGATGAACAGGTGATTTACACCAACGGTAAAATTAATGGCCTCTCGCCTACTATATTACATAGAAGATAGCTAACTACGGATTTGTTCACGTTCGCGTGATTTTCATATATCTTTTCTTCCCACAGACCCGAAATCAACGAAAATTTGCAAACCTTCGATGAGCTATGATCTCTGTGTTATACAGTACTACTAGTTCGTCTCTTCTGCAGGCCGCGGTGATTTATCCAGGAAAGGATACATACACCCAAAGAAACAAAAAGGATCAAACAACACCAGTGGAGCTTTTTTGATAGGAGAACCCACCCCTCGCGCACGCCCAGAAGCGCACGGTGCATGCCAACTTTCAACCGCCCACAAGATTTGCGAGGCACCTCGAACCTCACTTGCCAAAAGGGTCAACTTCGCGGAAACCTCCAGGTCCATCAGAAGGCAACTATTGTTGATATGACTCAAAACAATGTCACAACGTAAAACACAATACATAAATATCCATACGTACACGATCGTCATATCAAACAACATGTCAATGCACCCAGCCAATGAGAAAGCATCCGTATACCTCGCTTTTTCACCTCACGCGTATCCCTATCTTTTTCATAACCATAGTATTCCTATTTCGCCCGCCCACGGGTACAGGTCCTGGAAACCTGCCACGTCTCCGAAATCAATTGTCGGCAGGCTCTCTCCACGCATTGTCAGTGATATGCATATCATGTCGCGCCAGCCGTTCAACCATCTCATAAACGTAACGCAACAGAAATCCATTTCAGCGGCAACCAACAACCGGAGGGCATGACTACGAAGGCCCCACATATGCGCAAAGACTATACGAAAAACACCCCATCAACGACGACAATAGCTAACCATCTATGGAAAGCTCGTGCTTCGCGATCAGTACATTTTACATGTCGTGTAGTGATATACCCTCTCGCTAACCGAACCTTGGAGAATCCAGGAAGAGTTTCATCTGCATGTTCCATCAGCCCAGGAAAGAAGCTATTGCTTCAATGGGATTGGATATGTATGGTGGCAGTAACCAAAAGAGGGTTGGGGGACTACATATCTGAATTATCATAATCCCTCAGGAGGCAACCTGGGTTCCCCTCATTGCGTGACTTTTGCCTGCGGGATCCGTTACAACAAACAGTTCTGAACAAGAAGGAATATTTGGACCAGACGAACGCGTGGTACTGCCTTGGATTCTGTGCTCGCGAAGAAGTGTCTTGAGTGACCGTAATCTCACATAGGATACCCTTCTTAATCTGTTTATCCCCGTTCGTCAACTAAACCCTGAAATTGATGCCGTAGTCCTTTGATCGGGCTCCTCTCTACCTTCACCGAGCGCGGAGGCTCATCCAGTGTAGCCAAGTCATTCCATGCGTAGGGGCAACTACAACTGTGCCTCTCCTTCTTTTCTTCTCTCCCCTCATTTTTTTGTACAATTTTAATGCTGCGGCCGCATGAATTCGCTTTTTGAAGAATGATGAATCGGAAGACTCAGAAAGAGAAATCAAGCCGACGCTTGCGGGCTTCTGCCGGCCTTAGGCAGTTACGGATGAAAATCGACCGAATGAAGCAAAGGCGAGTGGGCCGGAATTCTTCTCTGTGACTGAACTAGCAAAAATTCCTCAGGGAGGGCGCCGCTGTGAAAGCGGAAAGACGCTCGAAAATTTAAGTGAGTTAAAGGCCTGTTTTCTTTTTTTTTTTTAAATTTATTTCGGGCATCTTGCTTTTGATGTGATGATGGGGGGAAAGTAGGTTAATGGTGTTGACTAAGGGTAGGTATGTTGGAGATGAAGCGGAAGCGAGTTGGAGGTAGAAGCAGGGTAGGGGGATAGGCACGAAGTGCGTTTATATCGTGGTTGCTATCGATATATGTGCTTGAAGTTTGAAGCGGATGCGTTCAGGGATGAGGATCGAGTGGTTGCTGCCACTATCCGGACGCCATCTTTTCTGACGCTGCTGATGGCGAGGACGTGGTGTGAAAATAACAGTGAGAGAGAATAGGAATCGTGGGGGAAGGCCATTAGGCGCTGATGGATCGGTAATGAAAGATTGGCATCATGTACGGCCCCGCCGCGTGGGATGGAAAAACGGGAAACTACGAAAAAGGGCGGGCGCTCCCATTGGACAACGGGATCCACATCCATGGTGCAGGATCTGCTGAACACAGATGGCTTGGAGAGGACATGAGGTAGTGCACAGACTGTTCAACTTGCAAAAGCATCCAGGGCTTTCTACATTCGGATCGTGCAGGGGACCAGATCTGAGTGTGTTTCCCACCCATCAGGAACTATGCACATGGGACCTCAGGAGCTTAGGGACTTGGATGTGGGTTGGACAAAGACACCAGATTCCTAGACAAGGGGAACGCCTGCGCAAGCATTACAAAGCCGCAACTACTAGATCTCCCAACCAGCATAGAGACCCGTTACTGCCCGTTATTAGTGCTGAATTAGCCGGGAACTAGTTAAAGAAGCGCCTGCTTACTGAGGCATGTATCAGCTTCGAACTCATGAGAAGATCAAAGTGGATCCACTTCGAATCTTTATAGAACGCAACACACATTTGAGTCTTTCCAGTTCCATGATCTCCCGATACATGCTCCCCAAATAACCAGAGGTTCGCCCATACGACAATAGAAAGCCATTAAGTGATTATAGGAGCAGGAGTATTCCATGGCTTGACTGCGTATCAGCTCTAGCCAGGGATTTGTACAGTACGCGGAGACTCAATGTCACCCCTAAACAGCTGCAGAAAGAGATAGAATAGCGCACTAGTGTCCGAGGCCAGCGCGGCCCAAACGCCGCGGCCCCCAGACAAGTGCAAATTCGCTTGTCAAATCATTGCCGCAGTAGATGCTGGAAGTAATGTTATACTTTAACTCAACAGCAAAAAAGTGACTGAGGAATGGTAAAGGGTCCGGAAAGGGTGGGCGGGAGACCTGCTGATAGCCGACTTGTGCGCCCTAGCGAGGGTCATTATGGTTTGCTCCAGATCGGACCCTTCGCCGCGCTTGGCGGAAATAAGATAGCACAAATGCCCACTGGTGAAGACTGCAGCCACTGAGGAGATTGAACAACCTCTGAAATTGTGCTAGAGTGGCCGTGCATGCTGCGAACAAATAGGCAGGACTTTGGCCTCTACAAGATATTGCGAACAAATGCTTGGAGTGACTAGTAGACATCCGTGCAATTTCCCCCTGCTCTCTACCTCCGCACTTGATTTCATACTCTGTATGAACTCGAACATTGCGTGCAGCCATGAGAACTAAATGCCACGATATATATGGCAAGGCCTTGTGACTGTCATTCGACGAAATAGTCACGTGGAGTCCGACCTCATCGGTTCCCACGATATCAGCTGGACACCCATTCTGGACGGACTACATAAGCCAACAAAGCAGCCACTCATTGTGCTAGACGTATCCATTCCTACTCCGCTATGGGTTTTGCTAAGGGAGCCATGCTCTCTCTACGGCGAAATCAGGCTCGATATATAGTTGTGGTCGTCCGCCGATACACAACTGGTGGCCCACGACCGCAGGAGGTCCGGCCTGAGCGAACAAACAATAAGATATGGAAGTCAGCGGAAGATGGGATCGCAGACATGAGATCCGGGTCGACAATATTTAGTGGAGTGAGTAATTTGACTCGTATGCTCAGGTTTGTGATCCCCGACAACATGAATCGCGGAAACTAGGGATTCGGATTGTGTGGGACGCCCGACACGCTCATCCAAGCCGTGAGCAGGAGGCCTGATCTCCAGAATTTGACCGCCGTTTCGAATAATGCTGGAGTAGGTAATCGTGGGCTTGGTTTGTTGCTGGAATCGGGACAACTCTCAAAAGTGATATGTATGTATCGGATTTGTGTGACTCTTGTGCGATACGTCTCTCACGGAGCGCGGCTTTCTAGGCTCGTACATTGGTGCGAACAAGGCTTTCGCCAACATGTATCTCACAGGCAAAATTTCTGTTGAGCTAACACCACAAGGGACGATCGCCGAGCGGATAGCGGCAGCCGGACGAGGAATACCCGCGTTTTTCACACCCACAGGTTATGGTGAGCTCAACCCCTCAGCTACCTACGTAACAAGCATGCTCACAATCATGGATAGGAACAGCGATTCAAACCGGTGATCTTCCGATTCGGTTCCATCCTAATGGCGAGGTAGCTATCCATGGGAAGAAAAAGGAAGTGCGAGAATTTAATGGCCGCCACTACGTCCTGGAGGAGGCTTTGTGGGTCTTCTTCGCCACGATGCTTAGAAGTTGACTCATCGCTACGGCTTTTGACTCAGGCATGCTGATTATGCGTTTGTCCGAGTTTGGAAGGCCGATGCGTACGGAAACGCAATTTTCAGGTCCGCATCCATCTCGTACACCGTTCTCCTTCATTCTCACGGCACCCGCTCTCTCGACCGCCATGGACAGATATACTCAACAGAACTTTGGGGGTGCGATGGCTCGCGGTGCGAAGCTTACTATCCTCGAGGCCGAAGAAATTGTCCCCGTAGGTTCTCTCGACCCCAAACACATCCATATTCCAGGCATCTATGTTGACCGCGTCGTTCCGGCCGCTGCCCCAAAACAAATCGAGATCCGCACCACCCGCCCCTCTGTTCCTTCTGCCAAGTCTCCGGTCTCCGTCGTGGAAGAGAAGAAGGATGAAGCAGTGGCAAGACGAGAGCGTATCGTTAAGCGGGCTGCCAGAGAGCTGAAGAACGGGTATTACGTTAATCTGGGAATCGGAATGCCGATGCTCGCCCCCAGTTTCTTGCCAGAGGGAGTGCATGTGCATATGCAAAGTGAGAATGGTATACTTGGCATGGGTCCTTACCCCACCGAAGAAGAGGTAGATGCGTGAGTCATTTTGCTTCCCCTTTGATCCCCCCTGGATCAACAGATCGATCAACGAGACCGGGGAGGGGGAACTTAATTTGTTTGGGGCCGAATATCTTAATTATGACCGCCAATAGGGACATCGTTAATGCGGGAAAAGAAACGGTGACACTCCTTCCGGGTGCCTCTACTTTTGGCTCGGAGGAAAGTTTCGGCATGATTCGAGGCGGTCACATTGATGTGGCAATGCTTGGTGTACGTGCTAAGCTAACCCCTGATTGGCTATCGTTAATCTGATTTAGATTCCTTTTATCGTAATCAATTCCAGGCTCTCGAAGTTTCGTCTTCCGGTGATCTAGCCAACTATATGATCCCAAAAAAGGTTGTTAAGGGTATGGGCGGCGCTATGGATCTTGTATCAAATCCGGATGGCACAAAAGTTATTGTGCTGATGGATCACGTAAATAAGAACGGAGAGCACAAAATTTTGGAGAAATGCAACCTTCCGCTGACGGGTTTGAGATGTGTTAGCCAGATTATCACTGATTTGGTAAGTTGGTATTCCAGGGGCTCCCTCTAGGGTGAGATGACTGATAGCCGCGTGTTCACAGTGCGTCTTCGATATCGATCGGAAAGCTGGTAAGATGACACTGTCCGAGCTCGCCCCTGGCGTGACCATCGACGAGGTCAGGGCCAAGACAGGGGCACCGTTCGAGACTGGTGCAGATCTGAAGACGATGGAGGACTGAGAGAAACTGTTGGTTATTTTCCGCTGTGCCACCAGTGATGCATGTAGCCTCAAGCTCTTAACTTGCGGAAATGAAACAGATTCGCAGTCTACGAGGTCCCATTGAGGCCTTGACGAATCCACGTGCAAATCCTTGTCCGGGTGGCTGCAGGTGAAACCCAATCATCGTGATTGCTCAAGGCCAAATCAACTTTATAGGGCTAGTGAATCGATCTAGGATACACAGGTGAGAGTAGAGTCAAAGGTCCCTAGCTTGGACGGTGAGTATTATTGGAGTAATGGCGGCCCCGAGCGATTCTGCAGGCGATTGAAGCAGATAGCGGTGATCGGGCCGATACCAGGTACGAGACGAAGGTCCTCAATCCTTTGAACACTGTCAATGATACTTGCACCTTAGAATGGTAGCGAGTTCGCGTATGGCTTCCACTTTCTGAGATTCCGTCACTGATGGCGAGGTTGATGGTCAAGCGCGTTCCTCCCCATTGCTACCTGGGAAAAGGCTGATCGTCACAGATGAATATTTCTGCGACAGAGAGCCTGGGTAAGGGGGTTGCATACGTCGATTACTCTGGGGGGAAACCACCTTGGGACGTGGCCTTCTAGCGAGCAACCGTTGCAGCTGTGCTGTAGTGCTCAGGACTGAAGACCCAACACCCAAGGAACGCAACTTTCCTTCCCCTGCGTCAGGTACTCACTGTACCGGAAAACATTGTACGATTCAAACAGAGTGAACACCCGTCAGCAAACCATAGACCGGAGATGCAAAGATACCAGATGAGAAACACAATTAGTATCGGTGGTAATACACTCAACGCGCATAGAGTGATGATGAAATCAAACCCAATCAAAGCAACTCAGTGCAATCCCAAATCGCTCAGTCTCGGGAAAGAGTCAAAACTTTAAGGATTCACCCCCTCGGTTGAGGAGAGCGGACATAGTTGTACCTTTGCCTTTCACACCAGAGGAAGTTGATGGCATGATAGTAATGAGAGGGTTAGCCGCCTAGGAGAGATAGATACCTTGACAAGAAGCAAAATCCATGACTCCTCGCCACGTTGCATGGATGCACGTTCGCAGAAGCGCCATCCTCGTGACAATTGCAAATAGCTGGGTGCCACCACTGCCACTGCTCCTGCCACTGAGATTTCTTTACGAAGGAAAAAGATGAGTATTACGAATCCTTCTTCACCCTCAGGCACCAAGTGGTGATTTCCTGGATTGCACAGCTTCCTTCCTGCATGAACTTCTGGGCTATTGCACTCTTGCAACTTTGCGTGATATCTAACCGGCCGAACTTATCTCTGATGCGAAGGTATAATGAGGTGCGTATCCGCGTCCCCGCTGCACCTGGTTTCCTTGCCTCCGTCTCATCAAACGTAATTCAGCTCGCGTTACTTAAAGCTGTTCGTCTAGTTTCGGTCCCCCGCAAACGAGGACAAACGTTTGCACCACTCAAACTTCAGACATTGTCTTTTCTTTCTTATTCAGATCCACAAGCTGGCCCCTCACTTAATTCTGCGTCCCTAACTAGTTTGTAGATGAGCAGAACCCGGTGTGAAAACAAGGCAGACGCCTTCACCTAGATTGTCGACACCGGGAACAGCGTTGGAATGCGACCATACCTCCAGTGGCCATGTTCGCTTCACTTTCGAGGGAGAGCAACCCCATGGGCTAGCATGCTCTCATTTTCCTAGCAGTGCTAGCCACCAATCACTTCTATGTCTCTGTTGTCCAATCTGCCCAGAAATAAGAGTGGCTGGAGTGTCAGGAAAACGGTGTGTTGCTTTGTAAGCTCTTCAGGGCTGCCCTCCTTGATCGATGTTGACTTTCATCCACCCATGATCGCAATCGACCCGCTGTCTATAACCTTTGGGATTCTGTACACACATCCAGAAGCAATAAGCGGTCTCTACTTATGGTTCCCGCACGATGGCCACTTTGCTCTGCAGAAAGTCCAGTCCTGATCCTAGCTACCGAGTAGATTGATTAGTTAAGCCGAGGTTCGTGCTCCGTCCCTACGTGTGACTTTCATGTGGAGAATCATTAATCAGCGTTTAATTGCACTGCTGAGCTTGTTGTTGGAACATCCCTTCCAGACTCGCGCCTACCGACGCCAGGAGAATTTGAGAGGGTTCGGTTACGAGCCTAACTCCCCATATATTATACACGGGATGCGGACAACCCTCACCTTGCATGGCCTCGGTTCTCTGATGCCCTGGGGCTCCGGTTTCAAGGCTGCCTCTTATGACTGGGAATACTTTCAGGGATGAGGTCCCTGTTTTAAGCGTCTCTCGTCGGAGTCAGGGAAGGTCACTTCACGCCTGGTCCGCGGGGTGTTTTCCAGCATCTAATGTATGTTTACTGCTGTCATTCATCCATCTTTCCCAGGTTAGCAGGCTATGTTAGTGGGGGCATATCATCTGAGGAAGACAAAACTTCTGGCGCTCTTGGATCCACTCGACAAAAGACGGTTCAGGAAATGAAGCTTAAACAGAGAAAGTTGAAAATCAGGTAATCCCCGTGGCATTCGAGTGAAGTAATGATGGAGACGTGCAATGCATAAATTGGGAGTGAGGGATCTTTTTTATTGCGGAAAAGCTATTACATATTGATTGAATGAGCCGTTACAGTCGGATGCGTTGTGGATATTGAGATTATACGATAACGCATAACACCGAAAGCGAGCGCCAAAGTGTGAGTCGGCAACGAACTCCAAGGAACTTTCCTGAGCACAGGGACCGCAGCAGGTCGGGGGTACTCGGTCAAGGTTTGAGGAATTGTACAGAGCGACAATTAGACAAGGAGCGACAGCAGAGCGGAGGATCGTGCCATACCACTTACCGGTGTCGCGTCTGGCCGAGACATCAATGGACTCAAAATGGCTGATGCAGCCGTGCTCTGAAGTCATGCTCAGGACGCCCAAGAAGAGTAAGGCTCCTGAAAGGTCAGATCCGGACCGGTCTGGGTTGGAACTCGATCAGATTGGCGCAAGTTGAGGCAGCAATCCAAGTCTGTAGTGGCCGAACAGGTTACACCAAATTACAAACCACCGGTTTTTAGTCCCAACCCAAGCCCACAAACCAGTTGGATGTTTTGGATCAACCGAATCCACTTGCAGCCTCAGAGAAGACCCGAAAGGCGAAGACACCCAGTGATGGTCAAATCCATCGGCAAAATAGGTTTGGGCTAGTTCCAATTTTCCCGAGCAGAGCACAGGGACCTTAAAATCCGTTGGGTGATTACGGCACTGTCCTAGAAGCAAGACGCCGGGCTGATATCTGATATCAGAAAATGGTGGAATACTTCCAAGGAAACGGGACGTCAGTCCTCGTGCATCTGGACTACCTGAGTGGTGTGTCGATCCATCTGAACCAACCCTCCTACAGCAAACGGATCCAGGCCATAGTTGGTATAAAGGGTGCTTTCCCCTCATTCAGCGAGTGCTTGGCCCCTCGTACCGCTTCCGGCCGATCCCTGACAAGCTTCATATCCACCTTACGCTGGACCCGCTCAGCGGTCAGTTATGGAGAATGGCAGCACGTATGGGGAACCGCAAATACTCACATTGCCTGAGGAGGGTGCATTTCTTCCGGCATTCCTTCCGTGCACGACTCTGCATGCTTGACCAGGAACTGGATTGGAAATGGGCTAAAGTTCACTTGTTTGCCTTTCTGCATTTTTCCTGTCGCTGGTGGTGCTGTCAGCTATCAATTTCGGGGGTTAAGGGCTCCAGGCTCGTCAACTGGACAGGTGCGACACTAGTAACGTCGCCTGGGGCAACTCTTCAATAATATGGCGCATCCTACACTATGATTCCCATACTTCCTATAATGCATACTTAGGATGTGGATGCGTGCAACATAAAGATCCGGCGCCTGCTGGATGATGGGGCGCATCTCATCACTTCAAGCCTCCCCGCTTTGCGCTCGCTTCACCTCGATCGGATGGTCAGGCTGTGAAGTAAGAGGAAAACGAGATCGAGCTGGAGTTGTCGTTTGCAAGGGCGTTGATTTCAGAGATTGATGCTCTGGAAACGCGCGATATACACGGGCCGGCCGCAATTCTATTGCGAACCAATGTAAAGGGCCAGGAACCATCATTTCACTTCGGTGAACCTACCCCCGCTCCAACGGCCTGGGAGTAACGTACCCTTTTGACCAAATGTCGAGGTCGAACTGGTCACAATAAGCCAGCATGTCAGCTGGTGTTATAAGGCCAGAGTTCGGATAACACCCGGAAGGTTGAAAGAGGCGGGCAGTGTTTCAGCAATTCCTGCGGACAAATCGCGTAGTATAGCCAATCGGCACAATATTCTGTATGTAACAAGATAGCTTCTGCTACTAGGCTTCTCGACGGAGCGATCGACAAGCCTCCACTTCGCCTTGAACTACGTCAGGCGCCATTAGCCACTGGGGTCTAAGGCACAGATCAGATAAGATGGGAATTGGTCGAGTCACTTCTGACCATGTATTATTAAGCATTATTAAGATTTAAGCGCGCAAACGCCGGAGAAATTCGGATTTTCTGGCCAAGGGCACGGGACCGTCCAGAGAATCTTCCAGGCCCTTCTGCTACGCAGTCGGTTCCATGTCCTCGAGCCAGAAAAGCAGCCTCCCTTGGGCGCTAAGCTAAGAGGTTCGTTGTGCCTGTTGTTTGACATTTAATTCAATCGCCGATGACGCCCAAAGGTCACTAAATTTTCCCACGCCATGGCCAGGCCTCCCGACCTGTGAACGGGCTTTTGGTGTTGGATGACTCGACTGATTAAGCATCCGATGTTCTCCTTGGTCATTTCCCTCAATTGATTTCCTTGGGTTGGTGGTATATTTCATATTTAAAAGTGCCTGTTACGGTCAACGTCTCTCTTGTTGGTATCCCCTCCCCCCCTTTTTCCATAATGCCAAATCTCGGAAAGAGCGCTACTCTGAGCATCCATCTAGATGATACGACCCTATTCGTGAGGCCATCGCCTGCTCCTGAGGTCGTCCCTTCGAATGACCCGATCTTTCGGGGTGTTGTCGTATTGTCGTTACCCAGACCCAAGCGCATCAAGTCAGTCACCGTTAAGCTTGTGAGGTACTACAATATATCGTTCCCAGAAGACTATGCGTGAGTGAAGCGCTTGTTTCTCAACGAGGTACTGCGGTGTAATGATCTGCGTTCGTTTTCTGTCTCACTAGGTACGAAGCTGGGGCAACGACTGAGGCGGAGGTAGCGATATGTAGCAGCAAAGAAGAACGCTCTTTCGGCAAGGGCCAACATACTTTTGCGTTTACTCTGGTCGTACCTGCGTCCATCGCCACCTATGAGCGCAGTCAGTATGGACGAATATATCACAAAATTCAGGCCTGCGCCAAGGGCGATGGGCTAATGGAGCCCGACGTCACTAGGGAGCGCGAAATACACATCGTTGGGAACCCATCAGAGTGAGAAGACCCTGCGACTACAAGTATGCCATGCTAATTGCCTCTTATCGGCAGCGAGGGCGAGATGCAAGATTTCAACCTGAGAATCGAAAATCACCTGGACGACATTGGGGTATTGGTCCCTTCCCTCAACTTGGGTTCATACACTGTCACCTAACGTTCCTTCAATTCACAGCCCTATGCCATCACGATGGCATCCCAACATTTGACCGTTGGGGGTCTCATGCAATTCGACGTCCTCTTGGCCGGTCCGCCTACTCCACTTCTCATTCGCTCCTTGTCTGCGTTCATTATTGCAAAGTACCATTTATCATCCATTCAGAATCCAAAGAAAACACCACAGACCGTGGAGCATAAGAGACGCATCTTCCTTGTCGATTACTCCAACCCCCCTGATCGTCATGCAATACACGATGCTGAAGGGAACAAACGGATTCTACACAGTCATGATGGCCTGAACCAGACGCATAGTAACGCACCATCTACATCATCACCAGTCACGCCCCAAGGACCTTCCTCGGTACCTTCAGTCCCACCACGCACTCCTGTGCCTCGACGACGTTTTTCGGAACGCGACACCTCAGTGCCTTCCCACTGTGTGCGTCATGATCAGCGAAGGTCGACGATACCTCCCGTCGCCGTAACAAAGCTGTCCCCACTTCACGCTTTACCATCCGCAACGTCGTATCACATTTCACACCTGGCCCGACTGCCTAGTGATGAATTCATACGACCTTCAACGCTAAAAGGAACGAACACACCCATCGAGATATCTCATGACATTGTTCTTGAGTTGAAGTTTGAGCATCCAGAAAGTGAAAACGACGTTAAAGTACTAAAGGTCTCAAAATCCCTGACGATATCTTCGGTAAGCCTCTCCTCTCTCATCGGCTTCAGGTGGATCGCAGTTGACGGAGAATCCAACCAGTGTTGTTGCATGATTGAATCTTTGCTTGTCCCAACATACTCGGAAACAGACTCGATCCCATCCACTCCACTACCTGCTTCCCCTGTTGATGCTTCTCCCACTATGTCTCTAAGGTCTTTTGCCCCTCGATGGCAGGACAACTGTGTTTGCGAACGGCCCACCGATTGGCTCATTGCAACGCAGAAGTTGCTTGGAGGTGGGAAGACGGAAGAATGGGAAGTGAGGGGCATGGGCGGCTGCCCCAATGCAAGAGAAAAAGCGGAATATCAGCAGGTAACTGAACATAATGACGTGTAGCATTCACCAGACCGCTTCAGCTGCCTCTCCATGTTTGAGGTACCAAACGATCCCTTTGAATTATTGGGCAACATCGATTTTGCGGCAATGTTTCCATCAGGTACTATAATTCAAGAGCACATTGTTTGCTTGAGAATTGATCACCTTCGACAATAATATGGATGATACGCTTCGGCGCATGTGAACTCAGCCTCTTAATTCATCCCTTCAGTTTGATTGCCAAACCGATTGCTCAATGGGGTGGTGAGGTCAGGCTGGTATATATAGTGCTGGTCGATGGCCCAACGCTGAATATTAACGTCCGATCAAGAGTTCAGGCTTTTCGCTAGCCAAAGGCGCTCATAATGATATTAAGCAAGTTGATATTTCGAAAGAGCTCCGAGAAGGTTCCGCCCCAGCGCCATCTACATGCAAATCCGGCTGCTGGGCTCACCAGTCCACAGCGTGTCAAAGGAGGAGAGCACCTCATAGGTTAGGCAGGTGACCAACTTCTCTTTAACGCCCAGAGGTCCGTTTACCAATCCGGAAGCGTACGTACGTAATTCACCTGAAACTGGGGGTGTTAGATTTCCGCCCACTCAAGAGGAACTCTTCATCGTGATCATCACGAAAGAGCATGATAGTTACAAATCTAATCAGACAAGCCCAGGCGCTCGCCAGATTCGGTAACAGATTGTGCATGGCAGTGAGGCACGAGTGTCCAATAGATAATCCTCCTGAATGTTGGGTGTGTGGAGTACTATCGCCGGACACTTTGCATCTTGACCTTTCGAAAGAAGCATCAAAATAAATTTGTAATATGTATTGGCTTCAGTGGTTTGCACCGTATTGAGGACAAATATCCAAAGCAAGAAAGTGTCGTACAAAAGGAACTAAGAGTTGGCCGTGGATACTCCGGTCGCATGGGCCATAGGTTTTCGCGGTAGTTCACCATGCACGCTCATATAGCAATACTGTAAGTCCGGGCGCGCAAAAGGGTGTCTGGAAGAAGGGTGATCAGCTTTGACCATCATTCAAAGCAAGGTCGTACTGTGATGCAATGTGCTCAAGTATGAGGTCCTCAGTGCAAGTCTTCCAATATCCGCAGAGCAGACATGACCAGCGTTTTTCGGCATTTGGTGCTCTGGTGGTCTCAAGCTCCTGCCCTTCCAGAATCCTCCATTCCACACATTCCAAGTGGGGGTGGTGTCTATGGAAGTGCCCCACCTTGCCGTAATATGTAATATGAGTGCAGAGATACTGCGAGGGCACACGGTATACATACAGCTTCTGGAGCTTGCAACACATTGCCTTGAGCGCAAGTAAGGCACTCTACCCATATGTTTTCTTCCAAAAGTTGTGCGAAGGTCATGACATTAGGGTCGTGCCCAGCCAAAATGATGATGTCACTTATGATGACTGATCCACGCTCATCCCAGCGCCAGTGATTGGCAAAAGCAAAGCAGGGATATCTGGCGGGTTCAAAACGGGAACTTATAAAGAGTGTTCGAGCTAGTTCCAACGTTTCTTGAACGGAGGATAGTCTGGACTCCACAGGGACTAGTCCCAGCAGCTCGGCCCTAGAACTGATTGAGTGATTGTTGACAATGTTTTCAAAGCGGGGCGCCAGAGTGTCAATTGTGATATCAGGAGGTTCAGGATAGTCGTCGACGCCTTGAAGATGATGGAAATTGGGTCTCAAAATCTCGATTAGAGAATCCTTCAAAGGTATGGGTTGTCAGGCGAAGAATAACTCCAGAACGGGCGTCTACCTTGATGGCGTCGAGGGTCCATATTTTCGGGGGAGGGGGCCAAAACTCATTTCCTGGGTCGTGGCATTCGTACCAAGACCGATAGCTCGAAACAATGCGTTCCCCTTCCCGAACGCAAAACGACTCTATGTAGAGCTGCTCACACTCTTTGATCGCCCGAATGGCATGTCGTTTTATTCCGGCCCACTCTACGGAAGTGACTTTGATCAACCAATGATCAAAATCATGGACAGTCCAGATAACCTGCCCTTATTTGTCAAGCGCTTGGACAATCGCAGCCCCGTAAATCCTCTTTCGATCACAAGTGCAATGAACACGCTAGCAAACCCCATCGCCTCCAATCTCGACCTCACGCTGGACGGATTCAGCGGTTCGTTATAGATGACAGCATGGATGGAAGGGGGACTCACGCTTGCTCACGTTCGTGGCGAAGAGAAGATAATCCACCGCGCCGTTTGGTCCATTCTGTACACAATTTCGCATGCTAAAGTACCGAAGAGAAAAATCATCGCTTGAATCGGAGATGGGGTTAAGACTCAACCATACAGCATCCAATGCCTGCTTCTTCTCTTTTCGCTCCAAAACATATACCTCCCATTCCTCATCGGTGAGTTCCTCTGCCTTCGACCTAAAGGCTTCGAGCTCGCTAACTGGGCATGCAGGAATCCAGTAATCTAGCCTCGAAGTCATGTAGCCTTTTGAATAACAGGATCAGAGATCATTATAATTTACAGTTGAACCGTACTCACGGGGAACGGCGGCTTGGTAAAGGATGACGTCATGGTCTTTGTCCATGCGTACATGGCCTTTGTACGTGCGTACATGGCCATATAGGCTGGACATGTTGCTGTACGCCGGAGAATGTCTATCATTTCGTGTTTAATGCTGACTGTTGGGCGACAAGAGTGGTGTTTTTAAGAAGCATACAATATAATGTCATGGCAGCTGGAGCACCATCGTTTCCGCAAGTACCAGTTGACAGGCACAGGTGTGACAGTCCCGCAGTTCTGCGAAATCACAAAGTGAGAACAGAGGAAAGGGATGTTGCGGGGAGGGGAATATTTGACAACAGGCTCTCGCACCTGACAATGGGAGCCGAAGCCCAGAAAAGCATATTTTTGCTCTGTAAGATCTGGGTGAATCGGGGGCATGTCCGGCGCACACTCCTCCCGAGAGGCTCTCCACACCCATGCGGCACTTGGTCTGAGGAGATATTGTGCAAAAACTTTCGCAGACCGCACGAGACGGAGCAGATCGCGAGGTTCGAGGTGGGAACAAATCTGGGACAATCGATTTTTCCAGGAATGTGCCCAAAATTTTCCCATGCGTAGAGTTGCAGCACATACCTCGAGAATGATCTCAGTTGGCGTTTCCTTCGTGAACGAGTGCAACTTGGCATGTTTCCTCTGTCCAGGACCAGAAACGTGCCCTTCGCTTTTCAAAACTTGTTTCTTCGACTGTTCCCTTTTAGGCTTCTTGGAACAAGGAGGACCTTCTTTAACCAAAGTTGGGCAGAACGTCAACAGTTTCAGTCTCCCTATTCCCGCATTACTCACCATCCCGAGTTTCAGCTGTTTCCCCAACGCGATTGCGAAGTCTCATCCCTGCTAACGAAAAGAGAGGACCAAAAAATCGTCAGAATTGTGTTGTGGAGTGAACAACTTCAGTAGGTTCAATCTTAACAACGAAGCCTCAACCTGCCTTTGGCGGAATTTGTGCCAAAGTCCCCTGCCATAGTACTGGAGATAATAACTGCGCTAATGGATGAAGAGAATGACCACGGAAGTTTCTGAAATTTGAGTGCACGAAACAATACATACACGAGGGAAGGGGAATGAAGTTATAAGAAACAACAGGAAAGAGCCGAGATGTATTTGAGTAGGACAGATCGATCGAAAAAGTGACGGAACGAAAACCTAAGCAAATACCCGGGATCCTCACCAACAGCAACACCGATGGGCAAAATGTCTATTCATTAGATGGCGTACCGCAGTGTTTGACGGAAGAGTGTAGGAAAGAGAGTGTGGTAAGGTGGAGCATGAAAGCACTGATAGGCGGAACTTTGAGTCAATGGGCGCTTTGAGCGGCTAGTTACATAGGTTAGTCTCAACATACTTATGTGATTCCCTAAGGAATCCCATCACTAAGAAGGATCAGTCGAAGAGACGCGCGGTGGAGAAGCAAAGATGCTGCAGCGAATGTGAGGAATCAGCAGACGAGACGATACATGAGGTTTGTCGATCAAGTCAAAGCGAAGAGTCATGAGTCGCCAATTCTGTTGCAATATAGCTCGACATGGCTCTCGAACATCTCAAATGGAGCAGGATCTGGGGAGGACACGTCTCAGGCCTATGTCTATATATATGCGTATCTCCGCCTTCTCGTTCGGATACCTGAGGAACCGGGACGTCGTATATAATGCATTCAGCGAGACTCATGCATGTTCAAGATCAGGGGATCACCAATGTTCCGGGGAATAATACTAGCACCAGTACTATGCCATTGACCAATACACGAACGCAGTCAGTTCACCCTCAGACGAGCTTGGCTGCTTTCGCACGGAGGTGCACGTTTCAGGTCATTTCGATATAGCATGTCCGAGAGGGGCGCTTGTGCTCCATTCCCCCAACTTTATTCAGAAGTCCATCGTGATCATCGTGATCACCACGGAGCATGACGATGTTCGGCCGGGATTGTCCCAGTGTAGCCCTTCAATGACACGCTCGGGTACAAGGTTAGCTAGGCTTGGAGAAAAATTGAATTTAATCAAACGAGTCCAGGCGCTGGTGCAGGGGCCACCAGCCAGATAGTAAGGTGCAGATCATGCACGGTAGTTCTCGCACGAGTATCCAATGGATAATATCACTGAAGATCGGTTGCGTGCGTGGAGCCGGGCACTCCGCAACTTGACTTTAGCACCAGGATTATATATTGACTTCGCAGTGCCCGAGTGGGTTGCAGTGTATTAGGAAGCTCCTAACACAAATCCGCCCAACAAATATCCAACGCAAGCGTACGAAAGGAACTAAGAGCTAGTCGTGGATACTCCGGTCGCATTGGCCTCGGCTTCCAGCCCCAAGCGCACTGAATCAGGAATAGGTTTTCGTGATAATTGACGATACATCCCCATATAACAATACTGTAAATCCGGGCGCGCACAAGGATGTCTGGAAGAATGATTAGCTCTGATCATCACCCAAAGCTAAATCTTACTGTGATGCAATGTGCTCAAGCACGAGGTCCTCAGAGGGGAAATCCATATAGTCACACAGCAGACATGACCAGCGATTTATGGCATTCGATGCCGCGGTTTCGAGCTCCTGCCCTTCCAAAATTCTCCATTCCACACGTTCATCATCGGGCAAGAGGCGGTGGTATCTATGACAGTGCCTTACCTTCCGCAATATGTAATGTGAGTGTGGAGATATTATAAGAGCACACGGCTTACGTACAGCTTCTGGAGCTTGCAACACACTATTCCCTCGATCTACTTGGGTGGTACAAGCAAGGCACTCCACCCATATATTCTCTTCCAAAAATTGTGCGAAGGTCATGACATTAGGGTCGTGTCCAGCCAAAATGATGATATCACTCATGATGGCTGATCCGCGCTCGTCCCACTGCCATTTCGTGTTTCGATCGCCATGTATGACGCGGGGATATCTAGCGCCTCTAAAATCATAATCCGGTATTTTCATAAAGAGTGTTCGAGCTAGTTCTAACGTTTCTTGAACGGAGGATAGTCTGGACTCCATAGGGACAAGTTCGAGCAGCTCCGACCTAGAACTGATTGAGTGATTGTTGGCAATGTCTTCAAAGCGGAGCGCCAGAGTTTCGATTATGATATCGGGGACTTCGTCGGTATCTTGAAGATGATGAAAATTAGTCTTCAAAATCTCAATTAAAGAGTCCTCCGAAGGTATGGGTTGTTAGGTGAAGAACAACTCTGAGAGAATGTGTCTACCTTGACAGCGGCAAGCGTCCATATATCCGGGGGAGTGGGCCAGAACTCATTTCCTGGATCGTGGCATTCGTACCAGGACCGATAGCTTGAAAGAATGCGCCATCTTGCCCGATAAGAAAATGATTCTGTATAGGTCCGCTCACGCTCTTCGGTTGCCTGAACGGCATGTCGTTCGATTCCAGCCCATTCTAGGGGAGGTGACTTTGATCAACCAACGAACAGGATTATGGGGGCTTCAGGCAACTTGCCTTTATCTGTCAAGCGCCGGGACACCCGGAGCCCCGTAAATCCTCTTTCGATGGCATGGCCAATGAACACGCTGGCGAATCCCATCGCCTCCAATCTTGACCTCACGCTGGACAAATTCAGCGGTGAATTATAGATAACACCATGGACAGAACGGGGACTTACGCTTGCTCACGCTCACGGCGGAGAGAAGATAACTCGTCCTGGCGACCGGAAATGCGCTTCCTAGTCCAATCTGTGCATAATTTCGCGTGCTAGAATACGGGGAAAATCATCATCTGAATCAGTGAGGGAGATAAAATTTGACTCATACAGCATCCAACGCCCGCTTTTTCTCTTTTTGCTCCGAAACGTATATCACCCATTCCTCATCGGTGAGCTCCTGCGCCTTTAACCTGAGAGCCTTGAGCTCGCTATCTGGACATGCGCGGAACCAGTAATTTCGCCTCCTAGCCCCATAGCCTTCCGTGACATGGAGTCAGAGATCGTTATAATCTGCAGTTGAACTGCACCCACGAGGAACGTCGGCTTGGTAAAGGACGACTTCATGTCTGTTGCATCCGCGAATATATTGTGGATGACTATATAACTGGGTTTCGCTGTACGCTAAAGTAAGCCTAGGATAGTCATTTAGTGTTTAGGGATAACTATCAAGCGAGAAAGGTTTCACATACATAATGTCATGGCACCTAGAGCACCATCGTTTCCGCAAGTACCAGTTGACAGGCAAAGGTGTGACGGTCCCGCAGCTCTGTAAGGTTACGAAATGAGAACGGAGGAGAGGGATGATAAAGATTTGACAACAGGTTCTCGCACCTGACAATTGGAGCCGAAGCCAAGAAAAGCATATTTCTGCTCTGTGATGTCTGGGTGAATTGAGGGCATGTCCGGTACACACTCCTCTCGAGAGGCTTTCCATACCCCTGCAGCACTTGGTCTTAGCAGATATTGCGCAAAGACCTTTGCGGATCGCACGAGATGAAGCAGGTCGCGAGGTTCGAGATGGGAACAAATCTGGGACAACAGCGAAATTTCTCACAAGTACATCCAAAACGTCGAGAAGCAGCACATACTTCGAGAATGATCTCAGTTGGCATTTTGTCCATGAGCAGCTGCAACTTGGCACGCTTCCTTTTCCCGGAACCAGAAACACGTCCTTCACTTTTCGAACCTTGTTTCTTTGACGGTTCCCTCTTAGGCTTCTTGACATAGGAAAGATCTTCTGATGAAGATGAGGCTTGGTAGTGGAACGTCAACGAATCCAGTTCCTCCATTCCCCTGATTAGACTCACATTGCTCGCCATCTTCAGTTCCCACTGTAAGCCGAACGCGTTTGCGAAGTCTCATCCCCGCTGCAGAAACAGAGGCAGATCATGTCAGGTGTCTCCGCTTTCCAGAAAAGAATCACCCACATTGAACCTCAATCTTGAACGCGTCTGTGTCCCAGCAATGAAGCGCGAGTGTTGAGTCCGCGCCTTTTTTTGGCAACAATGCAGCTCTCGTGTACTCACCCTCTTCTTCTCCTTGACTATCACCTTTATCGCACAAGAGACATGCGCAATTCAATAGATTATGACCACCATCAGATGCGTCGTGGAGGTGTAGACCATGAGCATGCAGGACCAACTTGAGTAAGCTCGGTGGGGTCAACTTTGATAACGAAGTCAAACGTGCCTTTAGTGAAATCTGTGCCGACGTCCCCTACCATACTGGTTGGAAGCCGTCCGCTGCTTGTTCGTCTCACTTCAACTTTCAAGTACTGATTCAGTGGTTGCTTCCGTGGGGCGGGGCCGGAACTGTGGAACTGAATGTACACTTCGGTACCGAGTCTAGTAGTTGCAGATTCCCGATTCCACCACCACCGAACAGAGTCGGGGTCGACGGACAGCATGTCCAGGGCTACTCACTCAGTTGGGCAAGGAGTTTTAAAGAGAGCACCGAGGGCTGCATGCCCACAGAGGCTGGCGCACCATCTATAGCTCGGTACCGTACACGAAAGACTATCACGCATCGTTTGGCCAAATGGTCCAGAGGGCATTTTTCGTTCTGGTTGCAGTATGTTCCTTATGTAATATTCATCCTTAAATTCCCTCTATCGGCATGAGGTTGAACACCCCGTGTTACCCATCTTTCACGAACTATGATGTGTATCAGCGATATCCAAGCTGCCATGACTCCAACCAACAAGATCCAAGCATAGGAGAGTCCAGGGGCATGAACGAGAAGTTTACCAAATCAAAACGGAGAAGTGGCAGAGAAATTCAAGGGTATGAACGAAATGACTCTCATAATCCTTCCTGAAGGACAATAAAAAAGGAAAAGAATGTGATTACAAAATGCGCTGAGGAGTGACGGAGTCCTCTTCCTTGGATTAAGTGTCGGCCTGATTAGGCTGTGCCCACTTTTGTTGAAAGCTCATGCATAACCAATGAGAATCTTTCTTTCCCTCAGTTCGCATCGAGGTGTACACTCCTATTTTGTAACTTTCTTGTTGAATTGTCTCGCGCACAGTCATTTACAACGCTATTCCAGGGATAGTGACAAAGAGAATAAGCAGTGTATGCTTCCGGCAGTTTCAAAACAAACGGATCAACCTGGAGTCTCCAAGGTGTGCTGAATCAGGACAGGCTTCCGAGGCGCTTGGTGATGCGGTCCAAGATAGCAATACTGTAAATCCGGGCGCGCACCAGGATGTCTGGAAGAAAACGATTAGAAGTGCCAAATCCCAACCACCACTCAAAAAGAAACCATATCTTACTGCGACGAAATGTGCTCAAGGACGGAGTCCTCACTGGCAAAGTCGGGTCCTTTATACGTACCATACTCACAGAGCAAACACGGCCACCGCCCGTTGACCACTCCACCCGACGTTCTAGCGGATTCAAGCTCCTGCCCCTCTAGAATCCTCCATCGCACTGCTTTTTTGTAGGTGACCGTGTTGAGGCGGTGACTTTTATAACAGTGAACTACCTAGTAATAAGATGAATGGAGGAAAAACCTCAGGATCACCCGGTTTACTCACAGCGTCCATAGCCACAAACACCTTAGCTTTAGTTCCCTGATCAGGTTGAGCGCAGGTAAGACATTCAACCCAAATATCCTCTTCCAGAAGTTGTGGAAAAGCCATAGCATTAGGGTCGTGTCCAGCCAGGGTGATGATATCACTCATTATGGCGGATGCAAGCTTGCACCAACGCCAACCATATCGACCACGTGGAGGGCAAGGATATCTGGTGATGGTGGAATCTGGTGGTTTCGCGAAGAGAGTTCTAGCTAGTCCTAACGTTTCTTGCATAGACGACAGTTTGAACTCATCGGGAATCAGTTTCATTAGCTCCGTCTTGGAATTCATCGAGTAATCGTTGGCAATTTCTTTGAAGCGGAGTGTCAGGGAGTCGAGTACGGTGTCAGGAACCTCGGGATAGTGTCGGCGATCTTGAACCTGATGGAGGGTGGATTCCATGTATTCAATCAGGAGATCCTTCAAAGGTTAGTCGGAGGTGACCACTAAGTTGATGCAATATCAAGTATGATCATCCTACCTTGACGGCAGGGACTGCCCAAATATCAAATGGGAGAGGCCAAAACTCGTCACCTGGATTGTGGCATTCGTACCATGGCCGATACTTTGAGATAACACATTGGTTTGCATAATAAAGACCCCGGGTTACGTAATCCTGCTCGTGCTTTCTGACGACGCCGACGACACGATTTTCCATCCGGGCCCATTCTACAGCAAGTGGCGTTGATCAGCCAACGATAAAGATATCGAATAGTTCAGTTAACATGCCATTATTTGTCAAACGTTTGGATACCTGGAGTCCTGTGAATCCATCATGAATTGCCAAATCAATGAATACTTCCGCGAATCCCATATCCTGCAATCTCGATCTCACACTGGACAAGTCCGCAGTCAGTCACTATGGGCAATATAGATAGAATGAGGACTCACGCTGCCTTACGATCGTGGCGGAGCGCAAGTAATTCGTCCTGGTGACTAGAAATGCGTCTCTTGATCCATCCCATACACAATTTCGCATGCTGAAGCGGAAATTATAATCCAAAAATGAGGACGGGATGAAATTGACCAAATACCATAGTCAATGCCTCCTTTTTTTCTTGTTGCTCCGCAACATACACTTTCCACTCCTTATCGGTGAGTTCTTGTGCTTTCAACAAGAAAGCGTTGTACTCGCTAATCGGACAGGCAAGAAAAGAGCGATACTGCCTACGAGCACGGCCCTCATGTACTTCCATATGACATAATCAGATAATGATGATCGCTGATAGCAGAACCTCGCTCACCGGAAACCCAGTTTTGGTGAATGATCGCATCATGCTTCCAGCGCTGGCGTTTATCTTCTATGAGCTGATTCCATTTACGATTAAGGTCGCAATACTCCGATTCAATTCTGTGATGACCGTTTATTTGGCGTTAGTAGAGGACGTTGGACAGAAAAGTTGTTCGTTTTACACACACAATCTCCTGACATGCAGAGCACCATCGCCTCCGCAAGTACCAGTCGACAGCCGAACGTGTGATGCTCCCACAATTCTATGAGATCGCACAGTGAGAAGGCGGGTGGGAGAGAAATGTCTGACGCTGGAGGCTATCGCACCTGGCAAGTTGAGCCAAAGCCCAAAAAAGCATACTTCTGCTCCGTAAGATCCGGGTGAATGGGGGGCATGTCTAGAGCACATTCCTCCCGAGCCGCTTTCCACACCCCAGCGGCACTTGGTCTGAGAAGATATTGCGCGAAGTTCTTTGCAGACCGCACGAGATGAAGCAGATCCGGAGGTCCAAGGTGGGAACAAATCTGGGAGAAGATGAAAAGTCTTTCTTGTCCCAGAATGCCAGAGGCATCTGAGAGATTGCACACACTTCAGAGACGATTTCAATTGGCAATTTCTCCATGAGAGATTGCAACTTTCCACGCTTTGTCTGGACAGCACTCCTTTCGCCCTCTTTCTTCCACTGTTGCCTCTTAGGCCTCTTGCTGCGAGGCAGTTGTTCCACTGGTAAAGAAGAAGAATTCAATCTTCCTTCCCCAATATATCAAACTTGCATCATTCACCGTCTTCACTTTCCGTTGCGCTCTGTTCACGCAGAACGCGTTTGCGACGTCTACGTTTTGGCTGTGCTCCGAGTCTGGGCCTACTATGGCTCTTCGATCCTTGACATCACGCCAAAAGGGATGACCATTGTCGCGTTTGCAAGGCAAATAAAACCATGAGCTGCATGCAAATACACCCTCCAGTGAAACCAACCTTGGTCATCCGGTGCCACACTGGCAGAAGCCCTCGTAACCCGAGTCACCCGTGGAGCCATGGTCAAGTTACTAGCCTAGCTGAGGGGGCGTGTTGGAGGGGGATTTGAGGGAAGTTGAGACATCTGGTTGTTTAATATGACAATATGATATAACAATATAACAATATAATATGACGGGACCAATAAGCAGCCTCAAGTTTGACCCAGGTTGCCGCTCACCGTTCAGTGGAAACCCTGAACTCTTTGTGCCTGCTCCTGCCGATTTCAGATTAGTAACTTAGCTTTCAAGGCACGCCTGCCTCGGTCGCACGCTGGATTTGGCGCAGATGCGCGTGAGCGGACCGATAGCGATGCTTACGCTTATAGTACAGGGCTTACGACCCTCCTGCTGCTGCCTTAGGCCATTATGATCGTTTCCTGCTACAACCTCAGCTTCCCCCGATTAGGACACGAAAATCTTGACCAGAGACCTACCCAGCAGGTGAGTGGGGTTTTCGGGAGTGCAAAGTGGCAAGATGGCAAAAGTTTAGTCAAATCACAATCAAAGGAAACAAAGCTGCTACTCACCCAGTCGGTCTTGTCCGAATGGCTACTTCTGCGCATGCGAAATGCTAAATGCTGGGGCGAGCTATGCACTGATTGGTCGGCTCGCCTTTCTCGCTCTCGCCTCGCTTTCTCCCACGGTTTCTGGTCATTCGCTGGCTTTAGAGCAAACTTTGATGGCTTGACATTGTATTGACATCACGTCGGAAACAATTCACAATATTCCGACTGCGTTCACATCCGTGGCGTCTACCTATATCACAAGCCTCACTCTCGCTCACGTATGCAAGTGGCTTTTCAACTAGCTGTCTTCGTCTGTCAACTCTCGCGCGGTATAATTATTCATCAGAGGTGGGAATGCAGATCTGATTATCTGTGGCCATAGGACTCGGGAAGCACCGCATCCCGTCTGATCTGCGAAGTTAAGCCGAGTACCGCTTAGTTAGTACCATGGTAGGGGACTACATGGGAATCCTGAGTGCTACAGTTGTTATTTTTGTTTTTTCTTTAGCTCTCTGCCACTTCTTCCTCTTCTCCCCAAAGTACATATCGATAGCAAGCGACAGTAGCTCAGTTAATTTGAAACATAATGACCTCATTTCACGAGGCTAATCACGGGATAACAGTTTGATCTCCCGCCCACTCACTAATTTATTCGTTTATTCGTTTACTCACTAGGAAACTTGCTGGGCTCTGTCTCGGGACCGCGTGACATTCACATGCCTCCCATTCCCGACTTCCATTTCCTTGTGATTTCTCGCACAACTTATGTAGCCTGAATGGATCAAGGCACACTGCAGTCCTATCACGACAGGGCCCCACACATACGACCGGGGTCCCTTATCTATCCCGTACATTTCCTTTCCCTCGATGAATAAGCTTTTTATACGTCAGCCTTGTGGCCATACTCATTTCTATCTGCCTTCCATATATCCTCTAGCGTATGCTTTCCTGGCCGGTGTAAATTAGCTTGTTCTCAATCTACGGTTCGCGGTTTGCGATTGCGGAGCGAGAAATGTGGGGGAAACAACAACGTTAACAATTGCTTGAGGAATGAGAAACTCAGGCGAGGTCTCAGCCAATGGCAAGGTTGATGGTGAACAAGCGCGCAAGGCGAGAAAAGTAGCGGGCTGCAGTACTTCAGGCGACGTTCCCCAGTTATACCTCTGCGATCTTCACGCGATCTTAAAATTCCCTTCAGGTCAGAGTGAAGGATCATCAAGCTCAAGATGATTGACAGGTAACCCCGTTTAGCCATATACCTCGATCATAATGTGTATGCACATGTTGCCATCGATCCGGCCCTCAGCAATTAAGGCCGCATCGTTTGCCCTTCAATAGTTACTTCCTGCTTCCTGGAATATCGGGACTTGGATAATGGGGAATAGTAGCGACTTAACTTTCCCGTCGCTAACACAATGCGATACTATTTGCTTGAGGACAAGACGTGAGAAAAGAAAAAAAGCACTGAAACTGTAATGAAGCAGAAGTAAGATAGCATGAAAATTGATCACAAAACGATGAAATGGCCCAAAACAGGAAGAATGAAATGGGAGATATGACAACCTGTCAAGGATGGACTTATCACCTCATCCAGTCCTACCCATGCCCACGGAATCCAACAATGCAGGGGTCCCCATCCTTCTCCCACTTGCATTCTACATATCGCCACCCGCGCCAGAACCTCATGCCCTGACAGAGGCGAGACATAGGACGGCGCACCAAAACAAAACACAAACACACCTCCAAGATGGTCAAAATTAGGTGGGAGATGGCGAGCAGAGAATGCCAGGAGTAGCATGTATAGGTGAGCGAGACGGAGAGGTGGTTGTCGGAGGGGGGGCTTAGACGTGGATCGAGATTTACGAAGGGGACGATTACCATACCCCTGTAACTAGAAGCCGCAATTGATGCAGTCCAGTTTTTGGTAAAGGCGGCGATGGGTCCGAATGGAGGTGCGAACGACGAAAGGGAGAGTCGATGTTTGAAGGGATAGTTTCAATGGGGTCATTAAAAGATGGAGGAACGTCGGATGCTACCATGCACTGACTACAACTTCCAATTTCAAAAGAATCGGATGACGTTTTCCCTCCCTGCTTCCGATGTGGCTCACGGCTGTCCTCCTAAGGGAAGGCTCAAACAAGCAGTCTTAAGTGAAAATGTGCCTGGTGCTAGACCATAGCCCCCCAACCCAGGGCGCACCAGATCAGGGATAGGTCTCCGTGGGGTTTGACGATGCGAGCCTACATAGCAATACTGTAAATCCGGGCGTGCGCTGGGATGCCTGGAAGAAACGATTAGAGGAATGAAGTCTCGATCACCACTCAAGGCCATATCTTACTCTGATGCAACGTGTTGGAGGATAAAGTCCTCAAAGCCAATTCTCTCATATCCACAAAGTAGACACCCCCACCATTTGTTGATCATTGGGTTCAACGTTCTGAACGATGCAAGTTCCTGCCCATCCAGGATCCTCCATTCCATCAGCCTCTTGTTGGCTATATCGGCGCAATGGTCTGTATTACAGTGCATTACCTTCTCGCGATATGTAATATCATGAGTAAAGAGAATTTATGAGAGACACCCAGTCGACGCACCGCTTCCACAGCTTCAAAAATCTTGCCTCCCTGGCCAGCTTGAGCGCAGGTAAGACATTCGACCCAAATACCTTTGTCCAGAAGTTGTGCGAAGGTCATAGCATTAGGGTCGCATCCAGCCAAGATGATGATGTCGCTCATAACGGTCGATCCATGCTTGTTCCAGCACCAATCACCATGATCGGCAAGGCGAGGATACCGGACGATACTGGAATCCAATAATCTCAGGAAGAGGGTTCGAGCCAGTTCTAATGTTTCTTGAGCAGACGGGAGTCTGAGCTCCTCAGGCACCAATTTCAGCAGCTCTGTCTTGGAACTCATTGAGTGGTTATTGGCAATGTCCTCGAAGCGGAGTGCCAGAGAGTCAAGTAAAGTGTCAGGTACCCCGGAATCAGGCGACCCAAGATAGCGGGGGAGATCTTGAGGCTCATGTAGCTTCGATTTCACAATTTCAACCAGCGAATCCTTTGAAGGCATAGAATGTCAACACTAGGTCAACACAGTATACAGGCCTTACCTCGATAGCGGGAATCATCCATACATCAGAGGGAAGAGGCCAAAACTCATTGCCTGGATCGCGGCATTCATACCAGGTCCAATACCTTGAGATAATGCGTCCCTTTGATTCCCTTGCCCTGCGAAGGAATTCCTCCAAGTAAGACTCTTCGCGCCGTTTAACCGCACCAATGGCACATTGTTTCATTCCAACCCATTCTGCGGGGAATGATTTCAATCAAATCAATGATCATGATCATGAATAGTTCAGATAAACTTGCCCTTATCCGTCAAATGTTTGGATACCCGGAGTCCTGGAAACCCAAACCTAATCGCCGGATCAATGAATACTGTGGCGAAACCCATATTCACTAATCTTGATTTCACACTGGATGAGCCCAGCAGTCAGTTATCCTGAACAACACCGATAGAACGGGGACCCACGCTGCCTCGCGTTCACATCGGAGTGTACGTAATTCGTCTTGACGTCCAGAAATGCGGTTTTCGGTCCATTCTGTGCACAATTTTGCATGCTGGAGCAACCAAAGCCAAAAAAAAAATCACAATTCAGATTGGAGATAGAGACGAAATGGCGATACCGCATCCAATGCCTGCTTTTTCTCTTTTCCCTCTGAAACATACTCCTCCCACTCCTCGTCTGTGAGTCCCTCTGCCTTCAACTTAAAGGCTTTAGCTTCGCTATCCGGACAAACACAAATCGAGACACGTCTTCGACCAAAATAGCCCTCATAACCTGTTGGATGATACAATCAGAAAAACCCGTTACAATTGACAGCGGGGGCCTCACTGACGGGGAATTCTAGCTTGGTGAAGGATGACATCATATTTTTGATCCGCGCGAGTGTATTTCGAGAGGTCAAATGACAAACACATGTCATAGTACTCTGACCGAAGCCTGTGGTGATTATGTAGTGTGAGTGATGACTGGTGGAAGGAAAAAAAGTCGTTGTTCTCAACATACACGTCGCGGCGGCACTTACGACACCATCGTTTCCGCAAATACCAATTGGTAGCCGAAGATGTAAAGGTCCCGCAGTTCTGCAAAACCACGTACGGAGATATGACATTCAGAAAAGAAATGAGATTTGACACAAGGAGTTTCTCGCACCTGGCAATTAGAGCCGAAGCCCAATAGAGCATATTTCTGTTCCGTGAGATCCGGATGGATCGGCGGCATGTCTGGAGCACACTCTTCCCGAGCCGCTTTCCACACCCCAGCAACACCCGGTCTCAGAAGATGCCTCGCGAAGACCTTCGCAGACCTCACGAGGTGAAGCAGGTCGCGAGGTCCGAGGTGGGAACAAATCTAGAAACGATCGATCGAGGAGTTTTTGAAATAGGCCCAGATGGGAGGGGGGGTCTAGCATACTTCGAGGACGATCTCGAGCGGCATTTCCTCTATGACGAATCGCAACCTTCCACGCTTCCTCTTCCTAGGAACGCCCCCTTCACCCTTCAAACCTTGTCCTTCGGACCGCCCCCATTTAGCCTTCTTAACCAGCCGGGAGTGATACGATTCCTCCTCTAGAGGATTCGCACCGGAACGTCGACGAATTAGGTCTCGCTTCCCATTATCAGACTCGTAACGCTCACCATAAAGCGTGTCTGCATCTGGGATTCACCAACAATGGGTGTGAGTCCACATTCCTGGCATCGATACTGTACTCTATACGTGAACTTACCGTTGACGACATTCGTGGCGTCCTCAGCCATGACACAGTGGCAGACTGTCAGTGACACTCGTGAAATAGAAGTCAATTAGTCGTGTGGCGGGACTTTGCATCCACTAGCAAGTGCAGGAGAAAGATCAATTCGTCAGGCAGCCCTTTATTAAACCTCACGCCTCAGATACCGAGAGGAAATCATTTTCGGAAATGCGCCGCGCGTCTAATAAGCGGCAGTCCCCGACTCTGTCGGCGGGGTTGCCGGAAAATGCCTAGTTTGGATATCAGGAATTTGGTTGGTATCGTTACCGGGAGTCGATGACCGCGAGATGCAACGCTATTCACGATTTTCCGTCAGGGCAGCCCGAAGTCAACCTTTCTACACTACAAAGGCTGTTTCAGCCTAGGACCCTAGCCCGAATCGTCAAAGGAACCTCGATGGCTGAGGTGGCGTGCATCAACCATCAACGTGAACATCGGCGCGAGACCCAGTGCATGAGCGCCACTGGCCCGGCGCCGTCATAACTTGACCATCCAACTATGGTGTCACCGCTTGTTAGGGTCACGCCCACGCCCTTCTCTAGCTTGAATTAAGTCAGACCCTTCAAATCACCGAGAACGTCTGCCTACGGTTGCATAGTGTGATCGTCAGATTGATCGAATGCCTGGACGTATCTTCGAATTCTCCCCACCAACTTGGGTGCCAATGCCACTACATAGCATGTATGGACTGGAAGGATCCGACGTGCATGACACAGCAACTATCGCCGCAGCATATTGCTTTCTAATGTTTGGGAGAAATGTGAACTCAAGTGAATAAGCATATTATACCGTGCTGATAATTGCACTCGATGGAGGTAGGAAGGGCAGACCATAAAGAAGTGTAGAGCCCGTAAAGCAGAAATAGATTGGCACAACATATGGAGCGTAAAGTAGTGAAATAGAGGACATGACAGGATGTCGGGCAAGCCTATGTTCATGCCTATGCCGTGCCCATACCTGTAATTCTGGGACCCCGTTCCGCTCGCACCACGTACCCCTTCTCATACCGCCACCTGTGCCAACGCCTTCATATTGAGGAACAGACCCCGATGCGGACACACCAAGACATATAATGATCACTCGTCCAAACAGAGCTAACCCCTGTGCATGCAACGCCTTGAAAGTGTCAGAGAGAGCTCTGATCGAGTGGGAAGATGTATACAGGCATTAGTGGTGCTGTGGCGACATGCACGAGTGGTATAAGGTGATGGTGGGACCTCGGATGTGACATGTCGACAGGGGGAGTGAACGTGTGGATCGAGATTTGGGATTAGAATGAGTGGCACTGCTATCGCGACTGTGAATGGATATGGAGAGATGCGATTTGATTGAGCCGGGGGCAACAAACCGCAAACGATGGAAAGCGGTCATTGGGAAGTGAAACGAGAGGCGCACAAGAGTGTCGGGGGAGTGTCAAGCACTGGCCGTAGCTTCGAATTCTAAAAGATACAAGTCTCTCCGTGCCTTCGATGTATGACTCACAACTATCCCCCCTGGGAGACAACATGTAGTCTCAAACAAAGATACCCCCAGTTTCTAAATCCATTTCCTCCCACTCAAAATGCACCGAGTTAGGGATAGGTTTCCGCGGGGTTTGACGATGCCAGCCTATGTAGCAATACTGTAAATCCGGGCGTGCTTTTGGATGTCTGGGTAGGAAAAAAAAAAAACAACAATTAGATGCATAAGGTCTCGATCACCACTCCGAACCATATCTTACTGCCATGAAATATGCCTAAGAACGGAGTTTTCGTTGTCAACGCTCTCGTACCCACAAAGCAGGCACTTCCACCACTTTTTGATCCGTGTGTTCAACACTCTGGTGAGTACGAGCTCCAGCCCTTCCAGAATCCTCCATTCCACCGACTGCTTGTTAGTTGCATCAGCGCCATGGTCTATATGACAGTGCATCACCTTCTCACAGCACGGAAAACTATGAGCAAAAAATGAATTATAAGGGCACTCAGTTCACGCACCGCTTCCACAGCTTGAACGACCTTCCCTTCTTGATCAGCCTGAGCACAGGTGAGACACTCAACCCAAATATCTTCTTCCAAGAGTTGTGCAAAAGTCATAGTATTAGGATCGTGTCCAGCCAAGATGATGATATCGCTCATGACGGTCGATCCAAGCTCGTTCCAGCACCAATCACTTTGATCGGTGAGGCGGGGGTACCGTATGATGCTAGAATCTGACAGTCTCACAAAAAGAGTTCGAGCCAACTCCAACGTTTCTCGAGCAGATGGCAACCTGAGCTCCTCAGGGACCAATTCCAGTCGCCCCATCTTGGAACTCATCGAGTGATTATTGGCAATGTCCTCGAAGCGGTGCACTAAGGAATCCAATATGATGTCAGGCACGCTAGACCAATGGGGGAGACCTTGAAGATGGTGCAAGTTCGATTTCAAGACTTCAACCAGAGAATCCTTTGATAGTATGGATGTCAGTCCAAACATGACAATCAGGTCGATATTCAATCCACGCATCCCACCTCAATTGCAGGAATCGTCCATATATCAAAGGGAGGTGGCCAAAATTCATTCCCCGGATCACGACATTCATACCAGGACCGATACTTTGAGATAATGCATTCCTTTGATTCCTTTGCCTTACGAAGGAAACGGTCCAGACACAACTGTTCGTGCCTTCGAGCTGCTTCGACAGCATGTTGTTCCATCGCGGCCCATTCTACAGCAAATGACTCCGATCAGACCAGTGATTCAAAGACCGATGATAAAAATCAGACAAACTTGCCCTTATCCGTCAAGCGTTTGGACAGTCGGAGTCCTGGGAATCCACCGAAAATCGCCAGATCAACGAATCCCTTGGCAAATCCCATATTCTCCAACCTCAATCGCACGCTGGAGGAAGTCCAGTAGTCACTTATACTGAGCAATAATATAATATCGATGGAATGATGCACTCACGCTGCCCCGCGTTCATCTTGGAGAATACGTAATTCATCTTGACGTCCAGAAATGCGCCTTTCGGTCCATTCCGTACACAACTTTGCGTGCTAGAAGTAACCAAAATATAAATGAATGAATGAAATCATGATCCAAATGGGAGACGGAGATAAAAACGACCATACCGCATCCAATGCCTGCTTTTTCTCATTTTCCTCTGACACATACACCTCCCACTCCTCATCTGTGAGTCCCTCTGCCTTCAACTTAAAGATACCAGCCTCGCTATCCGGACAAACACAAATCGGGTTACGTCTCCTGCCGAAATAACCTCCATAACCTGTTGGATAACACGATTAAAAAAAAAAAGGTTTCACTATAACTGACATAATTGACAGCGGGCGGGCGGGCGGGAGACCTCACTGACGGGGAACCTTAGCTTGGTGAAGAATCACATCGTATTTTCGATTCTCCCGAGCGAATTCCAAGGAACCAAGAGGCCAATACATGTCAGTGTAGTCTGACCGAAGCCTGTGATGATCGTGTGGCGTTAGCAATGGCGAGTAGTGGAGGGGGGAAAAAAGAGTCGTTTCTCTCAACATACACATGGTTGCGGCACTTACGGCACCATCGTTTCCGTAAATACCAGTTGGTAGCCGAAGATGTACAGGTCCCGCAGTTCTGCAAGATCACGGTAGAGAGAGACAGTAAGAGAAAAGGGGGGGGGAGAGAAACAAAAAAAAAGGATGCACCTGGCAATTAGAGCCAAAGCCCAACAAGGCATATTTCTGTTCCGTGAGATCCGAATGGATCGGGGGCATCTCAGGGGCACACTCTTCCCGGGCCGCTTTCCACACCCCAGCAACAACACCCGGTCTTAAAAGATACCTCGCAAAGACCCTTGCAGACCTCACGAGGCAAAGTAGGTCGCGAGGTCCTAAATGGGAACAAATCTAAAAAACGATCGAGGGAGTTTTTGAAATAGGCTCAGATGCGAGAGGGGGGGGGGGGAGAGGTCTAGCATACTTCGAGGACGATCTCGAGTGGCATTTCTTCCATGAGGAACCGCAACCTTCCGCGCTTCCTCTTCCTCGAAATGCCGCTTCCTTCACCATTCAAATCAAGTTCCCCGATCGACCGCTCCCGTTTGACCTTCTTAACCGGCCTAGGGCGATCCGATTCTTCCCCTTGGAAGAAAAAAAAAAAAAAAAAAGGATGTGGTGTCAACGACTAGATCTAACATCAGGTTAGTATAAACGCTCACGATTAACCGTGTCTGCAACTAGTTCATCAATGATGAATGTGTTCACTACTATGGAGTCCGTACATTGAGCACCAATATACCCACCCCCCCGTAAGTGAAGCCTTCACCTTTAGCGCCATCCGAGTCATCTTCAGCCATGATACGGTGGTTAGGTGGACTATCGATGACAACACGAGAGCGGTCAAGAATGATGAGTTATCCAATTAATTGCGCGATTGAGGGGGGTGCGGGGGATGCGGGGTAGCAGTCAGGAGTATGACCAGCGCATTCCCCTATATATATTGCACGCACACACATACAACACACACACATAAACCCCCATTGCCCAGGTGGCGAGAGGACGTCATTTTCGGAAATGCACCGCGCGTTTATTATGTAAGCGGAATCGCCTCATCAGCCAAATTTGCCTCTACTTTAATGGCGTTGGTGGCCGTACGTTGTGTTCAGTGTCCCCCCACTCAACCAACCAACCAAGACAAGAATCGACCGCCGCGAAACGGGAAGGGCGGGCGCGAGCGCCATCTATTATGAGTTTCCCTGGTAAGTATTTCGATCACCCCATTCTCAGCAAGCGATTTTTGTTATTCCAGACATATTCCAAGCTCTCCAGATAGTAAGTAACGTCCCTCCTGTATTTACAACTAAAACGCTGGAACACTTTGAACAGGACGCGAAAAGTTAACAACGTCTTCGTCGATGGCCCGGGGCGCAATAATATATCATGGCGCACATGGGACTCGATGACGGCTCGGTTGAACGCCAGCCCCGGTGAGGTCATGGCTTTGTCGGGCGGTAGCCTGTTAACAACCAGAGTCACGTCCATTCCCGAGCTTAAGATTCCTCACCTTGGTTCATATTTCGAAGAACCACTTGGCCACACTTACTAGCTGTGCATGTGTATTATATTATGAATCTCAACTTGGAATATTGATTTCACCCAGCAGTGCTGTAGTTCGTGAACAAGATTGCACAGCAACTAGTAACTGGAGTATATCAGCCACTAGCACAAGTGCATGTTGCTGCTATCATCGCAAGATCGTGTGTAAGATTAAATGTATTTGATGAAGGCAACCACAAAGAAGTATAGAAGCCGTAGAGCAGACAACAATAAAGGGTCCAGAAAAAAGGGACAGTAAAACAGAGGATACGACAAGCTGTTGAGAAAGGAATTATCGTCTCGTCCCTCCATTACCCCTATGTTGATCCCCATGCCAGTGTCCTCTCGAACCTCGATAGTTCTGAGGCCCTCTTCCACCCGAGCCACCGGTTCCCGTACCGCCACCATACCGAGGAGGAACAGACCCCGATACGGGCGATATATATAACAACACACCGAGACATACAACGAACACCCCTCCAAATAGAGCTAACCCCAGTGCATGAAACGTCCTATAGAGTGTCAAAGATAGCTCTGATCGAGTGGGGACGAGGGATGTGGATGTATGGGCATCACGAGATGCACGAGTGGTATAAGGGGACGGAGGGGGGGTTGGGTACGATGATATCGATGGAGGGTGGGAAGGTTTAGATCGAGATTTACGGCTAGAATGAGCGGCACTACTACCGTGACCAGAAGCTTGAATGGATGGAGAAGCAGAATTTGATAAAGACGAGAACGACGAAAAATCAGAAAACCGCGAACGACGAAGAGTACTGTCATTGTTTTGGGTGGTGAATGGGCTGGTTTTAGTGGGGTCATTGGAAGACGATGAAGGTTGAGATGAAGGGAAAGGGAAAATGCGATGATGGTAGTCTAGAGAGGAGAGAGGACGAGCCTGTGAGCGCGGCGACGACGATGGCGAGGAAGGCAAAGAGGACGGAAACGATGCCGACAAAGATGAAGGAGAACAACGATCGAGAGAGGGTGGTAGGGGATCAGAAAACTTGACACGCTTGGTTGACGAGTCTTGTCTTTCCTTCCCCTTCTCCTTCGAAATTCCCACAACCTTGTCCACATCGTCCTCCACACCTGCCACACGATCATCAATGGAAATTCCTGGCTCCGTACATCCTCCACTCCGATCAACGCACCCCGAGTCATCATCAACATGACGATCAACCCTTCTCTTCTTCCTACTTGTCCCACTCAAATCAATATCATCGTTCACTGTGACGGAGCCGTCGGCGCCACCCCACCTTCGCCGACCTCCGTCACCTGCTCTTTTGGGGTCCTCAACATTTTAGCTGCGCTCTCCTTGAACGCCTCCAAGACTGGACCTACATCCTTTTGAACAGTGGATGCAACCTCACTCGCCTTCTGACCGGTCGTTCTTTCAGATTGCAAAATGGACGAGAGAGCGGAGAGAGTGGAAGAGAGTTGAGCCTGGAGAGGTTGGAGAGACGATTGGATGTGAGAAGGGAGAGCGGCCGCAGAATGCTTAACACACGGAAACGATCAGAATCTAGCCACGACATAAAAGGCAGGCCCAAACTCACCTGGACTTTCTCGAGCTCGGAAAGAATCGATTGAGAAATCGAGTTGACTTTGGTCGAGGCGTCTGCCCTCAAAGCCGAAAGCGAGAAATTCAAGATTTGAACTGCCTCAGTCGCTTTCTGACTGTTTGGGAGAGTTGCAAACAAGGACGGGCAATATGATGCCGGATGAGAATACGTCAGTATGACGAAGTCCCAATGCAAAACAACACGAGATCGAGTGTGGGAGGGGATCACACGTCCATGTGAGACAAATGATTGAATAAATGAATAATGAAGTTTGACTCACACTACGACGTTGTGCTGCTGAACGAGTCGAAGATGTTCACCGGAAAGTGTATAGACTCTGTCCTTCAAGTCCAAACTCAACCTGTAAGCCCTCCCGACCTGCGTCCCCCCACCCGCATCGGCACCCGTGGTGGTAGAATTTTGTTGAGGAGGGACAATCTTATTCACAGCAAGTTCGAGCTTATCAACGATAGGAGAAAGAGATTGGTCAGCGTTCTTGGCTACGCCGTAAGCGGGAGCTTGAACGTTATCGTGAAAAGCGGCGTAGGCTGCATCGGAAGAAGATTTAAGTTGATTGACGATCTAGCGTGTGAAAGTAAGATCACATGTCATTTGGCACGACCGTTGGAAGACCATAAAAAGAAATCGATCGATAAGGGTAAAATGCAAGGAATGGGCCTAGGCGTGAGGAACGACCCAGAGAGAAGACAGGGGTGTTGTGGACGAGAGAGGATGTGCATGAGAAAAAGGGTCCAAACGACCTGGAAATTCCCAAAACACCTCATACACACGCACACACAAAAATCACGCAAAATCCCAGATCCCATGGGCAAACCCGACACTGGGGCAACGCGTACGTCCCAGGGAAACGGGGGTGATGGAGACGGAGGGTAGTTGCAATGGAGGGGGTAATGCTTCACCGGACAAGGACGATGACAAAACTCTGAAGAATTGAAGAAAACTCACCTCTCCCGTAGGGGTCTGGAACGGGTAAGGAAACCTGGACTCGACAGCATCCAAACCCTTGAGCGCAAAGTCGTCCGCCCTGTCGATAATGGGAGCGAACCTAGCCTGAACAGGCTTGGAATACTCGAAAGCGGTGTTCCCCAACCCAATGTATGCGTTATAAAAGTAACCAATGATTGGATGGGAGGAAAAAGTGGAATGGGCGTAGGAGACGGAATCGTTGATAATGGGGATTGAACGAACTTTTTCGAAGGATTTGTAGGAAGGGAGTTGAGGTGGTGGTTGTGTCTGGACTTGAGCCATGGTTATGGTAGATGGACAAGCGATGAGGGAAGAGAGAAAGTTTGAGGAGAGGAAAGAGGCAGAAGAAAGGATGGGATAGGGAGAGATTAGGTTTATAAGGTACGCAAAGGTTGTTGAGGAGCTGGATAAGGTTCGTTACAAGATTCACATGCTTTTTGTGAGACAAATTGTGCATGCAAAAAGGGCAGTTTTCATTCAGATCAATTCACCATATGAAAATTAGCAAAAAGAATTAAATTAAAATTCAGGGTTGCTTCTGATGAATTTGCAATGGTGGGGTTATAGCAAAGGGCAACGCAATTCAGAATGACCGCGACGCGCTCTCCTTTGAACCAACTTCAGCAGGGAGGGCCTTTCACGCACGCAATTACATATCTCATCCTCTTCCTGGTCAGACACACTCAAGGGATCCGGGGGTTCCACACAGAAGGATCCCCATGAGAACGAGAATGAAAGGCATGACTATCGCGTATTGTCACGCTCATGAGGGAGGGGCTCGACGAAAAAGCATGTGCTAACGATTGGCGCCGGTTGCACCATCACTTTCAGCCTAGTTCTCCCCATAGAATTACAATTCGGATATCTCCGTGTTGGGAGACCTTAGCGAGTTGCCATGTACCATATAAATTCATCCCGGAATCTTACATTAGGCGTACTCAGCCGCAACATTACGGTATATCCTGGCCTTTGTTGTCTATCCCCCCATCTTTCACGTACGTTCTCACATGCGGCGTTTTGCGTATCTCGGGTCGCTTAACACCTCCACTTTACCGCCTATGAGAACCTGCAAATCATTCCTCCTCCTTTCGTGATCGGGAGTTCCATCGAGGTGGACTGTAGATCAGCTTTTCATCAAAGTTCTAGGTCTATTACATTAATTTCCTAGTAACCAACAGAACCGAAAAATAACTTGATGACCACGATAAGGCCCTGCCTAGCGATAGGCTACGTAATGCGCTGGCGCCACATACATTATCACTTAGCCCCACTCGATTTTAAAGTGGTGCACGACATTCCTAAATCTCTTCAAGGTTTTACAGTAACGTTCTCCCGCTAACTCCTCATTCCTTACACGTGCTTCCACCTCAATATTACCAAACGTCGCGTTATAAATCGCAGGCTGGGTCGGCACCATTAAGTTATACATACCTACATGACACAAGTACTCAACCTGCTATTTATCATAACCCTTTTCCCTCGAGCTCAACCTTGGGCTCAATACGATTAATTCAACGCACAATTAAAACGCGCCTTTCGATTTCGATTTGACCACTAGCACCCGCGCGCGCGTCCACGGGCTCGGTTAGCTACTGTTGTGCAAATCGCGTACAATATATCATGAACTTCATAGTATCATTGCTTGTCAATGGGAAACTTTACCTGTTATGGGTAAAGTGTTCGTATGAGCCGAATTTCTACTACGGCGTCAAGTCCATCCATGAGAACACTTCGTCGTTCACCCAAGTTTCGGATAATTAAATAACCGGCGACCGGCCTTTCACATGTTTGGGGTTGGACACATGTCACCTCTAAACTGGCGGGGACGGCCGAATTCTCAACGCAATTACATAGTTGCATCTCTCTTTTGCCCCCCCCCCCCCCCCGTCAACGTTCGACCCGTCGGTTTTCCATAGGCTCCGGAACACGCCATTTCCCAATGAATAACAGAGCGACCGATACGATACACGTGAATGATGACCCGGATCTACGATTGCTGCATGGCTGCTAGATACGCCTGGCATTCCCGGTCCCGGGTTCAGATATTTGGGCAAGTTCAACCTATCGAAAGCGCAAGAGGCAAGCTACGGAGCGACTAAAACAGGATATCCCGATGGCTTCGGAATTAGTACTATATTATAGGGGTAACCGCCATGTCAGGGGAATGATGTGTTTAGGCTTTACTCAGATGCCGGCGGAACAATCACATCCTACTTGTTACTCACCCTTATTATCTGAGTACACTCCTCCACGCAGTGATCAGGTGGATGAACACAAGAATAATGTCAAAAAAAAGGCTTCCTCATGCTTATCGCATGCGTATCATACACACATGTAACTGCTAATTAACTTCCAAATCGTGGTTCCTGTTGCATGCATTTCAATGGTACGTTGGCATGTGCAAGATTTACGTTAGCTGCAGATTGCCCGCTTCGTCGTTCGACGATGCTCGGGCCGGCACCTATTCCAAATCCTCCGGAGGTTCATGGCGATTATGCAAGGCTCCGCAAATAAGTACTCCACTCACCGCTGACGGAATCAACAGGATTTTCACCTCTATGGGCCAGCGGTACGTGCCACCAGAGTCCTGGTGGCTTGGCACGGGAGCAATAAAGGTCTGGACCATGGGTCGAGCCAAAGGATCAAAGCAGGGACGTTCTTAACATGTCTCCAGAAGGTTGAGTACAAGACGACTAGGAAGTCATCCCCCGTAACAAGATTGCCATCAGTACTTGGAATGCTGCGGCTGATCAAGTGGCGCAACCAACCCACCGTAGATTATATATGCTCAGTGTTAATTCGATCCTCAGAGGTGCACAGCGCCAACTCGTCGTTGGGGTATTCAATGCAGCGAAAAAAAAATTCTAGATATATCACCAGGCATGCATGGTGATGGAAGATCGGCGACGCTTACAAAGGCGAAAGATTAAGATGCACGCTAAGACTGAACACTACGCAGAAGAAACGGTTGGTGCGTGCAGGAATAACTAGGTTTTATCCGCGCTGCTTTTCAAGACGTCATGCAAACGCTTGCGTTCTGATGTAGCTTCCCAGCAAGAGGCTTATTACCTGCTGGGCTACCGCCCAATCTGTAGAGCGGTGAACTACCGTGAACACGGATAACTCCCCTGGCAGTTAGAAAATCTCTGGAACCACCCCGATTGTCACCTTGCGATGTGGTTTGATTTGGGGAGTCGTCCTCCGTTTGCGCGCCCGCACACAGTTGGAAGACACTGACGTGATAACTCTCCTCTGGTTCACAACATGATATCTTCGTAAGGATCGGGGTAGATTTTCTACAGACGACGAAGCCAAACTGCGAGTAGCGATTTGAGTGAATCCGGAGCAAAATGACCTTGCAGATTTGTACATCGATCTATCTATCTCTGGACCCGCACTAGAGGCCTTTATCGTGACCACCTTTAACGTAAAACTCTTGAACGCGCTTGACGATTTTATCAAGTGCGGCGAGCCAAGCTATGAGTTCAGTCTCGACTTTGTCTGGAGGCGATCCGAGCTTGGGATAGAAATCGGCACGGGAAGGGCATGCTTTCATTGCAAGCTGTTAAGGAGTCAAACCTTGTGTGAGTCGGTGAAAAATGTAACTTTCCGATGAACAAACAAGTTCGTACCGCGAAGATGGGACGCACGACAAAATTGTGAAATTTCTTCAAGGTGTCTTCGTAAGCCTTTGTAAAGCTAATGGAAAGCTCTTCCTTCTTATCTGCTACGGAGCGTTGCAGGGCGATACAAGTGAACTGAAGACCGCTATAATGGGAACACAAGGGTTGAGGGAAGGAATCAAATTGAACTGATTGGCCGAGTTTGTAGGGCTGTTTGTACGTTACCGCAACAACCACAATAAACCTTCGGTCGCGGTACGTTTCTTTTCGCCCTTTTCATTCTCGACAAGAGACTCGAGCGTTGCAGATATCGTGGGTGCTGCGAGGTATCTAGTGCGGACTTTCTAAAAGGTACATTTAAAGCACATAGACGAATTGTGGTGACGAGAACGTACAGTGATGTTGCCGCTAATGTCGGCCTTGACAGGAGCGAAGGCCGCTGATCCGAGCAAATCTTTTGGTGACGGAACTGAGATGGGGGTGACCATATAGAAAAGAGGGAAACGGCATTACTAAACAACTGCACGATTCCTTCTGATGCTTCCAAAAACGCGATTGTATCGACGCCAGCGTCGGTGATCGTGACATCTGTGAAGGACTGGTGGTCCGGAATGAACGTAAGGATGGTAAATGACAAAAAAAAAGAAGAAGTATGGTATCCCGATTTGATGATCACCTTTGCGAGAGTGTTGAAGAAAACGTTTTCAGACATGATTTTGGACTCAAAAGTGGTTACTCAAGCCGAGAATGGTGGCGATACTAGTGTTCCGAGTTACCTAAGCTAAGGTCTCCTTGGCGTTTTTCCCACCCTCATCATGTTTCTCCTCACACGTGTGCTTTTTCTCCAGCAATGTCACGTTGTCCACCCGCGATGCATAGAACAATTGAGTTGGCTGCGGAGTAAGCGACAGCGTTTAAACGTGGCGCCAAGAATGGTGGCGATAACTAGATAACGTCACGCGACAACCCCAATTGGACGTAATGTGCAACAACATCTTTACATATGCAGCTATAAAAAAAAAACGTTCTGTCACTGTTGCAACCCAAAATAGCAGCGAAGAAGAAGAAGAAGGGTTCATGGTCTGACATAAAACGAAAACCCTGGTCCGTAAATGGCCCAACCTTTCCTTCGTCCCCAACAACCACCAACGGACAAGTGTTCAACTATGACGCTCAGCCTTTGTACACTCCTCATCTTCCTTGCTTCCACAGCTTTCGCTCAGTACGTCCACTTCCTCTACTCTCACAGTCTCATGTTCACTTTATGTAAACATTCATTCAGGACACCCAACCCAACATCATCTACTTCTATACCCCCCGTATCCCTTTACTCTACTAACCCTACCGCTGTACCATTGTCCTCTATCACCAGTGGTGTCCCTAGTCAGTCTACTATACCCCTCTCCCCATCACCCACTCCAGGCGCAACCCCACCTGTCAAAGGCGCACCTCCCTTGCCTTCTTGTAAGTTCCTTTCTACTTCTTTATATCATCCCCACTTCTCAGAAACCTTCCACAGTCGTATTCAGCCCCTCGCTTGGATACCCTCCTCTTGATCTAGTCCCCAGTGTCAATTCATCACAAGTTCAACAATGGATTCAAGACGTGAAAAACTCTGGCGTCAAGATTCCCAATCTCTCACCCACCCTGCTTGGTGGATGCGCAACTAATCCTACCCTCATCACTAATACCTCCCGTTGCTGGTGGACGTGTGGAGGATGCACTCGCTCAACTGATATCGTTACTTGTCCCGATAAGGTATGGACCACGTTTTCCATGGCTTATCAATTTGAATTTTGACCCAGATCTTCCCACCAGCTCACCTGGGGTCTGAGCTACGATGACGGTCCATCTCCCTGGTCACCGGGTGAGTTTTGTGTCTGCATCCCTTCCCAACTTCACGCTCCAAACATTGACGGATCCCTCCCCCGTTTTCTAATGTAGACTTGCTGGACTACCTTAATACCAACAATCTGCACACTACCTACTTCATCATAGGCTCCCGCGCAATCTCTCGTCCAGATATCCTGCAAGCCGAGTACATGAGCGGTCATCAGGTTCGTCCAGGCATCCCTTAGGGTGAATTCCCCAACAACCTCATATCCCTTTTTACGTCCTCTAGATTTCAGTTCATACATGGTCCCATCCATACATGACTACATGTCAGTTTTTCCCGACCCTATTTTTGACAACAACGCGTTCAAAGTCCACCACCTTGTTGATTTCGACTAGTATCGAATGAGCAAATCATTGCTGAACTCGGATGGGCAAAAAAAGCTATCAAGGATATAACAGGTGTGACCCCTAATACGTGGAGGCCCCCGTTCGGTGATGTCGAGTAAGTGTCGTTGTTGGGATCGTTTTGAATAGCCATCATTGACCTCCAGGGGATAGCGATCGTGTCCGGGCTCTTGCTCAGGCGATGGGCCTTACCACTATCGTCTGGTCAGCTTACAACGGGAAAGACTTCGACAGGTAGTTATAGCCCTAACAACGTACCACTCACCTTCGAGATAACTCACAGTTCCTTTTCCGGATAGTAACGACTGGTTCATCCCTGCCGGGTACCCCGTCGCCCAAGTCATCGATAACTTTGAAAACATCTTGTCAGACGCGCAGAACCTGAGTACCGGTTTTATCGCCTTAGAGCATGACTTGTACCAGCAAACTGTAGACCTTGCCATCGGCTACATCTTACCGTACGTACGAGAACTTTTGATTGCTAATTTTGCCTTTTGGACAAACCGACGTACATCACTAACTCGCTTCAAATTTACTCGGGATGATTCCAGTGATGCACTCGCACGCAAGACGTTTAACCTAAAAAGCATCATCTCATGCCTTCACAAGCCTTTAGAGGATGCCTATATCGAGACGAACAATAACACGACGAACCCGACATCCGACGGAGCAACGACTCTCCCTGCGAGTACATCATCCGGAACCACGGTTGCGGGTAAGGGCTCGTCGAGCACTCCCGCCGGCCATGGTGGCGCCGGATTTGTGGGGGCAACGGTGGACATGAGTGGAGTTGTCGGTCTTTGTGTCATTTTGCTGGCGGTGATGTTTGGAGGTGTGATGGTATTTTGAGATTGACACAAAAAGTTCTCTGCGCGTGCAGGCTTTCCCTTGCGTATGGACTACCACTGCTACGGTTCAGACAGTTTTTTTTTCCCCCTGCTACTGCGCCTGACATGTGTAGCCAAACCGGACTAGCGTCGTCCTGTTGTCGATTTCCTTGCATGCCTATCTCGTCACGATCTAGTTTCCCTCTATGTACATTTTTCCCTCGTCACTTAATTGTCACGTTTTCCCGCGTTCGTTTTGGATGTCTATTTGCATGTGCCTCCGTTAAAGGAATGTTCCCTTTGTGCGACTTGTAAACTGGTGGAGCGAGAAGCACACTGAAATTTCCAGAAGCCCTCCAGCCGCCCTTACAAACATCGAGAACGAGCTGGGATTAGTTGTCCGAGCTTGCGAGGTATTCATACGATTATGTCTAGGTGTGCTACGATACAATGATTTTTCACCCAATGATGATTTTCCCCTCGCCCTCGTCAAAGCTGTACGGGGGTACTTCTAGATTGAGCTAGAGAAACAAATGAGCGGAAATTCTAGGAAGGGCCAACGAAGGAAAACATACGGGAGCAGGTCCCTTCCGAATACGGCCAGCTGTAGGGAGGAAAAATACATCAGCAACCACGAGTGACGTGAAAATGACCAAAAATCACGAACAGATATCGTAATGAGAGCCATGGCAGGGACAGAACCTAGCAGTGACAAGATTAACAATCGCACGTGCAGAACACGACGAAAAATGCCTGTATAACTCACCATCCACCAAAGTCTCCACTCTCGCCGATTGGAACGCAACCGAGGTGAGTGCAAACACCCAACATGATAAGCCACTCTGGCCTCTGTGTACGAGCCTCGTCTGCCTCAGGATCGCGCAACGACTTGACATCAACATTGTTAGCCTCCTCAATCTCATCCGAGGTACGATGACGGATGAAGACAGGCTTGCCACGCCATTTGATAATGACGTTCTTCCCCTCTGGGATGTTATTCATTTCCACTTCGACCTTGGCGAGGGCTAAGACATCTGCTGAGGCATTCATGGATGAGAGGAAACTTGTGACGGTAGATTTGGCAGCCGTAGCACCGAGAAGACCCGTCGAGCCAATGACAAAGTATGACAAGGCTCTGTTGTTGTCTTGGTTTTTTGGACGGTAGTGAGAGAAGTCGGGGACGGTCTCGCTGGCATCTTTGACGGCGGGAGTGGCATGTATGTAACGCTTTCCTGGCACTGTGGGAGCGGCTGAAGTACCGATGGTAAGTTTGTTGTCCGGCTTCAACGACTAATGTTCGAACAGTTTGAAACGTACATACCATTGACATAGATCTTAGAAGTAAGCGATCCGTTGATTAGACGTGCGCCTCCCGCCCATGAAGGAACCTTGTCAGACCGAGCCAATGGTCCATGTCCGTGAGAATGATGAGGATCCGAAGGACCAGTTGCGGCCAGATTCAGCCAAGGTGCAAAAGGCACACCAGAAGGAAGGGAACTGACAGTGGGTGCGAGATTAATGGAGGTGCGTGAAAAAGAGCGCAGGGCCGCCATCGTTGGGCTGAAGAACTGCCGCGAAAATCTCGCTCGGCTTGGACTGTTGCCCGGATAGGTCACGTGTGTACAACACAAAACAAGCATTTCGCACGCCCCGAGTCTTGGGACAAGTATTGGAGCCTGACGAATCAGCACCCCTTTCTCAGCAGTTAGGCCGGGGCTAACGATAACCCTGCAGCTCCCAAGGGGCTCGATACCCTTCCACCAAGCTTTATTTTACACATACCTTTCCTAATCGGTTGTTCTGCCAGCCGGCGATCCGCACAAGGCGGCCTCAGATGACCTTACTCCTATATTAGCACCATCAGAAGACTATATAAGTTCTCAGTAATCATACCACACTTCCTACAACACCCCCTTCCCCCTGATCCCGACATGGCTTCTGCTACAAGTCCCCAGCAACAACCGATTAATTTCATAGGCGCTGTCCACGATGGTTAGGACACCCGTTTTCCTTTGGAATGGAAAATAACTTACACAGACACCATTTAACCCATACCGCCGCCTCCAGAATGGACAATGTTTAGGTCAGTCACCACTTGAGCGACTTTTGCCATAATAGGGTCTGCTAATCCTCGCACACAAGTGATGACCCTGCAGACTACATTTTAGAAGAACCAATAGGATTCGGCGCATCGTCAATCGTATACCAGGCTTTGTACACTCCCAAACATGATCAGACTCGTCCAATACCTTGCGCCCTCAAAGTTCTCGACCTGGACAAACTTCCGCAGTATGCTTTGACACTCTTGACGCGAGAAACCAGGCTCATGAGTCTGTCAAAGCATCCTAACGTGCTTCGTGTGCGAGGCAGCTGGACGTCTGGACATCGAGTGTACATTGCCTTGCGTCTCATGCGAAAGGGCAGCGTGCGCGACCTAATGCGATATAAACATATTGATGGGATCGGCGAAGAACCACTCAAATGTATTCTGAAGCAAGCTCTTCAGGGACTGAAGTGCGTATAGGTCACTTTTGTTTCCCATTTTGAATGCCGATAATTAATCGCTTTCAAGTAGTTATCTTCATGTGAATGGTCTCATCCACCGCGACGTGAAGGCAGCAAACCTTCTTATCGATGACGATGGCACGGTTCTGTTGGGGGACCTTGGTGTTGCAGCGCCACTGACGGACGAACCGAAGGAGAAGTCCCAGTGTTATGACTTCCCAACAGTTACATATCCCATGGAAGGCACAACAGACGAAACACCCCACCCACTTCCTTCCCAAACTCCAAAGCCGCAACTTGGTCACCGCAGATCATTCGTCGGTACACCTTGCTGGATGGCACCAGAAGTCATTACCCGATCCGCGTACGGTTCCAGTGCAGACATCTACTCCATCGGCATTACCGCGCTCGAACTTGCTCATGGACGAGCACCACACTCGCTCGATCCTCCTCACAAGGCACTCATGAAGACGCTCCAGAATGCATCACCGACACTCGATCGTTCTGGAGGTGTTCACAAGTATTCGCGAACACTCAAAGAGATCGTCGACAGGTGTCTCACGAAGGATCCACAGCTACGACCAACCACATCGGAGCTTTTAGAACACCCTTACTTTAGATCAGCCAAGAAGAAGGATTACTTAGTTAAGACCTTGTTGGTTGGGTTACCACCTCTCGTCGTGAGGCAGGAGCGTCGGAAGCAACCAACCTCACTCACTAGTACCAGCATCTTGAGCTCTTGGGACTTTACTCAAATAGCTCTTTCATCGTCAGCACATCCTCCGATCATGTCGAGAACACTCAGTGTTTCGAACATACCCCGGATGGGGGGCGACATCCTAGTTGAGGAAGAATCTGGGAGCAAGGCCGAGAATGGGAAAGATCTGCCACCTATCACGCGCCTTGAGATCCAGCAGCCTAGCGAAAGTAGTGCAGGTCGCCATGAAACTGTTGCTGATCATCCTCGGGTGTTGTCGACAGCATCTTCAAAAGACCAATCCCCGTCTAATTCCCGATTCACACTTTCTGTGCCACTACCTTCCTCCGGAAAGTGGCGTATGCTGACCAACAAACTTGGCTCGGGTCTCAAGAGCCCTTCATGATCGATCGCAGTTTAATCAGCAGCCTCAACCAGGTTACAAGCAGCTTAGAATTATCACGTAACCAGTAGCTTCCTTAACAATTTCAACATTGCTCGCAGCTCTCAGCAGCAGCTTGTCCGTATACAAAACGAGATCTTTCTGCTGTTCAGACTCTTTCAATGCATAAGCGGCGCAAATGCTAACATCTACCCATTTGGTCATTCTTCAGGATTTCCGCAACCAGTTAGACCTATTTCTTTGCAATCCTCCAAAGTCATACAGGATTCGCGATCCCACGTGTGCTGCATGCGCAGAAACCCTTATCGTTCCCCTATACGCATGAAGGCACTCCCCATGAGCACACCCAGTCATTCGTTATCAGCCCAAGTGCCTCGCACCTGGACATTCCGGGTTTCCTTTTTTCGTTCGCCATTTCAGTCAGCGTCTGTCAACATTATTTCATCCAACTCCCGTGTACGATTTCTCCCAATTTCGGCATTACTTGTGTCCCTCAGACTGCACAGTATTGTCCCAAAGACTCGATTGTCGGTAGCCTATGCGTTGTAGATATAAGAACCCGACCAGAGCGTTTGACCTTGAGGACCGAGCGTGTGAACCCGGAGCAATACGTAATCAAATGTCGACACGCGTCAAAGCTTCGAGTAACGCTGCTACAGCCACGAACTGCAACTCGAACCACCATTCTAGGAAAGAAATATGATTTTGGAGCCTTGAGGCATGGGCGTCCTGGGACCTTCCTTCATACCCCTATCAGGTGTGTGCAAAACGGCTGTTCGCTGCATCTAACCACCTAATCTCACCTCCACACTTCATCAGAGTGCAGATAATCCGCCTTCCCTCTCCCCTCATCAAACCCTACTCTTCCGTCAACAAGGCTTCGTCAGCTGCAGAGTTCGCTGGTCGAGCACGGTTCCGCCCTGATAACCTAACTTCTTACCCGGGCTCTCGTAACCCCCACACACCATGTCCAAAACACAAGGCCGTCTCACGCGGGAACGCGAGCGCCTCAGCCGTGTCTGGGAAGGCATGATTTCAGAGCAGGAAGAGATGCGCAAGCAGACAGACTTGCTCAACGGCCTCACAAAACAGCTTGAGGGATTTCGAAGCGAACTTGGGAGATTGGAGCGGATCAATGCGGAAATGGGCTACAAGACAGATAGTGGCGGCAAGAGGGCAAACAAGTTCGCGACGGACAATGCCATGTTGAGGGAGAGCGTTCTGGTGCAGACGTGTAAGGTGGAGAACGAGATCAAACAGTCTCTGGATGCAATGGAGAAGTTATTGGAGCGTGAAGGAAAGAGATTACACAAGGTAAGCACGGTGATGCCCATCAGCGATAACAATAAATGATTGAGAGCCTTTCAAGGAACTTGAACGTGTTAGAATGGAAAAGTTTTGGAACGTTGCTGACGGCTTACGAGGACGGAATGCAGACCTTGACCCTGTTGAAGTCCTTTGGACAGACGAAGAAGCGAAGCTCAAGGATGACGCTGACAAAGTCCGTAGCTTGCGAAGCATGTGCTGGCAGCGCATGCACACCGACGCCATGAAGCTTGAGGGACTGCGAATGGAGGAGCGAATCCGTCAAGACCGCGAAGAACGGCGCCAGCGACAACAACGACATAACACGTTTAGTTACAGTTCCAGCCACCAAGAACGCAAAGACAGATCCTACCATTCTTCAACTTCTGGTCGGGATAGTGACGAAAGGAAGCATTTTCGGCGAGACCGAGCGCCTGATGGATCATACGACTCGGTGCATAGCACACCGCAGCCCCGACATTTCAAATCATCCTATGCTGGCAAGGACGAGCGTCCCAAACTCTCTGCTGCGGATGCCCGCATCATCACTGCATGGAGAGCGTATCAGCTCAGCTGGACAACGACAATGGCCGGAGAGTCTACTTACTTGACATATTCAAGTATTCCATGGCCGGTGGCTTCAGAACCGCTTGCCCCATCGTCCCTCACCCCTTCGCGAATATCCGAATTCCTGCTTTCCACCACGCATTCGACGCTAAAATCACCTATGGATAGGTTACGGGACGCCATGAAACTTTGGCATCCAGATAAATGGGAGGGAAAGCATATGAGCCGCGTAGTTGACACGGACAAAGAGACGGTTCGAGAGGCGCTGGGAATGGTGGCTCGGGGGTTGATTGAGCTGATGCATGCCCAAAAGCTCGGTCGACAGTAAGAGTTGGTTTATGGAGTTATCATTATTCTTCGATTTTTTTTTTACAGTCCTCTTCACAATTCGATACGCCACGTCAATGAGGACCGAATTTTCCTATAAGAACGACGTCGCGAGTTAGGTCTAGACTCCGCTTTGAGCATTCGGGCAACAAGACCGTCCGTTTAGGAAAGATAAGGAAATGGCGAGATGTTCCTACTAGAGTCGCTGCAAGGTGGAAAACACGCTTGTGGCCCGTGGGATATCGATCAACACGAGACAATGATCGATGGGACGACCCGATGCTTGGCCCATTAGGAAGTTTATTCGCTACCGAGAAGCAGGTGAGAGTGTTGCAGACAGCAGACAGTAGCATAAATTATACATCATAACGTGGAAAAGGCTGCGATTCACCAGCTCCTGCTCCGCGACATGACCTTAGCTCTTCCAGCGTCAGCTGATCCTGAACAAGCAACTTAGTCATATTATGCTCATAAACTCATGCGCTCTGTGAATTTACGGAATCACCAATCATTTGGAGCAAATCTGCCTGAACACGACTCATTACTCAGAGTAATCCAAAACGGGAACCTGTCGTTGCGACAAACCGTTTTACTGCCATTCGTTTCGATGGCTCAAGCACTGAACGTGAGCGATGCCCATGGCATCCTTTACCCCATATCCATGAGGTTTTCATTCTCAACGGTGGCACATCGTGACGAGATTGGGTGTTCCGGCCCCATCATCTCGATACACTACAATATTTCGAATATCAACGCTTATCACAAAGCTGAATGCTCGCCACTTGCATACCAGTTGTTGTAAAGTCGCCTACTTTTCTGCTGATCGCTCCGTCCCTTCATACCATCATAACAGGCATGATGCCGAGGTCATACAGGGTGTCCCACAACTGCACAGGGGGATAAGTATATAGGGCCCAATTGAACGTGGGCGAGCCCATCCGAACGAACGAACGAGCCCTGGCCGGCAACATACATCAGCACTGGGATTGTGATAGCTTTTCTCGGCAGCATGCAGATCAATGCTTGGTATTTAGCAAGTATGATAATTAGCGTACCATGCAAAATATCTGCCCATACCATGAAGTTTCGAGCAGAACTGATCAGATAACTAAAATTAAACGTACAAATAAGCCAAGAAAATTGATGTCTACGGTCAATGCAGGCCAAAGAACTCCCACCCTTCCAGTACTACCCACGTCCAACTGCCCAACTGCCCAGTGCTGACAGAAGTGGTCACTGGTGGTCGGACTGAGATTGCAATACACGCGGTTCGTCTTTGAATGGACCCAGGACCGTATATTCATCTACACTTTGGGGCTCATGGCCGCAGCATCCAATATTCTCAACTAGCCTCCAATCCAAAGTCCAAAGCCGATAAATCCAACTCGACGTTGACAGTGTCAGACTCTTCAAGCACAGCCTTACGAAGGACAAGAGCCTCCGCAATGTATCGCGGTGCGAAGGAGACATCCGTTGCACGGGATTGTCCACTACGTCCTGTAGATAGGTCGGCAGCCTTGTTTGGCCTGCATTTCGTAGAAGGGAGCTGAAAATTGTTGCCAACTGCAGGTTGAACAGCAATTGTGTCGGAGGGAGCAACATTTTGGCCCATCGTAGCTAGCGTTTTTTTCTTTCCCTCACGCCTCTCATCACTCCTTGATCGCCTCTCAAGAGCCTTCGCCTGTGGGTCAATAGGAGCCAACAGTTTCTTTGCGGGATGTATAGGTTGAGGGAGGGGATTGGATGAAATGCTAGGTGGAGGTGGAGTGGACGCAAAACTGTTGATATCCAGGTCAAAAGCAAAGGCAGCATCATCATCTGCTTCCGAATCAACATCTGTTGTATTTGTACTGGGTGACTTCGAAGATGGCGTGGGATGAGCGGAACCCCCATCGGGACGCAAAGGCAGTGTATCACGCTTGAACCCGAAACGTGGTCCTTGCCCATAAGGAAACCTTCGAATGATAGGACGAGGAACGCCGCGCCCTACGGATCCGGTCGCTCCGTCGTCTTCCATGCCCCGCAATGAAAGTGGAGCAGTGCGGCGGTTCCAGGACCCAAGTTCATCCGAGCTATAGCTGGAATCTGCCCCGAACCATGTTCCTAGGAGACCGGTGTCCCCAAGTGCCACAGAACCTGAAGTCTCCCCTGAAAGCGCCAAGGGACGTTCGCCAAAACCAGATGTGGCTGGGATTGTTATTTCTTTTTGTACGATAACGGTGGCCCCAAGTTCCTCTGCCATGCGCTCAAGCGTACCAAGGGACTCATCGAGCTCCTCGCGAGTAAGTCCGACAAGTATACCAACGTCGGACACGCCAATTTCGTAGAGAGCTTCCCCTTGACCAGCCAGCAAACGCCACTTCATTTGAGTGACAAGGCGCATAAAACGTTCGGGCTTGTGAGGAGCAAGTAAGCGGTTAGGTGGAGGGGTCGGAATGAAAACGACTCACTGTCGGGCTGAGCAATTTAAGCTTGTACTCGACGTTGCCCTGACGATCCTCCACTATTAGGCGCAATAAGAATATTGTAAGATACATGAATGTACGCACCTCCTCAATCTCGGGTGCCAGTCGGCCAGCCGAGTCCCCATCTGACACACCAGAAGGAGAGGGGGAAGGAGTTAGCGCTTCCCAGGGAGAGCGGGAGTTAACTGAGAAGTATTCCTCCTCAGAGTCAGGCATGCTCAGACGGATGTAACGAGTTATTGGGAAGGCTTGTGTGTAATTCAGATAGTGAATAACTAGGGCTTATATTCGAGGTATCATCGTACAGTTGTGGAAGTGATGGTGGAGATACCATAGGCAGCGGGCGAGTCATGCAACGTCGTGACTAATCATGTGATGAGTTTCGCCCATTATCCCAACATTGTCCACCGCAACAATGGCAGTCACTCTTCTATCGCTGCACTAATTTGGCCCACTGACTAGTGCTCTCGTAGGATGTCGACCCTATCCAAGACATCGTGCCACCCCGTTATGCGATCGAGTCTGATGACAGTGACGGCGAAGAAATGGAGGCCAGAGCCACACAAAAATCGCCCCCCAGTATTACTGTCAACTTCAATGGGGAACCGAGTCATAGCCTCCTCATACTCATTGGACAAGCTGGGGAACAATACCGGAGAGGCATAATCACTCCCAGCTCAACTACTGGATCCATTGTTGTTGATAAAGTCAAAGCACGCATCCCCCATTCGTTCGGTAAACAGAAAGTTACTGATGCGTAGTGTCCCTTTTAGGTTGGGGAAATCCAGGAAATATCTCCTAGCCTCCTGGTCGTGATCATAACTCATGAACTTCCAGCATTGGCGTCAAATCTCCTGGCGAAGCAGCTGATTCAGACCCTATCACCTTGCAGGTAACACCTTCAATCCTACTTAACATTAAAAGATTGAACCACCAATTTAGCGTGGAGTTAATGGACACTTACTCTCTTCCCATTCACGTCTCATCAAAACCCATTTCCACCCCTACCTCGCCACTGATGTGCCTGAAAACTTCAAGCTTCCAACCGGTTCATTTCTTCAACCTTCTCTGGAATCTTCTGCTGACCGAATAATTGTTAGGCACCACTAAACCTGATTCCTTTAGCACCCCCAAATATTATCCGGTCTTTCACAGCATCTGTCCTCTGTATTCTCGAACTGCGCAGTATTCCAGGTCTTGCTATTTTATTACCATCACGCTTCCTCCCTCCCCGCATTCCAACGGAACAAGTTGGCCCTCAGCCACCTCCGGCGTATGCGCTGGAGCAATTCGAGAACCAAAATTTAGCTGATGCTAACAGAGCTTTCAGCTTCGGTGGTACGCTTGGGTGGGATATAAGTGTTGCCGGGAAAGCGAGCGGGTTCTCACGACCGCAGGCTCAAGGGGATATCGGGAATGGGGGAATGTATCTATAAGAAAGCGCAAAAGCGTCGAAACAGCTCACTCTCCAAGTCTAGGTGCTCGACAGCCGACTGGAACCATTTGGAGGGACACAAGGCGAGAGCTGAATTGTGAGAAGGGGATGTCAGGGTCAGACTCGGTTGGGCGTTTCTTCATTGGGAATCGCGATCGGCAGGAGGAATTCTGCTATCCAAGCGAGTAAAAGAGTAGTGAGGTCAGGTACTGGCTAGATTCATAAAGATGTTTGTACAACAGAGAGCAGCAAATGGGTTCCTACGCCTCTTGTGGATCCTGAGTCAGCACTTCGCTCCCGCAGGGAAGGTCACCCCTACCCACACGGCCAAGAAGTTAGTATTAGTTCAACAGCACTTAGCCTTCCCTGCCCTTGGGGCCCTCAGGAGCCTAAATATCCAGATGACACCACAAACGTCATCGGCCACTCAGCTATCAGTCACTCTCAAGATTGTCGACCTTCGTATGATGGGATATCACCCTGGCTAAACAATTTGATGGCAATGGTGACACGATTCGAGATCTAGGGGCACGGAACGGAGTCTCCTGTTGGCTTTGTTCCCATCAAGGTCTTGGGTGTCAAACCCGGTAGCGTACAAAGAACCAGGGCAAGAACTGAAACTTGCCAAAGATAATACAAGATGATAGGAGCCGACGTTGACAGCTTCACAGCATAATAGTCAGTTCAGCTGAACATGCCTGGGGCCGGGTTCACACAATGAATTCGGCCAACTCCGCTGTAATACAGCAGAGGCATGATTCAAAAGCCATCCTCGTTGGTCAGAATAGATGTTCATCCGTCTGTGGCCGAGAGTCCCTCGGATCAAGTGGTTGGCGCTTCGACCCGTCAGTTTCCCACTCGGCCTCCCCAAGCATCCGTTCCTCCTACTTCCTCATAAACCAGCGCAACAGGATTTGACATCAAGCCAGAGAGCAACGGCTGAATTCCAATTTCCGCTATATATTTGTCAGTGTCCGATCCAAGTGTCATCAATACTATTAATATCATCCAAGTTGGCGACCTGCCTATCGGTTTGGTGTTTCCTCCCAACAGGCTCACTTTTCTCGAACCCCAAGCATGAAGTAAGTTGTGCGCCACCATTTTTCCTTACCTGCAACATTTTATGAGTCATCGCAGATTGAGCGCCATTAAATTCAAGACACGGTTCCGTCCTCGGGCAAAACTGAAGGACTGGACAGCACCCATCCTCGTCTCATCTGACTGCATTATACCATTCCACCCCCGTTGCAACCCAGACATCGTTTGGGAAATCGCCTTCTATCTAGACCACGCTTCCCAACGTGCGCTATGCTGCACGTCGCGCTTCACATACCAAATTTTGCATGCAGTTCTTTGGAAACGCGTCGTCCTGGACAGCGCCGAGCGGCAACAAGTTGAACAACTCCATCTCATTCTTCGTTCCGGAAACCGAGGCAAGCTGGTGGAACGGTGTGATATACACTGTACGTTGGGCTTGAAAGAATTTGCAAGGGTAATGATGTTTGCCCCACCTGTCGCAGGGCGCCAAGTCGGTGCCCTAGAAACTATGAGCAATCTTAGACATCTAGGGTTGTTCACTGATGATTACACTTCGCTGGAATTGGATTTGGGAAACTGCATCCTTCATACGGCGCTGCACATGAGCCCAATGTTTCGACTCGAATCCTTCGCGTCAGACGCACCTCCAAGTCCATTCCTACAAGTCTTTCTTCTGACCCAACCGAGCATCCGAAGATTCGCGTACTTAAACGACAGCTACACGATGAAATTATCCCGTGATGCCCTTCCTTTACTTGAACGTCTCGAGGCCCGTTCAGACAGCATCCTTGGGCTGTTGCGTGGGCGTTCGAACGTACATGCCTTGATGTTTACTGACAGGCATGGTATGTCCGTCTCGCATAATGTTCGGGCCCTCATCGCTCGTTCCCATTCGCGTTCGAGCCGTCCCATTGAGCATTTACACATGCAAGTGATTGGATTCTCAAAGCGAGACTTTTCGAACGTCACGGCACTCAAACATCTTCGTTCTCTCTATATTGGCACCGTCCATTCCGATTGGTTTCCCTCCTTCCAGCGGCTGTGGGGATACATTGGAAGACTAACGCTATTAGAGTTCATATCTCTTGAACTCTTCGTGGACCCTTCGGCGGGTCTCGTGGATGACGAACATATGTTACCCCAGATGGAAACCTCCTATTTGAGATTGGTTATGCGGCAGGAGAACAGCTGGCGGTATTATACGAGGACGAGGGGGGACTCAGAATGGGTCATCCAGGGGACCGGGGTGGGCGTGAGTCCAGCTCACGATGATGACCCACCTGATTGGGGAAAATGGATCTTGTCGCCGCGGCCCATTCGAAGATGGTTCTAGCTCTCGGCTTAGTATTTTCGCTCAACGTGGGAATACAAGAGCATAATTCTGTCAAGGCATTCGGATGCATGGTTGCGAAGTACTACACTCGTATGTTCATCAATGGGCAGTCTCAGGGATGCTTCACTTGTCGCAGGCCTAACTTAGAATCGAGCATAGCCTGTTGCAGTTGACCGCGTGTGGTAATGGAAATGAGTTGGGAATAGAACCGCGGTCGCACACAGAGTGGATCTCAGCCTGTGCGACCATGACCATCTGGTTGACCACCAGGGCTATAGCTAGTCAATCACAATGGATAGCTACACATCAATGGCCCTATGATTGACTGAGCGCATTGTCGAATCAGTTGGAAACTGATATTATATAGTAACGCGTGTTAGCAACCAGCAGACGTGCCCTATGCATATAGCGCGTCACTGGGAAGCAAGATTGATCACATCAACACCAGAAATTGGGAATGTGATGGCAAGAAAGCCATACAATGGTGCCAACAGCTGCTCCTTGAACCTAGTTGTCCATTGAACAGGCATGGCTACCACTTCTGCGGTCACTCCAGGCCCCGGCATTTCGGGCTCGCCATCCGGGCATGTTCTCCTTTCAGGAGAATCTCATCATGCAAATCTGAAGCCATACCACATACAATAAACGTACGAGAGATAGCGGCGTGTAACTAGTTGATCGTCGAGCCCACAAAGAAAAGTATGGGGTACGCCTCGAGCGGAATTAAATTGAGTGGCGGGCACATCGCTTGACCACGTTTAATGCGCTAATCATTGTAGACGACAGTATATAACAATGTGACAATGATGCCTATTTCTACATAAGACCCTCCAGGTAGTTTACACGTACGAGTTCTCGGGGTGGATACACCACAACGACGTATTTGGACATATGTAATTCCATTTGAGGTTTTCGGCATACTTCACCAAACAAACCGCAATCCATTTATAAATAATATCCACCATCTAGACTCCGCCATCGAAAAGCCAAATTGGACGTCAAAGTTCCAGTGAAGACATTGTCTCAATCATTCCGGGCGCGTCAGGCTGATTGCTCAAGCGACCGCGCGTCGTACACTATCGATAAATCCAAGCTAGCGCATACTGCTGCTTGCCCGCTCTCCTTCAGTCCGTGTCCAATGTACTAATCGCTCTTCATTCTTCAGAGCAGCCTTCCCGTTTGCAGTTCACAATGATCTCACGTTAAGTGGATGGAAATGATTGCAGGCAATAAATAGGCAGCGGATCAGGTGAAAAGATGTATATCCATGAGATGAGTAACAAATCACATAAATCAAAATCAACCATAAGCGCTGGGGATTTGGCCATGCTATTTGTCTAAACGATAGGGCTAGGACCGTGGCAACACAAATAAGAGACGTTAGGATTGTAGGATTGAGGATACAGATAGACCAACTTACGCGACCTCCCTTGGGGGCACACCATGCAATGAAGTGTGACTTGGGACTCCCTCAATACGGTGATACGCATTAAGGTTTTTGTGCAACGTAATTTGGAAAACGGACGAGCCGCCCTCCCTGCAGGCGGAGGATATCAATTCACAAACGTCAAATTCCAAGCGATGGTGTAGGCGTACCGAGCGACGATAACGGACCACGCTAGGAAGAACGTCCAGAGACGGAACCATCTAGATGATGAAAATCAGAGGCATGAAAGGCACCAACTTTCTTTCTCTACCTCCTTCCGTATTTCTCAACGACCTTCTCTTCATTCGAAAGCCAGTTCTTATACCACCTCCAAATGGTGGCTGAGTAGTGAACACCAAGGACATCGATGGATTTGACTTCAAAGCCCACTCCCTCCAGCTGCCACGCTAAGTGAGCCAATGCAACAAGTGGACAAAGACTTGGTGACACACACGACCGATGACCCAGTTCAATGCGCAGCTGGCATCTGCACCCGGGAAGATATATTTGTTCATAAAGAGACCCCTTGATTCCATGCGGGGTTAAATAAGAGCCGTCTGATCCAGATCGAGGGTGGCGTACCAGACAAGATCATGATATTGCCAGGTAGGGCGGAGACCCGCAACCTGAAGCACGAAGATACCATCGTCGTCCAGGAGATCATAGACCTCACGTAAAAATGTGTTGTATCGGCGAATGCCTACGTGCTAAAGCGTACATTTGAGCGAGCTTTTCTGCATGTAACAGAACAATAGCCCATTACCTCTGCCATCTCAAGGGAGACTATCTTGTTGAATTTCTTGCCCCTGGGAATATCACGGTAGTCCATGCAAAGGACCCGGGCCTGACTGTCATCTAGTCCATTATTTTTTATCCTCTCGTTACCAAAAGCCGTCTGTTCTTTCGCGATCGTAACACCAGTGGCATCGATATCGTAGTTCTTTGCTGCGAAAGCAGTCAAAGTCCCCCATCCACAGCCAATGTCCAAAAGCCGGTCACCAGACTTAAGGTCAAGTTTCTCACAGACGAGAGTCAGTTTATTATCCTGAAGCTCCTCGAGAGTCTCTTCGCGCGTGATATCCTTGACAATGCCTGAAGTATAGATCATGCGCGGTCCAAGGAACCAAGAGTAGAAATCGTTGCCACCTTCAAGAGTATAAGAACGATTTAGCCTAGATCTCAGGAAGGGGAACATGAAGCTTACGGTCATAATGATCCCTGACTTGCGACTCGTCTTGCCCCCGGGTGTGGAAGATGACATCCGGAATGAGATTCATGAAAACGTATTTAAATAGCTCAACGGTGAAGCCGAATGACGCCCAATCCCAACGATACTCCAGCGCTTCCAAAACATCACCTTTGAAGGGTTGTCAGGTTATCATGAATGTTGGGTAAGTGCTCACTTGCCTTTGATGTCGATTTTCCCCTCAATGTACGCATCATGAAAAATTTGCATCGGAATCTTGGCATCAGTGAATCCCCACTGATGTTTGAGATCAGGGTCCTTTATATCGTAGTAAAAACCTGCAGGCCTCCCAGGGAGTTTCACTTTCTCATTTTTACGCGGTCCATAGTGGCTCATGAGAGCCCAGTACGCGATGGTGATGGGCAGACTGAGGAGAAGGACGAGGAACCAGTAAGTGCAAAAGCCCCCTCTATTCAAAAGTGGAAGGAGGCGTTTGACGACCCATGGCACGCCAAGGACAAGTGCTGCCAGGTGGTAATTTGAGAAGGAACCGTTCCCCTCAGCAGGAAGAGGTGCATTGTGAATTGCTGGTACATTGGTAACGCGCACGACTGATTCTGGCGCGCTCATCACTTGATGCACCAAACTTAATGACACGAAATAAACGATGGATAGAATCGATACGACGTGATGGTTAATGAAGGTGAGGACTTACTTTGCAAATGGAGGTGGGCGCTGGTTAGTGTTTGCTTCCGAAGCGCAAACCCAACAAACCGGAATCGAATCAAAACCGGGTGTGGTCAATATTGTGACCAGGAGGCCCCTTCCGTTGACTACGCGGCCTTTGACACTCACAGAGACGCGCAAACACCCGTTTGCTGCTCTCTGTTGTACAAATATCTTTGTAAATCTATCCAGTACCTGACCTCATCGCCAGTCTGGCGCGCTTGTCTGATTCTCACTGTTACTTGTTTCCATCTAAGCACTCTTTAATTTTCCTCCTCCCTTTTATCGGGATTAGTCTCACATCCAATGAAGAAACGCCCTGCTCCTTCTCGAGCAACCTCGTCTAACTCTGACATCCCTGCCTCTCCCCTTTCACAATTTAACTTTCCTCGCTCGGGCTCGCCTTCAGGATTTGGCAATTTTCTCTCGCGTCCCTCCAAATGGTTCCAGCGATCCAACTCGGGCCCCAAGACCGTGCAAGACGCGAGTGCTGTTCCATCTGCGACGCGTCGACCAATCATTTCGCAGCCGACAGACGTCAGACCGCTTCTGGAGGTGCCAAAGTCATCCTTGAGTATAAGCCAGTCCGTCCGATACACCTTTTCCTCTGAATACCATGCTCGAACTAATTATCCACCTTCAGCTCGTACCAAGACCTTTCCCGATCAAGGGTGGGTAATCCTGGCCAACCAGCACCAACTACATGTGGACCTGTCCCATTTCCAGGCTCGCCTTCGAATGGAAGCCTACTCTCATACTCTCGTAAGAGCCGTTCGGTCGATGACCTAAGCCAGTACGCCTCAGCACCGGAACCAAGTACGGCCGATAAGGTTAAGGCCTACCAAAATCAAAGCCCAGCAAGACGTTCAACTGCCGAGAGCAGGAGTACTCTACCTTTAGGCGGGAAGTACACCTTCCCGACTATTCTGGAAACCCCGCCTGTTGAAGAACCAGAAGAGCTCACTGCAATCACTCTGCCTCCCCTGCCCAGCATTCGCCCTCGTGCGCAATCTCAAGGTGCAAAATTGAACTCCATTCCGAAGCCAACAAACACGGCTGTTCCATTACCCAGTACCACTGTTCATAAATCAGTCACGCCCGCAGCTACCAGCAACTTGGTGCCAATCCTTTCAAACTCCAATGGCCCCGTTCCCCTTCCCACTCCCCTTTCCAACGGCGGGACATCAGCCTTGGCCCCTTCCACGGGCCGTCTGTCCCAGATCATATATCACTCCGGCTTCCTGGCACTCCACGCTTCTAATCATGCGTCTCTAGCAAAAGGCTGGGCCCCAAGAAAAGTTGTTCTCAAAGGCACTAAACTCTTCTTATTTAAACCTCCGAAGGATCGAGCTAGCGACATCAAAGCACTTTTCCCTGTTGGAATCGTTACCGAACCTCAATTTCTAGTCAATGGCGATTCGAATTCTGGAGTCTCAGGAACAGTGCTGAGCCCTCGCAAGAGGGTGTATTGGGGCCGTGACAAGCATCCTGACTTACACTTGTCCTCTGATAGGAGCACCGACAGGGGCACGACAGATGCACTAGTACATGAGTGTGTGTTCCGAACATCCTTTGAGAATGCAGGCGAAGGCGGTGAGTATGATGCGTTTCTACGCGCGGTTATGTTTTGCCTTCCGCATCGTGCATTCATGGGCCGACCTTCGTTTGAGGCCGAGTTCCTTCGACGGATATCACAACTTATTGATGGTGCTCCCGATGAAGGCGCTGTCGAAGCCCGTGAGCACTCGATGAAACTTTTAGAGCTCTATGAATCAACGTGGGGAGGGTTTGAAGATGACACAGGCTTCAAAACCTGGCATGCTGAGAATTCTTCAATTCCTTTTATTCCCCACGTGAAGGGGCCCGGCACGCCCTTGCAATCGCCGGAGGAATTTCCGTTGCCTGCCTCCCCCTCCCCTCTCCCACGTTCACCCGGCCATCCCGGCGTTAACGATGCAAACGCAGGTCGTGACCCTGCCCGTATGGCTGCAAAAGCTCGTTCACAAGCCCGCTTGTGGGGTGCCCTTGAGAAGGAGGGGCTCAGCGCTGATATATTTAGTCGACTCGACTATGAGAAGGTTGCATATAGTCTTCGGGTGTGGGCCAATTCGAAGATGCAAGCAGAGCGCCCAGGCTCCTTGGGCCCATTTTTCGAGCGGAGTGGCGATGGCGGCTCCAGAAGAGTTGCCGATTTGTTTTCCGGGAGTGACGCAGTTCCCCATTGGCTAACCTATACGGTTCTCCATCATCTTCTAGGTTCCAAAGCCTCGGAAGGCGATGTTGAAGGTCAGACTCGAGCACTCACATTCCTTTCTCGGACACACACTCGAGCGGATTTACTTGGTCGATGGATCGCTGTAGGGGAAAATGCACGATTATGGGGTGATCAGTGTACATGGACTGCAATCAAGACGGCTGTATGTTGTAAGGCCGTTGCGAGACTCGAAAAGGTCTGGAAGAGAGTCTCGCATCGCGAACGCAAATGTGTAGAGAACTGGGTGCGTGGAAGATGTGAGCAACTGCCTGTTGTGTTGTCATAGTTCATTCCTACTATCACCAATTTTGTTTCACAGCATCCACGGACGTAGAAGCCAATAAGCTCCAGGTTCCCTGGTTTGGGGACCGCTTTGAAGCTGTCTCACAGCTGCTCATTTCAATAACCCCGGATGATATAAATAGAAGCTATTTAATACCTACTTTACTCGAAGCAGAGGATCAGGCAAAGGCATCGTTTTCAGCGTTTCGTGAACAAATGGGTGCTTGCTCAAGGGCTGTAAACGATGATCTGGAAGGCGAAGCCGCAGCACTCGCGAGGTTTTGGGACTACCTTAGCGCGAGGCCACCCATAAATCCCTGGCAGTATGTCTTCTCCCATAGGTTCTTGTCACAAATCTGATGCGTTTCAGAATCGATCAATTCCTAGAGCTTTCATACGCAGCTGAGCCACGCCAAAAATCTCATTTCAATCCTCACTTTTGGGCACCACCTTCTGCCACTTCCATTCATCCAGGTCTTCCTCTCCTCTTCCCTGAACCGCTTCCCTGTACCGGCTTTCTAGACAGGCCGTCTGTCTCTCGCTTGGGTAAGCAGGAGAATTTGGAGCGAAGCCGAGCGATGCAGCCCGAAGAACTGTTGGGTTTACTTCCCGAAGCCCACTTTAGATCCGTGTTGGGAGTAGTGACGGACCAAACCTCATTGGACACTTCACGACCCAATGGAGGGACCCATTCTTTGGCTCCTTCCAACGAGCATGACGTCGGGAACACTTTTGTTGCAGCGTTCGGAGGGGAACTCATTTTAAAAGTCCTGCCTTTCATGAGTGTCCCGAACCCGCAGACTTCAGGCTCTAACACCCAAACCCAACAATTCCTCTCTGCCACCGATGTCACTTCTCTTAAACGGAAGCCCAGCTTGGCGCCTTCCCTTCGCGTTGCTGCAGATTCCCCCCGAATGAGTAGACAATCATCTACTAGACGGGAGCGTCGATCGTCGTTGCCCAGCCTATCTCGAGCGTCCAGCGTCGTCATTCGAGAGAAGAAAGTTGAAACACCTTTGAGAGCAACTGTGAGTGCTGGGACCCTTGATCGATTAGTCGATATATTGGTTGAAGGACTGGAGGTGTCGGTGACATCCACGGACGATTCCGGTCTGAGCTCAGGAAAGTTTCGACCTGTTATCGTGGATCGGGAAGATTTTTCGAAGAGCTGGTGGCATACCTTCAGGAGTTTTGTAACTCCCATGGTATTTTTTGAGGTGGGGCTGCTTCTCAAACTCAAACGATCAGGAATGACTGACTTCCCTCGATCCAGCTCATGCTAAAGCGGTACTCTCATTATCCTGGCCTGGGTGTTCAGGTGGAATCTTCATCGACTGTGCCACTCCACAACTTGCAGGAGGAGGTTCTTCATGTTCTGAAAGACTGGATGGAGATCGGTGGTGGGTCGTCCGATGTGCTGGACGACCCGCAGCTCTTCCGCTCATTCAGCGAGTTTACCGTCAGGCTAACCAAAGAATCTGATGCGGAGGGAAACCAAGAGAACAAACTCAACGACGCGCGAAAAATTCTAGCATCTATTTTTTCCGAGCAATCTAGGCGTCCTTTACTCCTCGAAGAGTCCGCGAAGCCCTCTCATCCTCAGTCCCAAGACGCTTTTGGTACTTTACCCCCATCGATTGACGATCTCAAACCTGAGCACCTTGTTGCAAATCTTGATTCCATCGCATCTGCTGTCATGGCTGCTGTAACCTCAGATGACCTCCTAGTTACATCCGACATCTTGGAACTTCAGACGGCAGACCGCCTTGGTTGGTATCCCCAGAAGGACCTCTCGACGGCTTCTGACGAGGTTGTGATCAGTAACATATACTCACACATGCAGCTGGTTCAGCCATCCTCCCTCTCAGCGGACTTGTCCCCACAAGATGTCCTGCACAAGAACCTTCCTCCAAGTATTCGCATGGTGTTCCGCTGTCAGGCCGTCATTCGGAAGTGGGTTATCGCAAAGTTAACTGAGCCTGGTATCAGCCCACGTCTCAGGGAGGAACGAATGCGATCCACTCTTCGAGCCATCGAGTATTGTCGGCTGAGCGTTAGGAGTATTGAAGGCAATTTTGCAAGTCTCAATTCATCTGAGCATGTTGCGCAGCAACGCAAATTTATTGAAACTGCACTTTGCTCCGCCATCCTGAGTCCTGAAAGTCGCTTGTTCACCCGTGCATGGCAAAATGTGGCTGCAACAAGGGGTGGAAATCTTGATTCCTTATCTGGTCTTCTCTCCCAGGGTTATGTTCCCGCTCGATCCCATTTACGACCCCTGGCATTGGACGGTGGGTGGATCTTCGAGCGGCTATTGGAGCTCGTTTCCCTGCCAGACACGATGGCTGGCGAGCATACCCTTATCAATTTTGATAAGAGACGGTCAGATTTTGTGGCTACACCTGAGTACTTGGGACTGACACTCTCATACCCAGGTATATCTCCATGCTGGCAAGTTGTGTGTCTGGAATGATGTCACAGAACACGTACACTGATCGAGCGGGCATTGACCGAATGAATAACATGCTCAAGGAATTGGCAGCTTCTGAACGAGACCATCGGCTCGTGAAAGAGGATGCCCAGCGAGAGTCGGTGCAACCCTCACCATCATACATTGGCAGGCGCAATGTCAGGCCATTCCAGTCTCTCATTGCTGCTCAGGTGGAGAAAATACGCCGGGATCGCCACGCAAAGGAACGCCTCAGTAAAGAGAAGCGGCAGGAACAACAACGAAGTGACCGTCTGGAGGGTGAGATGAATCGTGCCATGCAGCCCAGCAAACGGCCTTCACTTAATTTGGCTCCAAAACATGAACGAGGGAAGCGAAGTATGTCAGCACTCTTCCGGGTAGTAAGGCCTATATCCGCCGCCTTCTCCGATCGAGCACACCTTCATGCTGAGATTAAACGGCGCCGCTTGTCTGAACTGGATTTTCAACCTATTGGCAAACCCTCCCTCGTGCTCAGTCTTGCGGATGCTACTTCTTCCATCTTCACCAATGAGGAGCGTCCCTACACCCTTGAGCTAATTACTGAGGATGGGGGTCGATGGCTGCTGCAAGCAATCTCTTACATGGAACTTGTTCGGTGGATCGATGTGATCAACTCAGCTTCGAAAAAGCGGCACACATATATCGGTAATGGCAAACCTCAACTGAGCGAAATGGTTGATGATATGGCCAGGGACCTTGAACGTGTTCGCCATGACGCAGGTGAGCCCTAGAACTTTGGAACATGGAATTTTTACTGATGTCATCTAGTTTTTGGAGTATCTCTCGAGTCGCTTACCTCCCGTGAAGTCCCCACGCATGCAGATCAGGAAGGCGTACCGGCTGTACTGCAAAAGCTCCTATTTGAGGTGGAATATCGTGGTTTGACGGAAATTGGGATTTGTGAGTCTTGGTTTGTTATGCCAACATCTACTATAATATCCCCTAGATCGGATATCTGGAGGAATGGGGGCTATCAATACCATCAAGAGACTTTTCGATGAAGGTGGGGACATTATTACTCTTTCTTGTGTCATACTTAGCCTTTGTTCAGGATTTGAGCCTGATTTACGCAACGATGATCGTTTTGTTGACATTCACTGTGTTTGTGGTGCCGTGAAGCTATTTCTACGACAGCTTCCCGAGCCACTGATCCCGTTTTCCCTGTATTCCGATGCCATTGCGTCGAGTCGTAAGTGGCTTAGCGCTCCACGCTCGTGTTCTCTAAAACCCGTTTCAGGCCTTATCGACTATAATGAGCGATCCCGTCAGATCCGGGAGCTTGTGCACTCTTTGCCTCGAATTCATTTCCTGACACTTCGACGACTAATTGAGCATCTCGACAGGTAAGCATCAGCAGATTGAAATGCAGTGTCCAAGTTCATCAGATCTCCAGAGTCACGGACTATGAGGAGTCGAATCAAATGACTGCAGAGTCGCTTGCGATCTGTTTCAGTCCGTCTCTACTTCAACCTCCCCCTAGTCCTGCCTCGTTTGCTATTGGCGTCGGCAACATGGGACCAGCCATGGCTTTCACCAAGGGCCTCATTTTGCAGGTAGTGACTGTCTCAATTAGTTTCTGAGGGTATTTCTCATGAAAAAGTTGACAGTTCCACAGAATCTTTGGTGATTCTGACCCAGATCAAGAGCCTGAACCCGAGGCAGAAATAGGACAGGACCCGCTACCGGATGGGACTGTTGGAGAAACTGCAGACGCTGTCGACCACACAGGCAGCCATAACTCTACCTCAAATGTGAGAGACACTGAGAAGTCCTCGCCGTGTTCTCATGACAACACTACCGATGAAGCAGACCCTCAGGCTTTCTGAGCACCGCTTATATCTAAAAGTTGCTAACACGGGCTTGCTGAATGTTATATGCATGCATCTATTATCTATAATTTGTGTGTGCATAACTATATGCTGGGTATCCTCTTACCCAGACTCTGTGCCTCTTACCCTAACACGATGGAAGCAAATGTAGAACCGCAATATCGAAGACATAATATAATGCAATGCACGTTCACCAGTGTGCAACCCCTACCCAAAGTATATGAATGGGGCACACACACGCATACGTTCAAACCAAAAAATCCCGTGCAAGAAATCGAAATTACCCCGCATCGAATGTCCCGGATTAGCTGCAACTTTGCCAAGAATTTGGTTGGGATATATGTATATGATGAAGATTTTTCGGTGGCTGCTAGCTCATCGATCTATCATTTAATGTCATGCATATTGGTTTCCTACCAAATCCACGTCTGGAAAGCATTCGAACTTCTCCTTCCCACTGAGAAAAAAAATTCCATGAGAAAATCCTCCATGAAGTAGGATTAAAGTCCCACTGAGAAGCAGGATTTTGTCTAAAGTTTCCATGTTAGAAAAATCCTACTGCTGTACATGATTGTGACCAGAATCATGTCGAAAAGTCCTGCTGAATAACAGGGAATAATCCTTTTATCATGTAATTATCCATGATGATATCATAGGGAATCATGCTCTAATGCAGGTCAAATCTTGTTTAATGACGGCTTATGTCCGACTGGATGAAGGATTATATATTGACTAGTCGACACGATGGTATGGGACAATATAACTAGAGCACCACAAAAACATAATGAAACGACAATCGAAAGTGAGGTTGTCGCAGTGTCAGGAACTTGAACAGCGAAAAAGCTTTTGAAGTGAACAATGGGAGGTCGGAAGTGCCGTGAGTGTTGTTGGAGAAAAGGATAGAGGTGGGGGCTCGGTGCGGCATATTATACTGTGGTTGAGTTCAAGTAGCACCGTTACTAGTGAGATGTTAAGCACCCACATGTTGGATTACGCGTTATGTTACCATTCAGGCAACAGCACAGCACTAGCGCGCAACATCCCAAACACGCGACACTGCCTTCCCGATTGGATCGTGCACCAATCACCTTGTAGCAAGGCCTTGATGTACTATAAAAGACACCATAGTTAAACGCAACAATAGTCAGCTTTGGTACTTACCTTAGTCCCTTGTTATCATGCGAGTGCAGCTGCTGATCGCCAGTCTACTCAGTGCGCGGTAAAGATGTAACTTGCCGATGCCCTAGTACCGGTGACAGGTTTTGAGGTCGAAGCGACAAGTTGGGGAAACTTGATGATATCTGACATGAAGGTCATCAGAAATGAAGGAAATTTAGGTACGGACTGCAGTGCAAACGGATTCCTGAAGTTGAGGTGTTAAGCATTCAATGATTTGATAGTATGAGAGGGCTTACACACATTATGGTCAGAGCCGCATGGCATTGGAATCGGCCCTGGACGCGTTTCTTTCGTGCTGTGTGACTCTAGTCGGTTTTTAAAGATAAAAAAATGGTCTCAATGTTTCCTTACACGTGTTAACTTCCGCCAGGAGCTCTACCAATATTCTGAAGATGGCACGGTCATGACACGAATGTGAACCACACATAAGTGCATTGTTCCAAGAGAAAGTGCACACCTTCACGTGCCGCTTCTAGCCTCCCCTGCCCCTGATCAATTGCTCGTTTCTGGCTAGATTGAGGCATGGTGAGTGGGTTGTATCACGGAGTGTGAGATTGGGATTGAAATTAACCAACATAAACAGCGCCAAACAGACCGACACAACGCGTCGAAGTGCTGCATGCCCAACTCCCTCAGTTGCATTACTATTGGATCTCTGCTACTCTGCGTCCAGCATTTACATCTGTTGATAGGTCCAAACTAAGGGCTCCATCACTCCTATGGGCCTCAGCTTCTCTGGAACGCCACAGCTCGTAGATGCCCACTGGCATCTTTGTGATTTTGCGGCAATGCTGTCGGAAACATGAATAAAGGTCCCCTTTTTCTATTTTTATTGTCCGCTGCCTCACTTGCCCAGTAAAGTCGATATATCAGGAAAATCTTCTGGGCACTTCGGGCTCGATCGATGAGTGGCGTCTGTGGCGATGGGGCTTCTTCATGCGGTCCCTTTGCATTGATGTGGATGGATCTTGAGGGTTGGATGCGCGAGTTTTGGTTAATTGGTCGATTTTTGGTGTGCCCGTGTTATTGTTTCTGACTTTCGCCCCTGAGTCGCCATTCTGACGTTCTATGATGCACTTAGATTCCTTTCCTACTCCTTATCATCCATTTCCATCCCGAGACGTTTGCGACTCCCTGTTTCGAAAAACTCGACCTCGCGCGCTTTTATAATCCGGTGCTTCTCATGGTCATAGAGCACCCAAGCGCTCTCCTGAATCTGATGTGGATTCCTTCGACAACTTTTCCGGGGACATGAACGTGCCCGATGCACCCAAAGAGCCGAAGAGAAATGAGGCTTCGCCTCCTTCCAAAATCAACATCAATATCAAAATGTGTTGTAATCGCAAAACCGGACATGATGGACTCAGGATTGGGGAGGTGGGCAGTTGTAGATCGCAGCGGATCCTTGAATATATGTCATAACATGTGTTACAAGGTAGTAATATTATGGCTGAAAAATTATGGCGTATATAAGTTTTGATGATAAAATCCTCCTCATGCAGGATTTTAGATAACCTGGAACCCTAATCCTGTCATGCAGCAAGATCGAGGGAAAATCCTGTCACGGAAAATCTTACCCCTTGCCAAGATTTTCCACGAAATCCTCACATCCGCATGGTTTTGTCATGGAATCTTTTCCCTCAGTGTTCCACTGCAGCGACCATCGGGCACGCCATTCTCTAGTTGGTAGATAAAATATCATATATGGAGCATTGTCCACCAAATCACTGGTGCTGGGGGAAAGTAGGTAAACGCGGTGCTCATCAGCCGAATATCCACCTACTTGATAGTTTGGGGGCACAAAACATGCAAATTATTGTACGCCGTCCCAATTCGATCGGAAAACGCTATGATACCAGACATTTCTGTGATCCCAAAATTGGAAGCGACGGTGCAGTTGGGCACATAGAGGAACTGTAGAGGAACTGTAGGAAGTGAAGCGCAGTCACCTACTAGCGATCAAAACAACCAGGGATCTCGATAACCACACCAAGTATATCGCGCTCGGCACATCGCCTTTGATAAAATGGCTTGTTTGCGGGTGTTGACGTCGAAAGTGCCTTATCCGTGTTTGGTTTCGATCCACGCAGCTGAGCCTTGCCGCGTTCGCGTTTGACATCTGACCTGGTGCTCTGGTATAGGGCGTGTCTCCTGTGCATGGGAAAATAAACTAGGCAATAAATAGCTAAAATCTCTGATTCCATCCACGAAAACTATCTGTTGCTTCGGTCCTCATGTCCACCACGATGCTCGCTCAAGGCAGTGAGCACAACATAGAGCAGACAGACGAGCGCAGTAGCCGCCGCGTCTCAAGCTTCCCCGGAAATATAGAAGTTGAGCTAGAAAGTGTGAGCACATCCAGCGAGTCCACCGACGACGACTCAAGCTCCACAGACCCCGGAAGAGTCGCAACAGATTTCGACGCAGCAACGACGATGGATTGGATGAACCTCATGAGTCCGCCTTTTGGTGGTGCCCCGCGCTCTCTGGCATCTGTTCCTCAGAACTATATGCGTTCTCCTTTGGGCAGGATGAGGACAAACAGTGTACCGCGTTCGAGTTCACCTCGGTCTCAGAAATCGGTGGTCCGACCCCCTATACAACTAGCGGACAAGCCCGTAAGGGGGATATCTCCCTTCAATGAGTATATACCGCCTTCCGCTGCGGACTTGCAACGATTATCGAAGTCCCTGACACCGAAACCCTCAGCTGAGATTGCCCGCTTCCCCCCAGTGGATCAGGAGCGGGTCCAAAAGACAATAGAGTCTATTGCTGAGTCTATCAACTGGACGCGAGCTCTCACTGAGGTATGCTCAAAATCTACTTCGTTCGCTGCCACTAGCTCATGTAGTTTCACAGCATGATGACAACTTCAAATCTGAGCACGACGCCGCTCTCGCTATCCTCTATGTTTTGACGGTCAAACTTAATCAAGGTGTTCCTAATAAGCATCTCCCTCTCTATCGATCTTTGCAGAAGTGAGTTTGTGTTTCTTGCCAGATACTGTAGCCTACTCAACAGGTCCAAGAACCGTTAAATCTCTCGCTAAGTGGTGCCAGGATGTTATCACGCACCGGGCTGGCTGGGAATGGCCCATGGTATCTGTTACGCTTCGCGGGTATATCCAGAAGCTCAAGGACATCCGTGCTGCACTCGAGGTGGGGTTATACATGCGATTGCCTAGGACACGGACTAAATATCCCTTCTTCAAGATTGATTCTGACCCTAACACATTAGCGGAAAGACTCAATGCAAAAATTGAAGCTCACAATGCTAATCGAACCGAGGCCGAAGCCATTCGCCAAGCTCGCAAACAAAAGGAACTGGAAGACAAAGCTGCAAGGAAGCAGGCTCGTGCTGAGATTCGTGCCCTCCATCAGCAGTTTGTTCTTATGAAACGAGCCCAGGCGGAAGGTGTTGAGGTGACTGATTATTTAGAGGATGATGCCTCTTCTCGCCGTCAGATTCAAGATAGTGAATCTGAAGGGGGTTCCCGACCGAGACTGCCTGTAGGGTCTATTCATACCTCCCAATCTGGAGCAATTGGCCCCCCTCCGCCCCGGTCATCCATCACTGCATCGGACAGGCCATCGATGTCCTCACTCGGAAATATCCTACACCACGAACACAGTATTGCTTCACCACTACAACCTAGGAGTCCCTCTAGGGAACGGCTGACGACGTCAGCACTAAGAGCACCGCCTGTGACTGCAAATACATCATCTACACATCAGGAAAAAGCTCATTCTCTCGTGTCCGTTCCATCCTCCAAACCATTGCCTCACCGCCCGATTTCCATGTCAAACCTTAGTGGCTCGGTTCCACGCTCCCCTCCTAGAAGCAATGCTAGCTCAGAATCGACGAACCCCCAGAGTCGTGGAAGCGGTGACACTGAGCCGCGCAGAGACGGCGGGGAATCTGTGGCACCCACATCACCAGAAAGGCTTAACCGACCACAATCTCCTATTCCTCCTATCCATGTCACTCCAAGTACAAGTGCGCGATATTCAGTGTCAGCGAAGTCGGAGCCTCGAGTGGAAAAACAAATGTCTCAGAAGAGCTCTGATGCGACTCCTTCCGCGCCACCCGAATATGATTCTCCACGACCCGCCCCTCCTGATTCCCACTACAATGTTGCCCACTCTCCAAAACGCACAAGCAGTTCCAGCAATATGAACGAACTTGAGGCCATGCTCAACCGCGTCTCAAACAAGCCTGGACCTAGCATTGCTCCCACAGTGGCACGCACAACAAATGCCGGAGATGACCTGGACACGTACCGGGACCTATCCTATTTTGGGTCACTACCCCATTCCCAGAGACCTGACAGGGCTAAAAGTCGCCCCCAGGCCCGCCCTGCCGAGCCGGGACCGGGGAACGCAAGTGTGAAGAGCCCATTTACGGAGGCATCCCCGCTATCCGAGGACGCTGAACTCGCCACGCAACCACCGACGGTAGGCACTTTTTCCATATTCCACGACACAGACTTAATGTTTTTACGTCGCAGTACCCGCCCATAAACGAGCAAGGATGGATGAAGTCCAGCCACCGCAACGGGTTTGGCACACGGGCCCAGTCCCCAGGTGTACACATTAGACTTTACGAGTCTGAATATCCTCCAGGGATAAACGAGGTGCTTGACACGGCTGAAGGGCCGTTCTTCCCTCACATCGCTGAAACTGTCATGCGATCTCAAGTCGATCCATCACATATGGGCGATAATCCTAATCGCCCGACTAAATATCCTAGTCCACCTGAAATATATGAGCCAAGTGTTGACACGGCAAGGGGTAGCCCAAAGAAAGGGAGTTCTGGTAGTATTTCTCGTATCAGTAGCAAGCAAATGGGTAAGATCCCGTCGATTGCATAGTACGGTCGGAGATGAACAGATGACAATGACAAGTGGGATTCTGATTTGTTTCTTCATTTAACTCGGCATCCTGATGCATGCACACTGCATTTGCATGGATTACCCACTCCATGTAAAAGATATTGCTGAAATCGCTGGCTTATGCCTGGAATAATGCATGGTCCACCGTGAATTATTTACTACCATGACCCAACCCAACTCACTGTGTGGATATGTTTGAGCATGGACCGATGGAATTTACCTGGAATCGACAATGTTAACTGTTCTCCAGCAGGTCCTCAATCATGGCCATTTCCTGGTTGCGTTTGAGTTCTGCGATCAACTCCGTAAGACGTTCACCTTCCATTACTTCCGGGAGATTATTGAGAGAGTGACCTATTCGATGGTCGGTCAGGCGATCCTGAAAAAAGTGACTTAGCCCTACTCTATGCCATCGGGAGAATATAAGGCACTTGGGGAAGTTGTAAGTTCGAATTTTCTGACTCCGATCCGAGCTCTTGACGAGATCCCTGCGAGTGTCACGCTGTTGCTGTAATGTTTCTTGTATTTTGATGTCAAGCAATCGTGCTCTAAGTATCTGCCAAGCTTTCGTCCGATTCTGCATGTCGGTGGCGTGTCGGCGTCAGAGTTGGAAGCATAATGAAACCCTGACTAACTTGGTGTTGAGATCGCGAATCTTGCATGGACACAGTAATACCAGTTGGTTCGTGAGTCAGCCGCACTGCAGATTCCGTACGATTGACGTGCTGGGAAAGGCATAAGTTTCTGCCACGGCTGGAATGGTGGACATATGCGCACCTGCCCCCCAGCCCCCCTTGCCCTCATCACTTCCACCCTCACGTCTTTGGGATCCACAACGTCGTCCATGGTGTCGGTGGAGCTGGACTCATCAGAACTTGGAAGGACCTGAAGAAGATATGGAGTCTGGAGTTTGTAGCCGACCGGAATTGCACACACCACCAACGCCACAGTACTAGTGTGTACTCTTCCTTGGCTCTCCGTTGCGGGCACCCTTTGCACCCTATGTACACCACTCTCCCATCTCAGAAAGTCATAGGCACCCTCACCCTTGACTTCCAAAATAGCATCTTTCAGCCCCCCACCCGAGCCTCTAGATCCATCCGTGTCCGACGAGCTGACAAGCTCGACCGAAAAACCACTTGCCGTTGCCACTCTCGTATACATGCGCACCAATTCTGCTAAAAAAAGCGTAGCTTCATCTCCGCCAGCCCCGGCCTTAAACTCCATGATAGCAGACATTTGAGTGGTTGAAGAAGGAGGGATGAGAAGACGCGGAAATGTTTGTGATAAGGTCTCGGATAGCGATGCGAGGAGTGAATCGCGTTCCTCTGTGAGAAGGGTGCGCATGTCTGGATCTGTTTCATCTGGTAGGGCAGAAACTACGTAACGAAAGCTCTTCAAGGATTGAGCGACATGCCGCATCGTGACTCAGACATAAAGACGCACTTCCATTGATTTAGTCCACTCATCCCATGTGCGTTGCAATGGTTCCAATTGCTTGAGAGTAAACGAAGTTCTTATGTGATTAGAAGAAAACCCGTCGCCGGTCTTAGAAGGAATTATTATTTACTTGGTTCAAGTCACTTCCATAGCAACGACCCAAGCTCACCTGTTCCTCCAGAAGTCGTTCACGCTCTTGCACTTTTGCCCGCACAACTGTGAGAATACGAGAACTTTCCAGTTGACCCAGAAGGTCAGGACGCTTCGATAATCCTGGAGCTGGTCTATAAGCAGCACTTGCGTAGCACTTATGGAATGTCTTTTCCCCTCTCCCCCATGTTACTGAGAGCGAAGGTATTTTGACTCTCTGCGCAAGAGGCTGCCACATTTGGAAAGCCTGCACGTTGCATCCGTCAGGATTGACGCGTGAATTCAAAGCCCATCCGTCACAGTGGAACCGCCTTGTCCCCAGGAAAACAGCTTTTTGGAGACCTGGCGTGTGCCAGCCAAATCCTGGTTTCAACAATGAGTTGGAATGGCAGTGTTCTGGGATATAGTTTACTGCGGTCAGCGGGTGATGGCCTTCCCCCTGGCACACCTCCAACGCGTCAGTAACCACGGTCCGTCGGATTAAGATAATGTACTAATTACTCTATGGTAGGTGAGTTCAAAGGCCCGTGGTTGTCGACGCAGCTCTCCTTGGCTGGAACAATAGGCTTGTTTTCATTTCTGGTGTTCTGCTACTGCCAAACACGTTGGCCATTGTTATATGCTCCGCGGACGAAGCTCAAAGGTATCCCCGTCCTTCTCTATTTCAGAGTATTACTCAACCAAATTCAAAGGCTTTTCGCCTCATGATGCTCATGCGCATACCTCCTTCTCTGCTTGGATCCTGCCGACGATCCGCACGTCAGAATTCACAGTACTGCAGACTGTTGGGCTCGATGCGGCTGTGGTAAGTTTATGCCTACATGATCACTTCTGCGCATCCCTCAATGCTCCGCTTCGATCAGCTGCTAAACTTCCTCAAAATGTCATTTCAACTCTTCACAGTTGCATCTTTGCTCGCCCTGTGCATTTTAATGCCCATCAATTACCACGTAAGCAGGGGCTCTCACTATCTCTCTCCCCCTCATCATTCGTTTAGAACAACATTGGATTCGATGACGACGACGATGATAAAAACGGGGATGACAATGATAATCCATCTTACGCCAGGTTATTCCGGCTCCTCCCGAGTCCTCCGAAACAAGGGGTCCCCGGCGACGATTGGATTGGTCGTCTGAACGATGCAAATTCTATTCAGACCCTCCATCTTCTTTTCACATACGTCTTCACCATCCTCACCCTTCGCTTCATTCACCGCGCATACCAAAGCTTTATTCAGTCACGTCAGATCTTTTGTCTTCAACTTGCACATTCCGTGCCAGCCCGAACTGTCATGATCACCGACCTTCCTGAGCACCTGCGGGGTGAACGCGCACTCGCCGAGTTCTTTGAGAATATGGAGCTTGGTGTGGAAAGCGTCAGTTTGGTGCGCGAGTATGGTGCCCTTGGGGAGTTGATTGGGAAACGTACAGACGCATTACTGAGTCTGGAAGCGGCATGGACAAATTACGTCGGGAATCCGAGTGCGGTAGAGGCCTACGATCCTTCCGTAGATATACGGTCCGATCCCATCACAGGAGGATATCATGGCGAGGACGTAGGAGACGAGGAAGCGCAGCGGACGCGACTCGTTGTTCCTCATCGTCCACGCCCGACAATCCGGTCAACATGCTTTAGTCGTAAACGAGACGCTCTCGAGTACATTGAGCAGCGATTCCAGGCAGCTGACGAGGCTGTGCGACGGAAACGGCGTTCAGCCAAGCTGAAAGCTACTCCAGTGGCATTTGTCACTTTTGAAACCATGTCCAGCGCTGTAAGTAGTGGTTTCAAGTTCTCAGGCCGAGTCATTTACTATCTTATCGTTATAGCAAGTGGCCGCCCAAGCAGTCACCTTAGCCGGAAAAATATCCTTGGCGCCTGAGCCGCGCGACGTTGTTTGGCAGAACATATATATTCCATCATTCTCCTACTTCACACGGCGTGTCACGGTGTACGCTTTTGTAACTGTTCTTTTCCTTTTTTGGGTCGTTCCAGTCACGACTTTAAGTACCCTTCTTAACTACGAAGAGATCCAAAAGGTTGCACCCTGGCTGGGAGAAATAATTGACAAGAGTCCCAGTATCCAATCCTTGGTACAAACTACATTGCCGAGTACAGCAGTCATTGTTCTCAATGGACTGCTCCCATTCTTTCTGGAAGGTATAGCCTTACATGTTTCTGACTCTACATTTGTGTAACGTAGAGCCTTCCAGCAACATCCTACATTCAGGGAGAAAGAGCACGTAGTTTGGTCGAATACTCGTTACTAAAGAAGTATGTCATGGCTGAGTCTGTTTCTTTGTCTCCCAACTAATTTGTTGGGATATAGATACTTCCTATTCCTCCTTATCAACGTCGTATTCATCTTCCTCTTCACTACCACCTATTTGGCCTTGATTCAAGACCTTGCAAATTCTCCCGCACAAGTTCCAAAGAAAATTGCCCGAGCCCTGAGAAAGAGTGACGCTAAACGTTTCTTCGTGTCCTACGTCGTTTTCCAGGGTAATTATCTGCAGATCATCATTTCACGATTGCTGAGAATATCGCTAGGGCTGGCTATCATGCCATTACAGCTCCTCAATCTAGGAACCATCATTCCCCGTGTATTCTATCGCATTTTCTGGACCAGAACACCCAGAGGTACTGGAATAGCCAGAATTTCCGATGAATCCTCCTGACAACTTCTTCAGACTTCGCCGAACTCAACGCTCCACCAATGATTAATTACGGCGCCGTTTACCCCCCAGCTATCCTAATCTTCGTTGTCTCATTAATGTACAGCGTTATTCAACCACTCATTCTGATCTTCGGGGCCATTTATTTCGGTGTTGCATATGTCGTTTACAAGTATAAGCTGTTATTTGGTAGGTGATCACTTTTCGGGTACCGTCAACTACCTCATCCTTGTCATTAGTCTTCTATAAACCATATGAGTCCAAGGGTGAAGCATGGCCAATAACTTTTGCCCGGCTTATGTGGGGAATAGTGCTTTTCCAGGTTTTCATGATGGGGATCTTGACCCTATCTAAATCTATAATCCTTGCTTCACTCATGCTTCCGCTCCTGGTTGGTACAGCGTACTGGGGATGGCGCATGCACCGTGAATGTCGACCATTTACGGAGTTCGTAGAATTGGACAAGGTTTTTGAGGCGCAGCGGAGCGGAGCAGATGCCATGACTCGCACGCAAGGGGAACACATAACTGCCTCTCACACGTTCGTGGTCGTGGTCTCTCAGCGTTGAGGCATTGATTTTCTCTTAACAGGCACCTGAGCCGGATGCGGTATTCCCAAAATGATGAAACTTTGTACGTTGCTCCAGAGGACAGTCGTACAGACTACGTGAGTTTGGCCTATATCATCCGAATCTGACTTGTTCTCATTACATGTCAGTCCCAGCCTCCAATGACTAACTTCTACTATGGAGTCCTTAAGTTCGTCAGAAAAGAACCCATCGGTATTTCCTTCATTGAATTTCCCTCGCAGCACCGGAAAACGTCGCTATGGGCATCCAGCTCTGGACGGTCTTTTACCACAGCCCTGGCTTCCTCTCAAGAAGGGCCAAACCCTAGCAAATTTCATCGACCGCGACGATGGCGAAGCCGCAAATGGCGCCAGCGGGAAGAATTCGGATAACCACACGCAGGCGGTTGTTCTGACGCTCCGTCGCCGTTACAACACTATACGAAAAGATGTGAGGGACATTGCTGGTCGACTAATCCGGAAAGACAAGCATCCAGGCCAAGAAGAAAGACTTCCGACACCTGAAGTTGCAATGACTGAGGCGGGTCGGGAGAGCCCGTCAGGGCCGTCGAAACCACCATCTGTGGCTAATTCTAACCCTTGGCATGATACTATTTCGGGGTCTTCTCATCAGACTCTACAGGCCCGGACCAGGCGCTTGAGCTTTGATCCGTGAGCTTGTACTTGTACTTCCAGTTTCTCGACCTAATGACCACTTTGATAGCGCAACTGGGATTATCAACCTCCCAGACGATGACGGTGACTGGATCGAAGGCAGTGGTTTGGGGGACAGTGACTCCGAACGTGAAGGTGGTAGTCCAAGTGGCGAAGTTGAAGGTGGCGAGTCATCTGGGAGAACGGCCCATCGACGCCGTTCCGTGTATTGGCATCATCCCGAGAAACGCAGGGTCAGCGGAAACTTCAACCAGACAGGGCAGTGAAGCTGTCACTCCCATGACCTCGTATTCTTATCGCGGTGCAGATGTATGTAGTCTTGCATTCACCCCGTGAGGGTATCTCGCCCAACAGTCGAAAAGATCGAGTGCACTTCAGAGACTGGTGCTGCAATGGTTTGCGTGAGATGTAGATTATTTGATAATGAGACAAATTAAAGGTTGTGCGTTAAATTGCACGATCCTTTGCATGAACATTCTCCATGCCATGTAGTTAGCATGGGGAAAAAAAAAAAAGGGGCCTCACTGGGAATCGAACCCAGGACCACTCCGAATCAGCAATCCCTATGGGACCCAAACGGAGTATCGTACCTCTAGACCATAAGGCCATCGGAGTTATGGATTCGGCAATCCCAAGGTAAATGTATTAAGTCAGTGGGGCGAATATGCGTGGGAGTCCACCGGTTAATTAACAACTGAAGTGTACTCGGAGGCCAACTGTCACTCCGGTCCTCAGAATTGGTCGTCCACCTACCCCTCCACTAGACTTTTCAATGGCTACGTTTTCCAAATCGAGCTTTAACTCCCTCGGGTACGCTCTCTTTCGGTGGGTTGAGAGCTTGAGGCATTCACAGTCCTGGACGGATATTTATGCTCCCGATCTCATAACATGCAGTCCATCATATCCATCATTACTGTTTGAGACGATATACAAATACCATGCCTCATGCCCAGAAGCCCATTGGTCTCGAGCCGTAGACCTTGGTTGCGGCACTGGTAGGGATGTTCAATCAAGCACTTTGAGTCCCCGCCAATGCCAACGATCTAAACAGGACAAGCAACGCTCGAATTAGCTAAGAAGTTTGATCATGTTGTCGGTATAGACTCCTCTGTGGGCATGATTCAAACTGCCAATGAGAACACAGGTGGCGACACTTTAACCTCATCTTTGCGCATCGGGGGCAGGAATATCGAATATAAGGCTGGGAGTGCGGAAGCGTTCCCGTTCATCGGAAATGATTCGGTGGACTTGATAACGGCAGCTCAGGCTGCGCATTGGTTCAAATATGAAGACTTCTGGGCAGAAACATCCCGATCACTGCGCAAAGGAGGTTCAGTGGCACTGTGGGTCCGTCCCAGTATTAACATTCCAAATTTGATATTCCCTCATATCACCTTACCCTGCTAGTGTTACTCTGAGTTTCGATTGAAAGGTCACCCTTCCTCGACGCCACTCATTAGCGCCTATGCATCAGACCGGTCCCAACCCGTGGGGAAGTATTTTGAGCAACCAGGCCGCGGGATTCTAGAGAATCACCTTCAGGCAATTCGTTTCCCCACTTCGCCGGAATGGGATGCATCGAGTGCGAAACGAATCTATTTCATAGGGAATCACTACCCAACTTCAACTTCCGTTCCCCTTCACGGAGGTCCAAAGGGCCTAATCAGCCTTGACAATGAAAAAGATGAGGCAAGGGAGGTGATACTGAATAAGAGGGTTAGTTGGGACGGTCTAACACATTATCTCCACACCTGGAGCGCATTGCATGCGTATTGGAACGAACACCCCGAGGATAAGGGAAGAAGTGATGGTGACATCGTTACCAGATTTGTGGGGAGCTTGAGAGACATCCTCAAGCAGGATTTGGGGATGATTCCAGCTGAGGTGGAGCTGGAGTGGCCCTTGGCACTCATCATGCTCAAGAAAGCCTCATAGATGGCTGAAACAGAATAACCAGAGGCTTGTATATAAAACATCTAGTAGGACCTCAATACAAAACGCCAAAGGCCGAGGCATGGGTAACTTGGCCACCAAGAAGGGTCAAATCTGCCCAACTACCTGGCAATGAAAAACTTGAATAACTCGGTGTTCACACCACGCTCAAAAAAGAGTATCCCGGATGGCTTTCAGATATTGAACGTTACTCCCACTCATCCTCACCGTCCTTGCACCAAGGGAGGTCGTCATCGGATGTCGGCTTGGGGGGGTAAACCTCTTTCTTTGGTGTGGGATCAATCGAAGGTTTGGGCTGATTCGGCTGAAGCGGAGGGACATTATATGCCTTGTCAACGCAAAGGACCTGGCCAATATCAATGTTATCGCAGACAGCACTGATATAGGGATTATTGGCGTAAAGCATTGCGCCACTGAGACCGAATTCGTCCGAAATCTTTTGGCAATAATCGCCCACTGATACGGTGTAAGTCTTGGTGCAGTCCGCTTGAGAGGAGCCAAGGCAGAGGCACTGGCTAATCTCAAGATTAGTGCAGCCACTGTTGATGGTTGGGTTGAGAACAGCAAGCTGGTAACTGTAGTATGTTAGAAGGAAATAAGTCATTTTTCGTGGAAGAGCATCGGATCAAATCTGCCTCACGACTTACGTGGAAACATTGTGTGTTTGGGAAATGGCATCGCATGTGTCTCCCTTAATCACAGTATAGTTACGAGTACAAGTGAAGGCGAAAACAACTGAGTGCATTAAGAACCAACATTAGTGGATGGCGTTTCAAAATGTCACGTTAATCACAAACATTGAGTGTGAAGCGCAGCGATAACGAGAATAAGAACGCGGGCGATCATATTTACTGTCAGTGGTAATAATGAACGAGGGGGAGCAGCAGACACTGCCCGGCACGTTAGAGAAAGGACTGAGGGGTGATAACGATTCTGGCAGAAGAAAAGAAGAGGGGGTTATAATGAGTCTGATGGTGATGCCACGAATTCGCGCTATGGGATTGCCATGTCTACGCGCTTGTATCAAAAGATTCCCACGATGAGCTCCGCTACGTATTGAGAGAAGCGCATACATTTTCAATGTCCCATACTCATATACGTATCAAAATGGAATCTATATCCCACGTGGGTATTTCAATATTATTATGGGACTATAATTATGGCTACTAATCCAATATGTGTGGTCAGGAGGATTGTTTTCAGATGAGGACGCTGCCCATCAATGATTGCTGCACGTGACTGGAATTACGGCTTGCCGACTTCATCAATATATTGATCCGTTCGGCGACACACATGTGGTCGCGGGATAACAAGACACACACAGTGACATGTCCACCGGAGACCATTCAGTTCTGTATGAAATGGTTATGCCGGATATACATAACCATTAGAGGTAAAGTCGATTCTTCCTCAACTGGAATGTCGCCCTTTATCTGGGTCATGCTTGAAACACTGAGTATTCTCGATATGATGGGGGGGATGTATATACGATGAAAGAGCTGTTCGGGTAAAGTCCCAAGTGCGAAAGATACTGGTACTGGTGAGCAACAGTACTCTGAAGCGCGATTTTTTAAATTACGGAGTTTGGCTGGAATTTTGAAAATAGCAATATGAGACATGAAGACAAGCAGGTACTTGCCACATTATCTTAGTCATCCGCTCACCATTTATTTTCTGTCATTTTTGTATAATCACATGACCCATCTGGTCATTCATCCAAATCCGGCACGCCGATTTTTTGTGCACCAGTATTCAGGGAATTGTGCAAAGCATGTTGGCGCATGATGCGAGGAAAAAGAAGGATTGCCATTATTTTGGGATCGGAAGGTTTGCAGCTATCGCCTTCGCTAAGACTGCATTTGCCTTGGATGTGGCTCGTGAACATGCAGTAGGACATGTGTGATGTGAACACGCACCTGCTTTACCATGGGCTCGTCAATCATTTCCCTGGCTCCGTCATCTAGTTCAAGCCCAAACGCGCCACGCAGTTCTGCCTTACGCGCCCGCTCCATTCCGTGTAGGATCTTGGCGGCCCGTGCAATTTCTGAAGAGGCAGAAAATGGTATATAAATCACCTTGAATACGATTGGAAACCGGTCCTGTACCCTTCTCAGTTGGTAGAAAAGTAGATTGTATAATTTCCACTTGCGTGGGATGGATTGCTTGCTGAGGGCAGATTAATAGGTACTGTCAGTAGAACATGGATGTTACGAGCTCGCCTTGCCATCGTAGCCGAGCGCCCGGCCATCCCGGCATTCTTCAAGAAGGTATCCCGGATCTTTGTAGTCCACACAAACCTACGTGACAACCTTGAACCGTCAATCGCGCTAAATGATGAAAAGTTCACCAGCCGTACCATGTCAATTGATTGCAACCCAAAGGCCTTGGAGGCTGAGACAATCTTGGATCGGGCGTATAAAAGTTCGCTTCGGGACTTGGATCGAAGGACACCCGTGTCGGCACAATCTAGCGAAATTATTAAGGGCTTTCAGAGCTTCAGAATCATTTCAGTGGCCATACAGTCTTCAGCAGCGAACTAGATATGGAGATCAGAACAAATTCAAACACTTGGGAGCGCGTCGGGCTCACAAGTAACGCTATTATACGCAGATCTGGATGTTTCCAGCCGGCGATTTCCCCTACCGCCCATAAGGCCTGTGCACTCTCGATGCTCGCGACAACATCCAACTTCAGCCCGCTAGGGATGTGTTTCCCAACCTCGGTAAGGTGTTGTGCAGAGTGCACCTTGGGAACAACCCATGTTTGAACTTGACAGCCTCGCGGCACACTTAACTGAAGGAAGACGGAAATAAGAATGGCTACTCAAGCTCTGTTGCTGCATTGAGGGCTTACGATGCCGTGGACATCTTGTGTGAAGAACTTCGTATCTATAGCGTTGATTCGGACCGCCCTTCGATACGGAGCAACTTTTATGTCCTCCTATTAACTTGGACATGTAGGTGGGTTTGGAGATGAACAAATCAGTGCTTACAACCAAGAAGTTGAGGAGGTGGTTGAGAGCGACACTCTTTTGGGAGGGTGCCACACTGTCTTCTAGATCGTAAATAACCATGTCTGACGTAGTGATGGTGGATTTTTCAAGCATTCTGGCGTTTGAACATGGAACTGATAAGAGGATATGATCAATTCATACATGTACGGTATATTGTCTCACGTCTCAGAGAGTGCGTACCATATAGCCATGATCGCCGCAGCTTCTCGACACACGAATCAGTAGAAAAAGGTCTCCGAGGTGTGAGGAAAGGATACGAGAAAACTCTAGATTTAGCCAGCATAGATGTGCGGGTAACAAGCTGTTATTATTGTTTGTTGTGTCCGGGCCCCGCGTTGAATTCTTTTCCTTTTTGGTTTTGCGTCCCCAGCCTGCGATGCCCCCCGCCCTGAAACGCAAATCTACCACGCCGGATCTCGACCTTGACGCGTTATTTGCTGACCTTGACTCATCTGCTAACCAATATGTCTCTCAAGTGCAAAAAAGGACATCCAAGACGCGTCGATTGTCGAAGACTCCTGCATATGTAAGCGTGTCATCTGAAGAAAGAGAGCCTTCCACTAGTAGCTCTGCAGTGGAGCTCGTCTATTCGGGCACTTCTAGTCGTACAAGGAACCAAGTGGACAGGGAGATGCAACTTCAGATGTTGTGTGACGGATTGGATCAGAAGGAGAGCAAGGTTCTCCCATTCTCGACTCCGACGCGTTCCAGGACTCAGGTGCGTATGCATCCATGGAAGTTCCTTGCTCCAACGCCGATCTATTGTTAGGTGACCCCGTCAAAAGGAAACGAGATAGAAGATTATGACTTAGGGGCGCTAGTCGACGGCGTCGATTGGGACGAAGAGTTTGTCTTGACTCCGGCAAAGCCCACTCGCTCTAAGAAATCAACGCCCAAAACCCCAACACAGAAGGCTCCATTATTGGATAAAGCTGTACAGGTACGTGAGGGACGGGACGGGGTTGGGCGTGCTAATTCCTGTGGCTTCAGTCCCCATTGCTCCGAACGTCCTCGGTATCAAAGAAGCACAAATCACCACTCGTTGGTTCCTGCTTTTTTTGTACTGGTGATCATCACTTAAGCCACATTCCAGAAGGACTCTCCAATAGCCTCCTGTGACCTGGAGTATCTCTGCGATGGAATGGAGAACTGGTCTGAAGATCTTGTGCTTAGTGAAGATGAGCCCAAAACAGGTGCCCGTCCTGTGAGTGTACCATCCTTCGCACGAACGATTTCTCATCGCTGTGCCAGTCCAAAGACATGACGACGTTCTTTCCGCCAAAGCAACAAGTCCGTGATTCTTGTACACGTTGCGTTGTCCTGAGTGTGATGGAGACGCGAAATGTGGGACGGTTAGAAAAAGTAAATGCCATTTACTTGTCTGTTCAGCAACTCATAACTGCTTTTGTCGTAGGTGTTAGACGTTCAAGACGACAACGGTTGCACTTTGCGAAAGGTCATTCTCCGAGATGACTGGGCGTTTACCAATATCAGTCCGGGGATATTGTAAATCTTATTGGGGATTATGCACTTGGCTACTCTTGGACCCAACCAACTATGACCGTTTCATCAACGCGAAACATGATCATCCTCCATCCCGACATTCTCATACCTGCCACCTCCGTTTCTGAGGCCCCAAGGTGTATTCGGAAGCCAATCCTTTCAAACCTGATCCGATCGCCTTTGGATGTCACTCCTTCAACAATCTTTGGGCACATGCTGCACGAGGTTATGCAATCATGCCTGGCTTCTGGAGAATGGAGCAAGGAGTTCATAGAAGAGAAGATTACCCATGCCGTGCGTTCAAGTCTTGATCGGTTGATACGCGTGAACGTTGGCATTGAGGAGGCTCGTGTGGAAATGCGAATGAGAGCACGAGGGTTGGAAGAATTCAGCAAGCGGTTTATTGCGGATAAACCCAAGGTACGATTGTGATACAATGATCTGAGCCTGGACTAACTAGGTATTGAATAGCCGGACGCATTTTTGACCGAACGCAGGTCTACTGCCTCCACACCCGCACGGATCGCTTTGACTCAGTTGCACGATGTAGAAGAGACAATCTGGTCCCCCACTTATGGTCTCAAGGGTGTGGTGGATGCTTCAATGCAGGCACATATCATTGAAGAGGAGAAGCTCTGGCCAGCCGACCGTTCTTGGACACTCCCTCTCGAGATTAAGACTGGACGATCCGCAGCCGAGTTAGCGCATCGAGCGCAGACTGCTCTCTATACTTTGCTAATGTCTGAGCGCTATGGTAGGAGGATTTTTCCCCATATTTCCAATGCTGAGCCAAGATAGGTGTCCAAATCCCCAATGGGTTGCTTTACTACACGCAATCGAAGGAGATTCTCCGAGTTCAGGCCGCCAGAAATGAGATACGAGGACTCATAGTCGCACGGAATGAGATGGCTTTGTACATGACAGCGCGCACCTATCTGAAGTCCCCGCGAGTGGACGAAATAACAGCGGAGCCTGTGTTACCACCAAACCCGAAGCCTTTCCTACCGCCAACCATCAATGACGAGTGGACATGTTCGAAGTGCTACGCCGTTGACAGTTGTATGCTGTATCGAAAGGTCGTATGAGCAGCTAGATCATTTCGTAATTGGACTGACGGATAATCCTGTTGCCAGGCTATTGATGGTGTTGTGGACGACGGATCCCCCATCTCGGAACTCTACCAACGTAAGACAGGGCATCTCACCGAAAAGCATCTGGAATTTTTCCGGCACTGGGAATCCCTTATCGCCCTTGAAGAAAGCGATCTAAACCTATTTCGCCGAGAGCTTTGGACCATGACCGCCGAAGCTCGTCAAAAGTCAGGGCGCTGCTTTGCAGACATGGTTATTTCAAGTTCCCATAACATTCCCCTCGAAGAAACAGAGTATTCGACAAAGGACCAACGGTACATCTACGAGTTCGTACGCTCTCCCAAAGCAGCAAGGTTCAACGCATCTGGCTTGTCGCTATTAGATGGTTTCATGTCTGTCAACGACGCAGTATGTGTGTCAGTGGAACCCAATCTCCTTGCTTTTGCTCGTGGATTCGTCGTTGGGCTGGAACCCGCACGTGTGACAGTTGCGCTCGACCGCGAGATTGATTCTGCAATTACGGAGCGCGGACTAACTGATGAGCAGAAGAAAAAACAAAAGACAGAAGGCATTGTATATCGCATTGATCGTGACGAGTTGTCAACGACCATGAATCGTATTCGAAATAACCTGACGCAACTATTCTACGAGAAGGGGGACAAAAAGAGGCGCTCTCTGATCGTTGATTTGGCGCCTCCTACCTTTGATGAATCACGCATTCCACCCGATGCGGACATTCCTCCTGGGCTCAACGAGAGTCAGGCAGCTGCCCTTCGGAAGGTGATGGCGGCAAAGGACTACGCTCTGATTCTTGGCATGCCAGGCACGGGGAAGACAACGACCATTGCAGAGATAATTAAAGGCTACGTGAAGATGGGGAAATCCGTTTTACTCACATCATATACCCATTCTGCAGTTGACACGATTTTACTCAAACTTGTGAATACCAATATTAAAGTGCTGCGGCTGGGAAATATTGACAAAGTGAGTCTTCGAAGTTCACACCACTGTGTTGCTGAGGTTCGCTAGGTACATCCCGACGTTCGACACTTTAGTGTGCATGAATACAATACGGCGACAACTATTGAACAACTTGAACAGCAACTCCTTGCGCCACCAGTTGTAGCGACGACGTGCTTATCAATTGACCAGTGAGTTGGCTGGTATGAAGTTGTCGCTCAGTTGTTCAACTTCACCTAGTTCCCTGTTTTCTCGCCGCAAATTCGATGTTTGCATAGTGGATGAAGCCTCACAGATTACGTTGCCTACTTGCCTTGGGCCATTGAGATTCGCTGACAGTTTCGTTCTTGTCGGTGATCACTACCAACTACCTCCCCTGGTTCGGAACCTCGAAGCCCGCAGAAAGGGTCTTGAAGACTCATTATTCCGGATCCTCTGCAATGCCCATCCCGAGACCACTGTGGATCTCGTGCATCAGTACCGCATGAACGAAGATATCATGCTTCTTTGCAACAATCTGATCTACAATAATCGACTCCAATGTGGTTCGAGTTCTGTTGCAAATCGAAAGCTCGGGATCCCAGATCCAACGTTCATCGACAATTTGCACCGGGTACCTAACTCATGCACATTGGGTACCTGCTGGTTGTCGGAAGTTCTGGATGAAAGGTCAGCTCATTCCCATTTCACGACGTCATTACATATTTAGGAGTCCATGTAGACGCAAGGTGATTTTCATCGACACAGATGATCTCCCAGCAGAGGAATCACGTGTGAGTGACTTAGTGCAGAACGAGGTAGAAGCAAGCTTAGTGTACCAGGTAATACGACTCCAGCGGCAACTCGTCGATACTAATGTGTCAACAGATCGCTAACGCATTGTTTGCCTCGGGAGTTACCGAGACGCAAGTAGGAATCATATCCCTGTACCGCCAGCAAAACAAACTTCTTTCCCTTATGCTTTCCCAGTATCCTGACGTTGAAGTAATGACTGTCGATCGGAGCCAAGGTCGAGATAAAGATTGTGTTATAATATCGATGGTTAGATCCAACGACCAAGGAAACGTATGTGCCACTTTTCCTTGACTGCCTCTACATTTGTCTGATACTTCTCCGAAAATATCAGACAGGCGACCTGTTGAGAGATTGGCGTCGAATTAATGTCGCTCTCACTCGCGCTCGATCCAAACTTGTTGTCATTGGGTCACGAAATACCCTCAAAGTGGAGCCGTTACTTGCCAAGTTTCTTGCCTTGATTGACAAAAGAGGCTGGATACTTCGTTTGCCAAAAGGGGCCAACACCTTCCATGAAGATGTTCTGCCTGGCAATTCAAATGCCGTTGTAGATGCACGACACTGTCCAAGGCGTAGCAAGCAAAGGGTCGAAGCTGTCCTAAAAGGACGAGGATTGCTTCGTGACGTAGTAAATGCGATATGATCAAGCCTTATCTTGTGCTCTTCGTCGGCACTTAACCTCTCCCTGTTAGAGGGCTGGGAACCCTCCGATGCCACCTCGTTCCTCACAACGTTGTATATTCGATCAGTCTTGAAACTGAAATTTGTATACCTGCAAGTCTGTGATGTTCGAATGGGAAAAGGTAGTATTCAAGAGTCAGTGGGCAATTCCGGATACATCCATATCACGGTTAGGAATATTTGAGTCTATGGAATGGAAGATGCGTGCTGGCTTACACATAAGAGACCAATTCCCGCAGGCAGAGTACACTACGTATACGCTGCCAGGTTCCAATTCGGGCCTCACTGTAACTGTAACATAAAACTTGTAGGTCCAGCTCACATACTGTTTATTCTCTATGTTTTTGCTACCTTCTTAGTCCGGTGTTCGCCACTAATGATTTTTATGCATTCGGGCTTGGTCTAGGCACCGCTTGAGCCGCTTTACTTGGTCAACCCTCCACCTGGGTCTGTGTTGTGAATATTCGGTCATGCTGTAGGTGAGGGAGTTTTTTATGCCCTTCAGATTCCTTCGGCAAATTTATTTGCAGTAGGAGTTCATCAGATGTTCCCGTGATTTGATTGTTTCTGAGTTCCTTGCTTTCACATCTCCTGCGCGAAAGCGAAAAGAACTAAGGGCGTCAACGAAGACGAACGTCCAGCTTTTAAGCGTCGTTTACTCGAGTATAACGTGGAACAAGAGTAATCGCAAATAAGTGAAAGTAGGGCGACCAGATTGGAAAAACTCCCGGAATGATAAGACGGTGGTAATAGATTAGAGATAAACCCAACATCAATTATCGGACGTCTCACCGACATAATGTAGGGTCGGGATCCTTGCGAAGCACCGAGTCAACTGTTGCTGTCTCACAACATAAGCTAGTTTAGTTTGTTGCACTTATTAGGCACCCGGTTGTTGTTGTTGTTGTTGTTGTAGTTTATACTGGATATTTAACCTGCAGACTGGAGCTACTCGTGAGAGCGCCAAGGATAGGGGTCGACAAAAATAAAGTGAGAAACTAAAGAAATAACTCCGATTAGGGTGTCCTTAATCTCTCTGATAAGGCGTTGCCTGAATGCTGCTCCGCTTTTGAGTTGTCGTGTTGGGTTGACCATTTTTGGGTGTCGATTTGGGTAGGTCGTGTCCTCAATTCAAAAGTCTCGGCACAAGTCGGGTCATGGTGGCACGTGACTCGCGAGGCGAAGTCTAAGAGTGACCACGAGAAGTACCTGGTTTGGACCCAAACCCTCATCGACGAGGATGGGCCATCTTACCTGTTGTAGCGAGAGTTGGCGGAGTCCGTTTTTGCGGTGACTTGGCGCGAGGAACACGATGAATTCGGCGAAGTCCGCCACAACACAGTTAACAGACTTGAGACCACCCCGTAGATAGAGTCGGTGTGCCGGAAATCAAGGGGAATATAAAAGGGACTATCAATGGAGATGAATCCCTTTCCTCGAGCATTGCTCCCTCACCAATTCCCGGTGTGACTCGTCAAGGTTGGACCCATAGTCAGCCGTAGTAGCCAGCTCGCGTAATTGAGACTTATCAGCTCAGTGTGCATTGTTCACCGACAGTCACATTGAGGCACACAGGAAAAATCCATTTGGCAGGGCCTCCGAGGTATGTTAGGATACTGGGGGTGACGTTAGGTTAAGTTCATTGATGGAGAGGCTTCCAGGAATTATAAGTGACCCCCAGAACAACTGGCCGGGGGATTGCAGATTCTTTATAACGAAGTATGAAAACCATCAAATAAGTAAATGAACGCTGGACCATTCAGGGGCAGAACTGAAAGTTGAGCACCTCAGCAAAGTTTGTCATCATAGTTCAGAGAAGAATCCCCACTCACAGTAATAGTGTAGTCAGATGCATAGGAAGCGAGGCAAGACCACAAGGCGGTGCCAGAACTTTCATCGTAAGCATAAACGTAAGAGTTAGGGCAGTTTGACTTGAAGTAGTTGTAATGAGGGACGCCGGATGGAGGACACTGTTAGTTGCCATGGAGCACACTCCTAAAATCAGCTTCTGATAGTGGGTGGAAGACAGCAACGCACGGTGGCAGGGGTACTATACTGGCCACTGCAGCACGATGGAGAGTTGGACGGATTAGGATCCACCAAACAGTCAGACTTGCATCCAACGGGGAAACCAGTGCTATCGAACGGCCCCTTCAGGCTAGCGGGGCAGTTAGGACCAAGATCGACAGGGCAGCTTGCGGTATGGCACGCGGAGGTCGATGGTGTTATTTCCAAAGGAAGATTGTAGCCATCGACAAGGGATACATCGTAATAGTCACCGCCCCCTGCCGAAAGGCTGAATTCAGCGAGTGTGGCCGGCGGGACGCCAGTACCAGTCGCTGTCCAAGGATGAGGAGGTGGGGAAGAAAAGCTGAGAGAGCTGAAAGGAATGCGAGTAGAACAAGGATACTTACTTGGATCGCAAACAAGACCACCATTGCAACCTCCATCAAGACACGAGTTAGGACCTGGATTGACGGAGAAATCACAGCCTCGACGACCCCAAATGCGACCAGCCTGCCAGTTGTCGGGTACGGTGAAAGACACGGATGTCCCAGCGGCAGCCTGCCAACCAGTTGGGTAAGAAGGGGCCGGGTGACCGGAACCGGTGAACTAGGTGTGTTCGTTTGTGAGCGATCCATTTCGTTGTTATGGTAAAGTCGTCGCACCATAGCAGGCCAAATCGTAAATGGACATGCATTGTGCACCGTAAATGTACGGGCACTAGCAGCGACGGTGAAAGCAGCGACGATGAGCGAAAACTTGATGAACATGAGGAGGTGCTTTGTGAAGGCTGGTTGTTGCAAGAAAGGAGAGGAGCTATATATCGGGACACCCACATTTTCGCCAACGGCTCAGTACTCGTGAGAGGTGGAATATCCTAAGCAACGATCAGGCATCATGCAGGGCCCCCTTTCCCGGGCAAGCCACCCCACGGGGGCCACGCTCCACCCAGTCGTCATAGGGTCATATAAATTCTACCCCAAGAGCGCTTAGTCTGCTGGCAACGGGCTGTCCTGATCAAAATTAATAGCAATTCGTTGAAGGGGCGCAGGCGCGTGCGAGTGAAGTGCCATTGACGGCGACCACCGAAATGAACGGGAATTAGATTTGTAGCTGGTGAACCTCGATATCCATTGGACCATTTGCAACGTTCATTTGTTCAAGCCAGTGGCAGAATGCGAGTAGTGGCGAACAAGTCACCAATGAAGAAGCTGAGCAACCGAATTCCGAGTGACCTGACAACTTCACAACCGCTCGTGCAGGCTTCTGATCAAGCCCCTGGACATTGGAACTATGACCGCTTTCCGCACCTCGGTTTCGTGTCGCGAACAAACAATCTTGAAAGCTGCTTGCGACGAGCCATATTCATTCACTGCACACGCTGTGTTTGTCCTTTCATTTCTACTGGTTCCAATGGTATAATTCTCTCGCCACGCTTCCATAAGTTATTGCCATATATTGGATGCGTGCCACATGCCATCACACCATCCGTTGTTAAAATCGATGGAAACTGACTACAGCGCTAACGTCGAGGTGTCTAGACCTCTGGCATACCTCTGCTACTCGACCCCGTTAGAACGCGGGCAAAAATTAACACCGTGACTATGGCGCATATTTTGTAACAATGAGACAGTTGGCCACTACGGCCGTTTCACATGTAGATAAACGTGAGAACAACAGATACATCGAAGCAGAGAGGAAAAACTTATTTGACGCCTCCGCGACGTTAAGTTCCAACCGCTCCTTCATAGGGCTTCCAGGGGGGGGGCACTGTTGAATCGGGGATTGGAAAGGTCCCCACTCACAGTAGTCGGATGGGTTAGGATAATGGCCCTTTAGGCCACCAGGACAGTTAGGGCCAAGACCGATAAGGCAGCTCGCGGTGTAGCAAGCAGAGGCAGATAGTGTTATCTTCAAAGGAAGGTTGTAGCCATCGATAGGGGGTATATCGTGTTGTCCCTTCCCAAGAGGCTGAATTCAGCGAGAGTAGCGGGCAGGACGCCAGTACCAGTCGCTGCCCAAGATGAAGATACGGTGGGGTAGATCCGAGAGAGTTGAAGGAATGCGACTAGAACTAGAATACCTTGGATTGCAAACAAAACCACCATTGCAGCCTGCCTGGATTAACGGAAAAGTCACTATTTCGATGACCCCAAATGCGATCAGCCTGTCAGTTGTTGGGTACGGTGAGGCTCACAGATGTCCCAGCGTCGGCCTGCCAACCAATGGTGTAAGAAGGGGCGAGGTTACCGGGACTGGTGAACTAGGGATGTTCATTAGCGAGGGATAGGAGCTAGATCTTCATTTCGTTGTTACACCACGGCAGACCAAATCGTGAAGGGACACGGATTGTGCACCTACGTACGGGCACAAAAAGCGGCTGCGAAAACGAGCCAAGGCTGGTTGTGGTGGAGCAGGAGAGAAGATAACGTGCGCGATTTAGTGTGTTGGGGCACGCCATTGCGACCATAGGTCCGGTACGTGGGAGGTGCAGCAACGATCATACATCAGGCAGTTCCCCTTTTCCGGGGACCAAACCGCTACACAGCAACTCATCGCCATGGGGTTTAAAGTGCAGCTCCGCAGCAGCTGCAAGTCCAATGCTCCTGATCAGGTTACTGGCAAGGCACCGCCAGAATGAAAAGTCCCGGTTTCACAGATCATAGTCCGATTCAGTCAAAGGGCTGTGGATTCTGAGGAGCGTGGACGCGCTCCCCAGCAGAAGCGCCCAATTTCAACATGCGCATTACGCTGCATTTCGGACTGTTTGAGATCGGAACACCAGTATTTGCGGTGGGGGTCCGATGCAAGAGTCTGTGGGCTCGTTCTGATCGAGCTTCAAATGAAATAGATGGCACCGCATTGTTTTCTTTTCAATCAAAAGAATGACAAAAACAGGGCCGCCCGAAACTCCACCTGACGGAATGCCGTCTTTAGTAGGCGCGGCGAATGACACGGACGATCAAGAAGGGTGGGAATAAGGACCGAGAGAGATACTAATAGAGGCTGGTGACCTGCCTACGAGAGAGGTGCCCTAAAAAAAGAAATGTATTTCGGAACTATCAACATACCTGTAGCTACACTTCCTCATTTCTGACAAGTTTGATGCAAACAAATGGTAGATTTGCAGTATGAGTAGTGGGTACTTGCCGCGTCAGGCGGCGTCCACCAGCTATTTAAATGAATACGATGTTTCGATTTTGGAAGGGGTGTACCCAGTACATGCACCGCTTCCAATCCCGCACTCCAAAATATAATAATGCTTTTAGCCGAAGGCATTGTGGATAGCCTTGACTCCTCCATTCTCATACAGATTGTCACTGTTCTCTCAAACACCACCGTTTGCCTGGGGTTGGGTGTTTCTTTGCCAGGATACACATTGTGACGTCCTTCGCCTCTGTAATGCTCCTGTCCAGGTTTAGAAAGTTCTGAAACGTCCACCGGGGCCAATATTAAGAGAACTATCCATTCGGCTGCGGAATCAAAAGTGCATGATCATTGGTGCAAGAGGGTGTTTGGAACTGCACTGTAAGTTACAATGTCGATTTCGATGTGGCCATCCTGAATCGCGGTCAAATAACAGCGATAAGAGTAGCGGGTAATGCCGCAGCAGGCGGCGTCCATCAGTTATGTACTGGTATATGCCAAAGATATATGGTAAAATCAGCCAAGGGTGTGAAGGGGATCCGTGTGTTGGACGGCTAACCTAGCCTATGACACATAAATTTGATTTCGATGGAAATCCATCGGATCGCAGCAAGTATCATCCTGGGATGGGCAGAAATTCCCTGACGTTTCAAAAGAGAACGCTCATAGCTCTTCAATAAGAGATTTTGACGATGCTCGAAGTCTCGTGGGTCCCCTTTCGCTCTTCTCACCATTGCAAATAACAAATGCTGGGTAGGGCACGATTGGAGATCTCTCCTGCTCAATAGTGGTCAGCTTCTCTATTTGCTCTTCCACCCCAAGTCGGAGACCGTTGAGTGCAGATGCAGGTGCCGATCGCGCCTGTGCAGCGTAAAACCTGACCTTCATAGCTGCCAGATTCCATTTCTTGGAAGAAGCGTTCTGGAAGAGGTGGAAGAGATCCGAGAAAACCAGGAGGAGATGGGGAGGAGGGGTATACTCTGGAGGCATCAAAGGCGGAAATTTGAGGAGTATAAGAGCATCTTGAAGGAGTCTGATCATCAGTGCATTTGAGAACTGAGACGATTGTAAGGGGAGAAAATAAAGCAGTAACCTTCGAACGCACCGACTCATCTCGAGACCATAACTCGGTGATCACCTCTTCCACACTGCGGAACGCCACCGTTGAGCGACGGTCGAGTAGAAAAGGCGCAGTTACCGCTATGTCCTCCCGGGATGCATCCTGGTCATTGTCGAGCAAGACTAACAGAGGTGATGTAGCCAGATGCCTAGTTGTAAAAGCGTATGATAGTCTTCCGCGGATATGTGAGATGCATCCTGGAGCAGACACATGAGGAAACAACGCACAAGACAGAAACTACATTATAAAGTATCGGGTGACTCGCTGGGCACATTTTGGTAGGTGCTGACAACATGGCATCGAAACTCTCCGTCAAGGTGGTCAATTCCCCAAGGGAAGAATTCGTATCTTCGTTTTCTGACTCCCACCATGGCTTCCAAGACTGGGAAGCGACATCATGGAACGAAAGCACTTCCTTTGCAGCTTTGCTGTTTGGATCCTTCAACATCTTTGTAAAAGTAGCGCGCTCATCGTCATTAAGGGCCGCCAAAACCTCGCTGGTTGTAGCTCGGTCTAATTAAAAATGCATATCAGAAGGAATAAACACAACGAGAGAAGACACGAAAATCCTCACCTAGATCCAGGTCCCCCAGTCGTGCAGCGAGGGAGTCTTGCTTGTCATCCTCATCACTATCGTCCGGGAAACCCTCAAGGTCCTCTTCTTCCAGTCGCTTTAGCATATCAAGGATTCTTTTTCTCTCTTCGTTCGTTCTGATTTTGCTGTCTGTTTGTATGTCATCCTCCAACACCTTGCGATAAAAAGGCTCGGTGCACTGATTGTGAGCCTGAATTTGGCAAATAAGTCCACGACGAATGTTGCGCGGGGGGGTTGGGTACTTGGGACTTATAGCATGACAGGGAGCAGTAGGCGGCATTGCAGGTTGGGCAAGTGTAACGAGAAAAATTCCTTCCACAGCTGAAGAATGCCATTAGCAACCACATAGAAGCCAACAAATGCAGTATATCCCGCTCACAACGAACACAAAGGAAGCTCTCTCCCCGATGAGGCTACTGGGACCGATGCTGATGAAGAGTAAATGTTCAGTAAAGATTCCATATAGTGGGGCAATTGAATAATTTGAATTGGAGCAACAGTGGTTCCGGTGACATTTGTGCATAGACGCCCTACGGATGGGGCCCTCTGGTAGTCTTCCCAAGGACCTGCCAGCATGGTCTCGCTCAAAAGTGGCTGACTCAATCATTGCCGGTCAGACTATAGTTATTTATCATGACCTTGTTCTGCGGATCACTCCCTCCTGGCTTGATGCGCATCCTGGCGGAATGTTGGCTATTCTACATTATGTAGGAAGAGACGCCACGGACGAAATTGAAGCATACCATGATGAAACAACTCTCAGACGCGTCATTGGTTTCGCTGTTGGTCGCGTCGAGATTGGCGACACCGGATGGGAACCCTTCATTCCTCCTGTCCAGACTGGCTGGGTTCGAAGGTCTTCGCCTTCAGGCGGGAGATGGGAAAAGACTTCCGATGAACGAAGACCAGGCACCTCCGATGGCCTAGACAAGTTGACTCTAACCCCCATAACCATTCACGTTCAGAGATCTTGCTTGTTAAAAAGCAGCCCAAATGCGGTGACAATGGAAATGCATGCGGGCCGGGCCTCTCTACAATTACGCCTCCCCCCAGTAGTCTTTCATTGATTGAACAGACACAGCATGCTCGTGCATATCGGGAGTTACATCGGGGGATTCTGAAGGCGGGGTTATACCAAACTCCATATTTAGCCGGATACGGTCCCGAATTCGCTCGTTACTTTTCCCTGGCACTGCTGTCTTGCTTTTTTTATTCGCGGGGGTGGTTTGTTTGCAGTGCTCTGTTCCTGGGATTACTTTGGCACCAACTCACATTCATTGCGCATGATCTGGGACACATGGGTGTAACGCATAATTGGGTTTTGGATAGGTTAGCTGGGATAATCATAGCTGGATGTTGTGGTGGTCTTAGCATTGGGTGGTGGGTTGATGTAAGTCTGGAAACCTGAAACTTTAACCAGGCACTCAAGTTCGTTCGCACTCATAGAACCACAATATACACCATCGTATGTGTTATTTTCCTTGTGCATCTACTCGGTTCTCATCCTTGTTATAGTGGTCACGAACCACCCGACTCATGACCCTGACATTCAGCATATTCCTTTCTTTGCAATCAGTCCCGCCTTCTTTCGATCACTGTACTCATCTTATTATGAAAGGATCATGTCCATCGATGCTGTATCGCGATTCCTCCTCCCCATTCAACACCGACTATATTACATCGTGCTTTCTCTGGCACGTTTTAACTTATACGCGAATTCATATTGGTTTCTGTGGAAGCAGGGTTTCAAGCTCCACAAACGTCTATGGACGTGGTGGGCCGAAATTGCCGCTATAGTTTCGTACTGGACATGGTATTGTGCCGCCGTGAAAGGTTGCGGTCACTGGAAATCGGGGCTAGCCTTCGTTCTCGTTAGTCATGTCGTTGCCAGTCCAGTTCATGTTCAAGTACGCTATTTATTATTTTTCTGGGGTTGTTTTTCTCATCCTTGAGGCGGCAGATTGTTCTCTCGCACTTTTCCCGTTCAACTGCGGACCTAGGGCCAACTGAATCATTTGTCGACCGACAATTACGGACAACTTCCGACGTGATATGCTCGCCCTCTGTCGAGTTTATTCATGGCGGTCTCCATCTACAAGTGACACATCATCTTTTCCCCCGTCTTCCTCGCCATAATCTCCGCCAAGCAAGCATTATGGTGAAAGAATTCGCCAAAGAGCAGGGCCTGGATTATGCTGAGTTTAAATGGGTGGAGGGGAATCGGGAGGTGCTTGGGGTGCTTGAAAGCGTTGCGGAGCAAGCAAAGATATTTAGTATCGTGGCGAAGAGCGAGGTTCAAAGCAAGATGAATGGGGGTGTCTTGAAGGTCGATAGTATCGATGACAGGGTTCATCCCGATCCCAGCGTGGGTTGAAGGTGCTCAAGAATTAATATTGAAGATGGTCGCAATCTACATACGGACAACAGGTTGTGCGAACAGAGAAAGGCAACGGCCTTGAGCACAGACCCAAACGCCTAACAATATGACGTAGTGATCATCGGAATACTTGGACTGAAATGGCCTCTGATGCCGAAGGGTCGAAATGTTAACTTTAGTAAAGGGTATAACTGCAAATTTTCGACCAGACGGTCGCCGGTGAGATGGCCGAGTTGGTCCAAGGCGCCAGATTAAGGTTCTTCATTCTGGTCCGTTTCGACGGGCGTGAGTTCGAATCTCACTCTCATCACTTTTTTGACCTCAATTTCCTGAATGCTCGTGGGGGCACCATCATCACCATCATCACCATTCAGCCTTTTTGCACAAGATGTGTAAGAATGTCTATTTACGCAGTCTGAACCTGCACTGAGTTATGCTAAGTGACGGTATTAAGCATGACACTGCCACTACTGTAATCCCAACCCATGTCACAAACTGTAGAAGCTACGGATATAGAGACGGCTACGGCCACAAAAAGGCGTGTACTGGCACTCGCTATCGTGTTTAACGCTGCTGACCGTCTCCGTGGTGCACAGCTCCCAACCAAATGCCCACACAAGACGATACGATCGGCAACTTCGGTGGGGTTTTCTGCACGATCCATGCTTCTCCGTGAACACTGGACTCACTCAAGCACCACTATCGGATGTCATTTTCTGTCAATAGGCTCTGGGCAGCATCTGGACAGCAAGCGCTTGAGTCGTCACGAGTCCTAGTAATCCGCGGCACCGCAACCTCCACAAGTATATTGAAGAATCTCGTCTTGCCAGGTACGATAACCATCCCCAAACCCTTTGCGGTTGATCCTCACCGTTGGGGTAACTTTGACTAAATAATTTTGCTGATTCTCTCATCACGCATCAGGCATAGGCTATTTCACGATTCTGGACGCCGGAGATGTGACACCTGAAGATGCAGGGAATAATTTCTTCCTTCACTACAACAGTATCGGAAAGCCTCGCGCAGAGGAAGCAGTCCGGTTTCTTAATGAGATGAACGATTCCGTACAAGGAGAAGCTGACACATCGGTTCGGTCGCGATGTATCTGTGTGGTCATGTTCAACTCACTGGGCATACGTCCGATTATAGGATATTTCCTTGGTTATTACTCAAAGGCCCGAATACTTCAAAACTTTCCATCTCGTAATTGCTCACAATACGTCTGAATCCGTTCTTGCACCTGTCTCAAAAATCCTGTGGGAGGATCCCCTTGCTCCTCCCTTGATAGTGGTCCGCTCAGCAGGTTTTTTGGCGGACTTTTCTGTTCAGTTTCATGAGCACACTAGTAAGTACTATCCCGCCCCACGGGAGCATGCATTGAATTAATCATTCATAGTTGTTGACAGTCATTCGGAGGACTTGCCATCCTATCGCCTAGATCAGCCTATCCCCCCGCTTCTGGAGCACGCGCTTTCGCTCGACCTGGATGGAATGGACGTTACAGACCATGGCCACATCCCATACTTTGCGATATTAGTGAGGGCAATGTACGAATGGAAGCGGGCTGTAAGTTGTGCCGCTTTGTTTTGCCGGATCCAGTCTCAGAATTATACCCAGCATGGAGGAAACGCCCCTTCTTACAAAGAACTCAAAGATTTCAAAGAACAGATCGTGAAGATGAAAAAGAAGGATGACGAGGAAAATTTTGATGAAGCTGTGTCTCAAGTTTACAAAGTGTACCAGAAGACAACGGTTTGCTTTTAATGCTCTGTCATCCTGACCAATCCTCAAGCCGCTTTCAGGTGCCAAGTAATATACAAACAATGTTTTCTGATCCCAAGTGTGTTAACTTAGATGAGAATGTAAGCACATTTTACAGTCTCAAAAGCCCAAATTTACCGCATTTCCCAGTCGTCTCCTTTCTTCATTTTGCTCCATGCGCTCTCGATCTATACCAAGTCATCGAAACTTTCACCCAACCTTCTGCCCCTCTCACCCACCCTTCCCGATCTTAAATCTGACACGAAATCGTACATTCACCTCCAGCAAATGTACAAAGATCAAGCAAATGCTGAGAAAGCCGAATTCAAGAGCATCTTGCAAGAAGTCGTAAAATCTATTGGTTCTCGGGTTATATCGGATTCTCTTATCGATGAATTTGTCAGAAATTGCCATCAACTTAGACTAATGCGGGGGAAGGCTTGGGGGGAAAGCGACAAGAAGGGACTCTGTGAGTGTTGTCGGATCGTCCTAGCATACATCGTATCGTTGAGCGACCGCGAATCACAGTGCAGTCCATCCTAACCAATCCAGCCCAAGTCTCCACGAACCTGGCACTCTCAGCTCTTTTTGCTTACGAGGCGAAGAATTTCCACTTCCCCACTCCAGGCTCCGATGAAGATTTGGCCGTTCTTACCACCTGGGTATATGACGTGCTTGCGAAAGCGGAATGGAAGAGTGAGGAGGTTGTACAAGCTGGTGTGGTGGATGAGGCCGCCACGGGCTCCGCGGAGCTGACATTTGAGCAGCATTTAGCTAATGCCCTTGCCGAAATGTGTGTCATTTTTTTGAAATCCCGTTTTGGTTCTCGACTGATGAATTCGTTGGATCTAGCGTCAGAGCGCCAACAGCTGACCTCCCAACAACAGCGGCTCTGCTTGGTGGTTTCATTGCTCAAGAGGCAATTAAGTTAATTACGAGGCAGTATATTCCCATTGATGGGACTTGTGTCATTGATATGATTTCGAGTACAACGGGTACAATCAAGGTGTAACACATCTTCAGCGGAGTCAATGAAAAATGAATGCATTGCGACTATCTCTGCCGTCACCTTTTTGAATCCCCTCTTTGCTGTCATGTCCGCATGACGATAAAGGTGCTTGTCTTGGGCTCGTGGGGTGGGCATCAAATCGGGGATTGTTAACCGGCGGGCCGTGGGAGGGGGGCGAAAATCAGGGGAGGGATACAGGCTAGTAAGGCTACACAAGATCAGCAGAATGCGCGAAGAAAATACACCACGAGAACGAATTCACAAGAAGCATAGGCATTCGAACAAAGATTTCAGACTGAACGATCATCAGAAACCATTTTGGACAAGTAATGTTTCGTGAGCAAGAGAGCACCCGGCCCCCGCCTAGAGCGTATTCTGCAGTTACAAAATGTTGTGAATCCTTGGATCAGGCGAGGAGCAGATATGCTCACTTTAGCGACCCAATTGGCGATGTATTCGATGAGGGCCGAGGTCTCCTCACCAACAGGCCTGATTAGCTGTGGTGGGAGGAGATATCCATACTGTGATAGTTGTCAGCAGTGACACGCAAACTAATAGCAGTCAATGTTTAACATACGGTGCCAGTATCTCGCAAGGAAATGCTATATGTGAACTTCACGCCCGCCTCGCTGTAAGCCCAATCGAGTACACTCCCGGGTGCGCTATTTGCCAGAATCAGTACTGCATTCACGGATTATCGGGGGGAACGAAGATCTACCTGTACAGGACCTCGCACGCAGCACCAGTGATCATCGAGACTCCATGTACTGACTTACTGGCTTTAGACGCGCCTAGTGCTAATTCGATTAAATTCTCCGCGTTCGGAGGGAGTGTGTCGCACGAATACGAATACGGATACATGACTGTTTATGCAGAGAATGTCAGTAATTCCCGTCACAACATGTTTGAAGTAAACATACGCATCTGCCCGTAGCTCCGAAGGTCAAGAAGTATGCGAATGTTACTGGTCCTTTCAATATATGACGCAATAGCGTTGACCTCAGGCGCTTCGAATGGCCCGGAACCCCCATACCAATGATGGCAAGGGTCATCAGAGGTTTTCCAGTACTGGCCCTGAAATATCAACAGAGTAAGGGTCAACTCATTAAGAATCAAGGGCTTGAAATACCCAATTGCGATTCATATCAATGCCGACGCATCCCTCGTTCTTGGTTGGTGAGCGGTTCTTGTACCAAAGGCGATCCACGTCCCATGTATGGACATAGCCGTCAGGGTTCGGAATAGGAACTATGGTGAACGCCTGAACAGTCATCAGTAAACGAACGACTTGCGTCGGTAACCTGTTTCTCTCACAAATTTATTGAGAAGGTGGTTCATGGATCCACCCTGGTCAGAGGAGACAACTAAAGTGTGGGCAAAATATAACGCAGTGGAGGTGGCGATCCACTTCATGAACTGAAAGTCAGTTGTGTTTTGGGAGCCAAAACCAGGGATACACACGTCGCGGGCGTGCTGTGGCCCTAGAATAATTACTCGGGGCCTGACTTTTCTTCCTCCAGGCTAGAGAACGCCAAAGTCAAACTATTGCGAATCATGTTGGCACAGCGAGAACCCACCCTCTCAATTTTGATCCCTAAGATTTCTCTACTCTCCGTGCTCTGCCCCATCCTTACCAGCTCCACGTGAAGGGGGAAAGTGCGTGCGAGCTCATTGGCGTATTCGATGACGTCTTCGAACCGATGATAGTCATTGTGCACTGGTGAGTGAAGACTTTCGAGGCTACAAGTCAACGAAGGGTTGGGACGGAATTGGTCTGGGTGTTGGTAAGGGGGTTGGATCACCCTAAGAGAGGCATTAAAGGATGCAAAGGATGAAGGTAGTTGAGTGGTATCAAGCCGAATGTCGACCCAGTTGTTGGTAACCGTCCAGACATCATAGTTCCTTGACTGAACCAGCTATCAGCAGTCGAAGGGACGCAACAGTAGCGATGGAGTAACAAGACCTTGGAAAACTCGAGGATATCACGAATTTCGCCGGGAGACGTCACATGAAGACGAGCAACCGGGAATGATGGCTGAGGCTGAAGGCGTTGCTGCTCATGAGAAAACGGCCGGCCAAGTGAAGATGGTAGAATACAAAGAACAAGAAAAATCACACTCTTCAACATCTCTTTTCCAGTTGTTGCGATCGTGTGGTGGTCGGGCACGAGACCCACAGAACCGTTGCAATACCAAATATTTTGGCACACGACACGATCGTAACTTTCCTATTCTGTACATCGGCTGTGCCCGTCCAGTTGTGGCCCAAATACTCACCAAGATGTCCACCTCCAAACTGAAACGCAAGGTTCCCCCCGGCGCTTCGGAGCGGCCGGTGAAGAAATTTGGAGGCGGTAATTCTACCGCCTTCACCGATGACCTAAAACTGAAGGCGTCATCACGATCAAGGAGAAAAGAGCAGGCCGACCCAGCGTTGAGAAGGAAGAAGCTTCCAGTCACTGCTTCGCTGGGGGATCAGAACGCGTTCGATGACCAGGATGACTCTTCTTCAGGTCAAGAGGATTTTTTCCCACTCGAAGCGGCCGAGGGTGATGACCCACCTAAGGCAGACGAGGATCCTATGGAAGTAGACTCCGGGACCGTAGGCTCCGGGACCGCACGGAAGGGTAGTCATTGTAAGAAACCCTCATATATCTCTCTATTACTTGCTCAATTTTTTTTCAGATGAATACCACCAAACGCAGAAATTATTAGCTCGAGAGCGACAAGCTTCCAAACCTAACGCCGAACTGCTTGCCAAAGCTAAATCACTATGGTCACTCGCTCATAGGAGGGACATCTCCAGAACCGAACGGCAGAAATATATTAACGACCTTATGGCGGCCATTCGTGGCAAGGTGCAAGAGGTTGTCTTCAAGCACGACGCAAGCCGGGTGATCCAAACTGTAGGTTTGCATACTCGACAACAGATTCACTGTACACCAACGTTGTGTGATGCTAGGTCGTAAAGTACGGAAATTCGTCACAAAGAGAAGAGATCGCCTCGGAGCTGAAAGGACAGTTCCGAGTATTGGTTCAGAACAAGTACACTAAAGTATGTGTGTAGTCAGTATCTGCCTCCCTTGGTCAGTGTCTTACTCCGCGCCCCCGTAGTTTATTGTCCTTAAACTAATCCGGCACTGGTGCGGCGTTTTTGGGTTCGTCGTGACTGACTGAGAAGTTCACCCGTTCGGACAGTTCTTCCCAGCGCGCGTCCATCCTCTCCGAACTCAATTCCAATCTCATTCGACTTCTCCTCCATCGCGAATCATCTCAGATCATATCTGATGCCTATGACCTATACGCCAACTCCGCCCAACGAAATCAAATGATGAGGAGTCTGTACGGAAAGGAAATGGCCCTCTTCCAAGATAGCGAGGCGCCAAATAATCTGAGAGGGATGTTGGAAAAATCCGACTCTGAAAAGCGGAAACGTATATTGGCGGCTCTGAAAGAGAATTTGTTGACTGTGTAAGTTGACGTCTGGTAATAAATAGCTTACAGTTTGCTGACGTGTTGACTCAGATTTGATGCTTCAGATAAGGGGGTAGTTGGGCATGCCATTGTCCATCGAGCTCTTTGGGAGTACCTTCAAGCGATCGATGCGGACGGTGCCATTGACGAAGGGGGGAAGGACCGTCGCCGTAAAGAAATATTCGAAAGGCGAGTGGGGCAATTTGCGGCTCTTGATATGATGTTCATTTGGCTTACATCTCAATTAGCTGTCAGGAATTAGTAGCCGAGATGGTGCATACAAAAGATGGGAGTCGGGTGGTGAGAGAATTTATTGCATGGGGAACGCCGAAGGTAGCATTACTTCCCTCCTGACTTGTCGCGGCATTGGGGTGACGTACGCTTTAGGAACGAAAACAAATAGTTAAGGTGCTCAAGGAGTACGTTGTACGCATATGCGGCGACGAGGAAGCGCAGAAAGTGCTCTTTACCGCCTTCGACATCATAGAGTATGTCCGCTTTGTTGAGGGTGCTATTCGATCCCGTGCTAATGAATTGCCCAGCGACACTAAGCTTGTGATCAAGTCCTTTGTGTCTCAGATCATCTCACACGCGTCATCTTTTATTCTTCCCTCAACTACATCGCAATCTTCGCTAGACTCGGATCAAAACCTCGCTGCGACCCGTCGCGTCATTCTTTACCTTCTCGTACCACGATCTTCACGGTACTTCTTTCCTAGCATGAATGACATACTTGCTGCAACGGATGAAACCCGCTCCCTGACGTCGAAGAAAGATGCGACTGCTCGAGCGAAAGAGATCAGAGAAGCTTCTAGCGATGGCCTCATTCAAGTAGTCATCGATAATGCTGATGATATACTGAGAGACCCTGGGGCGAGTCTAGTGTTGCTCGAGATAATGTTGTGCGCTGAAGGAGGTATGAGCTATCCTCTGACTGAATTGTCCCTCTGGTTGTTCACTGCCACAACAGATAAGTCGAAGGCTACCGACGCATTGATTGATCTTGTTTCTAAGCCTTACCCAACGCCGCCATCGCTCCGCAAAGAGGGCGAATTGACTCATCTCGTTGACATCCCCCACTCCTCACGGGTCCTGAAGATCCTCATCCAAGGCGGCCATTTTAACAAATCGGAAAACTGTGTCGTTCCTGCACCATCTTGGGATGCATCTGTTTTCGCCAACAGATTCGTGCAATCATGCAACAAGGATGTCAAGGACGAGGAAACTGGGAAAGAAATGAACCAGATCGCAAGAATGGCTGTCGGAAATGGGGTGTTTGTGGTTACTGAGCTGATTCGATGCATCCGCCAAGGAGGCAATGAAGATGCGAGAAAAATATTGACGGGTGTGTTCGGAGATAGCTTTGTTCAAATCGTGAAGTCAGGATCGGGAGGAAGGGGTAGGGAAGCATTATTGCAAGAGGTGTCGGCACTTCGAAGTTGAGAGGCGTGTTGGTTGGCTGCTATGCCAAAACATTACTGCGGTTTCTATAAAAGGTCGGGTCACCGTTTCATTTAGGTCTCACTGATCGATAACGGAGTGTGCGCGCAAAGACGGACTCAAAGCCACTTCGCCATGGGTGCGCAGTGGATGATATGGCTGAGTGCACATACGAAAGCAGTGGATAAGTTACAGAGAATATACAGCATTGCAATAATGCAATAGCATAAGCTAGCACATCCTTAATGCATTCATAAATATTCATTAACGTGGGGTGATGTAATGGATCGAGTTCGTTTCTGGTGGAGTTCCCCGGAAAAAAACCTTGATGCGCGACTTTTTGATGCTGGGCTTCTATCAGTGAGTGCTCCTCATTCCCCTGCTCAGCCATGCACTCGTCGCGATTGGGTGAGCTGGTAACGGAGGAGATGTGTAATCCACGGGAGATGCTGGGGGTGGTGTGGGTGGTGGTGGCAACAGGCGTCGATCGATCTCGAACATTCCCTTTACACCGGAGCACCGGCAACCACAACCAGTCGGACACCAACCTCCTGTTTTGGGTATCAGATCTCTCCAGCATATGAGATCTGCTGCGTGAAGGCAGCGGGTGCATGTGTGTATAAGACCTAGGAACCTGATAAGACAGATGGGGTACATGCTTGAGACGACCTACGCTTAAGATTCATATGACATACACAACACTTGGAGTTAGGATTAAATCCTCTTCGTTTGGAAGTACGACAAATTTCACCCTCCTTATGCTTTGACCGGCGGCAAAGCTTGCAAAGCATCGCGATGTCTTGGAAAGGCGGGGCGGTTACAATCACAGCACGAAGAAGGTTGAGGAGTGCGCACCCAGTGTCCCACCTCCGAGGGTGAAGTCATTGCGGCTTTGATGCACAGTGAGATTCTTCAACAACTCGACCCTGGCAATCTTAAGGTTCCATCGATCTAAGATGTTCGCGTAGGCCTGGATGAGCTGGTGGCACTCGCTTTGCGTCGACAAGTTCATTGACACCCTGAATTCGAATTATGAGCATAATGAATTTCTGAGCGCGCTCCACTCACCGTTCCTCGCGCTCCATCGGCTTGAGTCCAATTGTCACGGATTGTTTGACGGTTGGGGGTTTTGGCGCAACGTATTGGGAGATCGACAGGTGCCTCTTGCGGTTCCCCTGTGTGCTACCGGCGTTGATCCTGACGGGAAACGAATCAGAGCGAGATTTAGCAATGCCATCGAACCCAACATTCGCAGGCATTGCTACGAGCATCCTCCTGCGCCTGAGCTCAGCGATTTGGCCTTTGAAGGACTCCAAACCTTCGTAGCTCTCCAAGGGTGCTGCAGCTGCGTTTGAGAGCTCTGCCCTTGATGCCACACTTGCTCCCGACACGCTCTTTTCTCTCCGAGAAGCTGGGCTGGCGCTGTCCGATGATCCTCCCAGAAGATTGCGATAACTCAAAATGCTTGACCATGAAACCTTTGAAGAAGATAGAGACAATGATGGCACACCCGAACTAATGCTTGCAGGCGAAGGCGCGGCTATGGGGACCGGACGGGAGCTTACTTCTGTTCTCGTTGGGGGCTTAGCCGTCATGACAGTGACTGGGGTATGAATGGTTGACGACGGGACTACAAGACTGAAGTAGTCAATGGCGGGAACAGCGGAGATTGAGTTTGTGGTTGGTTGAGGCACAGAGGGAGATGGAACTAAGACAGCATCATAAGCAGCTGGAACTTGCACAGATAGCTACATACCTTGTGGCACAACGGCATCAACTTTCAGCATGAGCACTGCCAGCATAGCGAGCATTTGGATGTTACATTCTGACCTGAAATGCTCCACCCTAATTTTACAGAATCGTCAGTATAACATCCCAACGTGGAAACCCTGGTTTACATTATGTTATAAACGAAAGTGAAGTCCCTTCCCAGAAACGGCTTCACGATGCCTGCTTTCCCATCGGAACCAGTCTTCGGGGATCCTGGCAAGGCATGGACGAGGGAGTCGCGGAGCAACGCCCAGGAACGTGCCAAATCCGGACGTCCATGAGCTTGAGAGATAGATGCACTTTTTCGACAAAAGGCCAGTGGATCATTGATTGGTACCTGATACGCACACCCAAGGGAACGGTCCAGATTGTCCAATTTCGGAAACCGTTTGATTGACACTTGCCCTTCGACATACGATGGTGACGAATTAGGGTCTCTGGTACGCGAACGCTAATTTCACGTGTAATCAGGAAATCACAAGTTAGGACATGCAACATTTACCATTGAAGGTCGGATAATGAGGTTCTCTGTAAAGTTTGTTCTTCGCTTGCGTTTTGTATCCACGTAATCTCGAGGGATAAAAGGTGCGTCAGTTGCAAGCCTCGACAGACCCCACATTGCATCGAGCAGTGTTCCACTAGTGGCCCGGTGAAATTCATGTGAGGAGCGATTCATTGTTCGAGTAGGAGAGTCTCCAGGAGGTGCTTGCTTCCGCTGTATCCTGAAAAAGGTGACAAGTTGGCCTGCGCAACAAGGGTGAGGACCTGGGGAACGGGAAGAGCACAAAATCGTACCATCGATGCCAAAAGAAGCGAAAGTGTGTCTTGTTTTGGGCAAACTTTGATAATCAAGTAAAATGGGAGCTATGAAGTCTTGTCGTGCCAGGTGGGGTACCACGACCTCGTCATCAGAGTTCGAATCTGGGAGTGTTGGTTTCTTGTACAATCCCAGCAGGAATAACAGGCACAGTTCAAGGGCAGGAGCCTTGGTACCAAGTATACGCCTAAGATTACGTAGAAGGATGGCACGGGTCTTCATTGGTATGTCAACCCCTTTCTCAATCTCCACAGACGGTTTTGAAATGGGTGACGTTGAACGAGGATATTCTTTCGGAAAGTTGAAGAACGTTACCCGCATGAATGTTGCTGAGCCTTCTTCACTCCAGGGGCCATAAAGGGTAAAAGTACACTTGGTGTTCTTCTTTGATGTTTCAGTCTGACGCAACAAGTCGTTACCAAAGACCACGATGATTGTCACGTATTCATACCTTCTCATGTTGAACCTTACCGTTGAGTTTCTTCATGACTAATGAAATTCTAGCGGTGGTTGTCACAACCATTGGTAAGTCTAAGAACAGTTCAGCCCAACATACTCATCAGGAACATCTTGAGGTAGGTCTGGATGTTCGACAGGATCTCTTGAATGGCTTAAACTTCTTGCACCACTGCTCGGGGTCCCTCTCGTCCGGGATGGAGACGCTGCATTGCTCAGGTCCCCTCCAATGAGTCCAATGGAGCCCTTGTCGCGCCTTACTTTGACGCTTGAAAACCACGCAACCTGATCCATACCGCTACGACGCCCCGGGCCATGGGGAGGCAAGGTCATATTCGAGATACCCCCTGAGACAGCATTCGCATGTGTCATCCCGGCGACTGCATTCGCCATAGGCGATGTTTGGATCGTCTTCCATTGATATGGTGTGCGCCGAAACTCGATAGAATCTAGTTGTGAATCAGGGTTTTTCAGGACAGGCGAGAGTGGCTCAGACCCATGAGTTTCGTCTAGAACGTCTGGAAATGTGCGATATGTGATAGGAGCTGCACCACGACGCGGCATGTGCTCCTGAGCCGAGTTGAGTACCTATCCACCAGCCCAGCCAGGAAAGCTGCTCACTTTGATGGGTACGCCACGAACATAGCCCACTCGCTAAAGTCAGGCTTCATGATCGTTCAACAAATACAACAAGGAACAAGCATATTCACCTCCAGTATGAGAGGGGTAATGGATTCCAGCTTGACGTTTCGCTCATTTGTCAGAGTCACAAGTTGGAAATCGCGATCGTCTGGACCATTATCAGATTAAATGACGTGCCAGTGACGATGTGCATCTCACCATACAGAGGGTCAGAACCACCCTTGACTCTCCAAACGTACTCTTTCACTAGTCCTGGAGACCGGTCGAAATCTGCAATTGGATCGTCTAGGTTCTCCAGGCTGAACATCTCAAGCTTAGTTGCGTTTCTTTGCGGCAAGCTCAAGACGCCGCTGCCGAACGGCAAATGCCTGGCTCGCCAGACCGGATACGTGGTGTAAATTTCCGCAATGCAGGTGGAGAGCTTGAAGGGGTTTGACTCGTCTATCGGTGGTCCTAGATCATGCAGGTCCCATTGTTTGATGGACTTATCAAGACCGCAAGTTACAATCTGCGAAGGCGTAGTGCGAGACCAGTCAATCCCGTAAACTTTGGAATCGTGCGCCCTTATGGTGGTGAGGGGTAGTGCTCCTTTCTTAATTATGTAATTGTTAAAGAACGCGCCATGCACCAGGAAGCGCGGAGCGGCACTCACTCTGTCATCCCATATGAGAACATTTCCCCTATGCGACGAAGCGAGCAGGTGCTCGTGTTTCCGATTCCATTTGACTTGGGTGGCGGCGTCTGCACCGAAACAGTTTTCCCTCCAAGGTATCGTTGAAATCAAAATATCATACCATCCCAAGCACACATCCCGATGACATTCTTTCTCGTGCGTTCACGGATGTCCCAAACCCAAATCCAGCTATCAATAGAACAACTCGCTATACATCACGGCTGAGAAGGCCATGGGCCAAGCATGGGCGACCACACGCACCCACTATATTCTCATGATAGCTATGCCAGTTAATGTCCGTGATGGCGCGATAATGCCCATGAAGAATCTGCTGCACTGCATTCTGGCTACTCAGTCTTAGGTTCCAAATGAGCAATTTCTGGCTGGAGGTGGAACATATGAGCTCGGCAGACGAGGGATGAGGGCTGGAGGCTATCTCAGCGGACGCGAACACAAAAAAAATGAACAAACACTTGCTTCCACTGCACATCTGCCACTTCCCAACTCCCTCCTTGGGGTAGATAGCGAGGAGTCTTCCGAGGGTGTTCAAGGTCCACAACGAAGAGTCCTTGGCGACTAAAACGGAGAATTTGGTAACCCCGTCCATAAAGTAGCAGTGCACATACGCAGCTAGCACTAGATCCCTGTTCCCAGGAGAAATGCTCATCTACCATATTGTTCAGCCTCACCACTGTGTTGCTGCTGCCGTCGACCTACATTTCCGACAGTTTCTTGAATGGCAATGGTAATTGACTGATCATGAAAATCTTCATCTTGGCCATCAGACGCGCTCGCAGATTCGGAGAAACGGTCCCCATCGACGTCCTCCCCTTCCATGCGAGTTGCAGTCTCAGCTCTTGGCGCTAGTCGCGTGACTGGGCTGACGCGCTTTGCTTCCGACCTCAAAGGTGAACCACGTCGTGGGTGACATACGGCTGCTCACAACGATGCACAATAATTATGTGAGTAAGTTCCGATGTCTGAGAAAGCGCAAGGAGAGCTAATTGGGAGGAATTTGGGAAAATAGTCGCAAAATTCTCGTTCACCACCTCTTCATCACCCGCAACCCACACATCCACCATATGACATTCCAGAACCACCAGGGACGCCTCCAGTTGGCTACATGCGCTACCAAAGTTCCTCCCAAGTCCCGTATACTTCTCCACTGCCCAACGTCGGCCCCCCTCCTTCACAGCAACCGCAGCAACCATTTGGGCGTAGCCAACCTCAATTCCAGTCATTTATCCCGCCCGTGCCTCAGCAGCTGGCTGCGTGGGGAGTGAATGATGCAACAGCGCAAATAGGTATGCAGTTTGGCCGAAGTGCTGTTGCTGCTGGTCAAGATTATGTGGAGAAGAATGTGAGTAATTCGGGTCCCATATCTTATTAGAGGACATTTGCTCACTGGGTCCGTTGCTCCTCTGAAACCCGGTTCAGATTGGTACTTACGTGCCCCGCGCGTTATTGAAACATCAGTTCAATGTTTCCAATCAATATGTCCTCAGTAAACTGCGACTTGTCCTCTTCCCATGGCGACACAAACCATGGTCGCGTCAAATTACCAAGGCAGATGCGACAGGACCGGGAGGGGGTTGGAAGCCACCGAGGGAAGATATTAACAGTCCAGATCTCTACATTCCATGTCAGTTTCACACCAAACATTCCATTCGATTACTCCCTGAGTTTGTATTTCCACCAGCCATGGCAATCGTCACCTACATTTTGCTGTGCTGCCTCTACGCGGGGTTACAAAAACGATTCAATCCAGAACTGCTTGGCGTAACAGCATCAAAAGCGTTTGGAGTGATTATAACTGATTTCTTCGTCATTAAACTGGGTTGCTACCTGCTAGCTATATCAGGCCCGGGGCAGGTGATTGATATCTTTGCATATTCTGGGTATAAGTTCGAGGGGTACGTATTTGGTTGCAAGGGTGTATATGAATGGATCCTAAATAATTCACAGGATTGTGGTTGCATTGTTGGCACGGCTTTTGGGGCTGCGAGGGCTCTTGTATGGGATTGTTTTCTGTTACACATGGCTCGCCAACGCTTTTTTTATGGTAAGATCGGGCGCCATCGCCAACTGTCGATCAGAGGCTGACAACATGAATACACAGCTGCGGTCATTGCGCTATGTGGTTCTTCCTGACCCTCGTATTTCGCCTCCAGACGTGTCGGTGTCGAACTCGCATACAGTAAATCATACGCAACGGAGCCACCGACGGAATTTTCTGTTTTTCGTGGCTGCCAGCCAAGTACTGTACATGTGGTTTCTGTCGGTGTAATTAGATGGAAGTGCGAATGCCACTCTGGTTTGTTTGTTCTTCTACCGATGTCTAGCCTGAAAGAAGTCAGCAAATGATTTTTTTCTGATTTTTATTCGAGTCATTGTTTTGAAAGTTGGAACTGAATGGTATCCGCTTTGGGACAGAGACGGTTTCCTTCCATTTTTCAACTGAACTTGAATCTTCCCGCCCTCCCTTTTCACCTCGCTCTGTACGAGTCAACATCGCTCATCACCTGAGCCCTGTCCTCATAGAGAGCTTGTTCCATCCCTCCGCTCCCTGTTGTGTTCTTTTTTCCTGAGCGGTCGCCTTCATTCTTCGTTTACTCTGAACCTATCTTCACCTGAAGTTCTTCGTGCGTATCTTCAGCGTCCACGCTCCTTACATCCCACTTTTGCCCTCTCGCCCTCTCTTTTAGCCCCGCCCTGAGTCCTCTTTTCTTCTCTTTCATTATCTTAATTGGTCGTTTGTTCTGACCTTGTTCGCCCTTCCATTCTTTCATCGATAACTATACTTTTCCTTTACTTCGCCTTCGCGTTCTTTAAAAATTATGCTCTCCGACGAGCAGTACTCGGGCTTCTCTCACTATACGGCTTCTCTCAATCCTCATTACCATAATCTTGACTACGACATGAAGGTGAGTTGCCTTGGTACTTAGAGGCTCTCTGTGTCCACAAACTGATCTTGCCGTCCCAGCGCACCCAAGACTCTATCGGTGGCCCGGATCCGTCCAAGATCAAGAAAGCTCGTTAGTACCTCTTTAATTCTCCTTGGGCCAATGCTGGCGGATTTACGACGTGATTTCATGAATTTACATCAACATAGGCATCGACAACCTTCCCTTCTATCAGTCTGCCTCGACTATCGGTCAAACCTCTTCCCCTGCTCAGCTCTACACCTCCCCAGCGAATGCGCCTTTTGCAAACTCCAACCAGACCAGCATCAGCAATGTGTTTACCGGCATGAATACTCCTAACGGGATGCAGGCTGGCACTCTTGGTTACCCAAACAGTAGTCCTCAAGGGCAGGCGCCTCCGACTCCAAACACTGCTTCTCCCGCACAGGCTATGTTTGCGCAAAATTCCCCTCAGCAGCAACAGTTCCAACAGCAATTCATTCAGAATCAACAGCAGCAACAGGCCCAAGCCCAGCTGATGGCAATGAATGCGGCTGCCGGCATGATGAATGGTGGGATGAACATGTTGAGCAATGGCATGCCAAACATGTATAATAACATGCCGCTGAACATGGGCTATGGATTCCCTCAGATGGCCAATGCGTATCAACAGGTAAAGCGTAATTTATCTCTCCCCTAAACTTAGATCCGAAATTGACTGATCACCCCAATTTGCTTCAAGCACGGTCTCTCTATGGGCAATCAGCTCACCATGAACCCCTCACATGCTGTGGTTGCAACTGGCAGCGTCGCCGGTAACTCAACAGGACGTACGGTCTACATCGGGAACCTCCCTGCTGACGCGTCAGTTGACGAACTCCTGAATCTGGTTCATTTTGGTCCACTTGAAGCCGTACGCGTCCTTCCTGAGAAGTCTTGCGTATTTATCTCCTTCTTGGACGGTGCAACTGCAGCTGCCTTCCATGCGGATGCTACCGTCAAGAAATTGTCGTTGCATGGCCAGGAGCTTAAGATTGGCTGGGGCAAGCCAAGCCCTGTTCCTAGTCAGGTTCTGCTTTCAATAACGCAAAGTAATGCATCCAGGAATGTTTACTTGGGGGCTTGGATGAGAACATGACTGAGGAGCAACTTCGAGATGATCTTAGCCGCTTTGGCCTCATTGATCAGGTTAAAATTGTCCGAGACAAGAATATCGGCTTCGTCCATTTCTTGAGTATCTCCACCGCTACCAAGGTCCGTCAGGGTCCACAATTCATGTATGGGGTATATAACGGATTGTGCAGGTGGTTGCTACACTTCCAACTGAGCCAGCTTGGGCCGGGAAACGCGTTAATTACGGCAAGGATCGTTGCGCGTATGTACCCAAAACTCAACAGAACCAGCAAACCCAGCTTGGAACGTTCGGATCTATTGGCAGCTTCTCGCCTTTCTCTCCCCTTACAGCGACAGCGTTCGGTGTGAATGGCTTCGGCTTCGACACCGCTGTCTCCAATTTCTCCAATCTTGCCGGACAGCAGCACAATCGCACCGTATATTTGGGTAACATCCATCCCGAGACCACGACAGAGGACCTGTGCAACACTATTCGCGGAGGCATCCTCCATAGCCTTCGTTACATGCAGGACAAACACATTGCCGTAAGCGGGCTTGTCCTTGGCGTTGATCTCTCATTGATCCCATGAATCAATAGTTCGTTACCTTCGTGGATGCCGCGGCCGCTTATACATTCTACAACGTTGCGTCCCTTCAAGGGATCACACTCAATAACCGTCGCCTCAAGGTTGGTTGGGGCAAAAGCTCTGGAGCCCTTTCCCCCGCGCTTGCCCTCTCGATCCACGCTGGTGCCACGCGCAATGTATATGTTGGGAACATAGAGGATTACGACCTGTTCACTGTTGAGAAGTTAAAGAGGGACTTTGGCGAGTATGGCGAAATCGAACTCGTGAACACGCTCAAGGAAAAGTATGTGCTCCACCATTTAAGCACTATCCGCCGCTCTTTGATGTTTTAAATCCAACAGGAATTGTGCCTTCGTCAACTTCACCAACATTACTAATGCAATCAAGGCTATCGACGGCATCAAGAACAAGCCTGATTACGTCAGCCTTCGCATTGCCTATGGCAAAGACCGCTGCGCCAATCCTCCCCGTGCTGGTCTCCAGAACCATAGGAACAAGTCAGGGAACCGGGTTAGTCCTGTCCCCGGCTTTGGGGAGATTCTCGAGGAGAGCGATGGTGGGAATGCTTCACCTAGCGCCGGCAATGAGGTGTGAAAAGGATAGATGTATTTCCTCGACGCCTGTGGAATCGATCACAATCTGGGTTGCCTCGGCGTTGTCTCCCGAATGAAAAGTGACATTTCTACTAGTCCCATTTATTACGCTTTTGACTCCCTTTTAACTCCATTTTTTGTTGGTAATAGTGTGAACGAAGCCCACTGCCTTCGTTCGTATTTGCCCTTATTTATTTCTGTGATTCTGTTATTTGTTCCTATTTCTTACTTATTCCTGAGGAACTTCAGCTCCTGGTTTCCCCCTTTGAAGTTTAGTGAATCCTTTGGTGTTCTCGTATCGTCACGGACTCCCTATCCTCTTTCCTCGACGTCTCACTTATCGTAGTAGCCCAATTGTTCGTCGTTAACTCTACCTGTGTCGGTCAATACGTTGTGGCGTGCGCGTCTGTGTCTTTATGTTCTATACCAAAATATATTACACCGGATGCCCTCTTACTAGACTGCGCTGTCGATATGAATTCCAAATTGGCCCTCGATCGAGACTTGGCGAAGCCTCCTGCTGGTGGTGTGCTGCAAAGAGCTGCATTTTGCGGGGAAAGGTGTGAATGTCTGATATGATGGCCGGACGGTATGTCCCGGTCGATCGGCCATCCACCTAACTGATAGGAACGGCTCCAGAGGGAAGAGCCTGTATCCCGCCAATTGCTCAAAAAGAAAATTCCACGATGAGCTCTGCCAAGCCGGTCTATGGACACCGTGAAAATTGCTCAGCAACTTGCAAAAGGGGGCTCGCGCCTTTTTCGAGGCTGTGTGTGTGGCAATAACGAGGCTGTGTTTTAAATTGACCAGTGTCAGTCACCTGACTCGACCTCGTCATAACAAATTGAGTGGACGATCGCAATTGCCAGCTAATACGGGGCCACAACCGGGTATAAAAGTTGTCCCTTGGGGTTGTCTTAGTGGATACCTATCTCTTCTCTTATTCCAAACTTCGTTAACCGCAACCAATACCGACTACCAATGGCCTATAATCCCAACAACTACGCCAACAACTACCCTAGTAGTACGTTCTTTCGTTCTCACCAAGTTTGATGGGTGCTAATCAAAATCGATTTCTTCACCTGACTTATGGCCGACTAATCGGCCCTCTTGATCAGGCTACAATCGTGGGCCTTCCGGAAACGTTCATCATGGCGGATTCCTCGGTGGAACGCAATCTCATCCCCAGCAGGTAGGTGCTGATTCAGCTTGAGATGGGACACGCCAAGTTTTTCCGTTTCTGACCTCCACCCACTTAAACGCACTCGGATGCGTGTAATTGAGATGCCTTCCGGCGCCGATCCTCAGCTTTGGAACTGGTTCACGTCGGTGGACTTCGATCGTTCAGGTAATTGTTCTTCCAAAGTGCAGGCATTAAATACAATACACAATTATTGCCTTCTGGACAGGTTATATCAGCGCTACTGTAAAGTTTAGTTGCACTTCAACTTGGAATATGGACTGATTTCAATCGCTAGGAATTGCAACAAGCACTCGTCAATGGAGACTGGACTCCTTTTGACCTAGATACTGTTAAATTGTTGATGTCGCTGTTTGTAAGCACCATTATCATATCGAACTGCACATTTGTGTGCATATTGACCACTTGTAGGACACCGACCGTTCGGGAACCATCGGATTTAACGAATTCGCAGGTAGGTTAATTCTTTAATTTCCCCAGTTGCACAACAATCATCTGTGCATTATAGGACTCTGGCAGTACGTATCCTGGAGTTTTAAGTGATCCTATGATGACAGATCTGATGGTCATTCGATTAAGATATATCAAGGACTGGCAGAAGTACGTCATGCGTAAATTCATTCCGATAAGCAGTCTCACCCCCAGCCCATTATCGTTCGATAGCGTATTCCGTCACTTCGATGCTGATCGCAGTGGCTCAGTCGAAGGACAGGAGCTATCCAATGCTCTTCGCCAATTTGGTTATAATCTGAGTCCTCAGCTCATTCAACTCCTTGTCGCCAAATATGGTAACGTCCTCCTCAGGTCTTCGCGAAACGCGTCTTCTGATGGGATGAACCCCTTCGGGGCTAGATATGGCAGGATCTATTCCGAGACCCGGTCAGCAACCTCTGAGTGGTGCAGGAGGGTTTGGCCAACCAGGTGGCTTCCAAGTTCCCGGTGGTAGTTCAAGCATCACGTTCGACCGCTTCATACGGGCTTGTGTCGTCGTGAAGACACTCACGGAGGCGTTTCAGAAAGTGAGTATATGTGGACAGTGGTACATGGCTTGGCTCAAATTCTTCTATAAATCAGCTCGATACAGATCGCGACGGGTGGATCCAGATGTGAGTCGGCGATTGTCCTGTGGTTTTCAGGGTGTCGCTAAATTGGTACTCCGATTTCATAGTAACTATGACCAGTTCATGCAGGTTAGCCCCCCATCGATACACTCTGAAGTCTATTGTTTTGATACCCATGTGCATTTAGACGGTCCTTGGCCTTCCTTAGGCGATGACAGCCTCATGCCAAGAGATTGACGAAAGGGTGATCTTGAGATCGCGTGTATTCCTTGTTCAAATGGCCTAATAATTGTATGTAGTGCGTTTCGGATACTGTAAAATCCTAGTATTTGAGATTGTTGTCCCACAACAATTGCTGGGTTTGTCGGCCACGACGTGAAGAAGCCGTGTGAAAAACGGCCGCAACATAGCTAGTTGTTCGCGTTTCCCAGCCTTTGCAGCCCGACGAGCCCGTTGGCGATATAAACAATGTGACGTCAGTGCGTAAGGGCGTTGGTCTCATCGCAGGGTTTATGAGTGAATGGAATATGTCACTTGCGGTACGACACTGACACTGAACTTGGCTCCGTCGAACCTGGCAAGCTGAGAAAACCACACTATATTAACTCGATATACGGCATCAAAGGCGAGTACCCCTTAAAACCCCTGAAAGTTACGCAACTCAGAAGTTGCACAACTTACATGGAACACCCCGTGCGTACTCAAAATAGGGCGCCATCCGCAAGGGGAGCTTGGTCGTCTAGTAAATAGGCTTCCAGTTGGAATCAACTCGACGGTACAGTCCGGTGCCAGTGGGTCTTACCCGAAGTCCGCGTGACAGATTTTCAGTCTGCTTGCCCCTAACTCTTGCCCGTACTAAGATGTTCGCACGCTTCCTGTCAAAGCCCCAGCACTATGGGTGCGGCGGGAGTTGCGAGATAAATACTTTCCAGATATGCCACTTATACATGGCGACCTTACGTAATAGAAGTACGCCTTGTTGGCTTTCGGGACGACTTGTCAGGTAAAATGCTACTTATTCTTGCAGGAGAGGAATATTTTACATCTTCATCTTGTCAACCATCGTTGAACCTATCAAGTCGGGTAACTCCGCAGCTAAGCGAACCTCTGTCGGTGTATGCCGGGGTCCTGATTCATATGCAAGTGGCCCTTGCACGACCGCCTTCATGGTACCCAGGCCATATGGCCGCATTCGCCAAGGCTTTGCCCTCATTGCTCGCGAACACCAATGTTGTTCTCGAGGTACGCGACTCTAGATTGCCGCTGACATCTATCAATCCTGCGCTGGAGAAACATTTGGAAGAGTGGCGCATCGGCGTAAGCAAGGCCGGAGTGGTACGAGAACAGATCGTCGTCCATACAAAGAAAGACCTTGTGCCGAGCTGGGGCGAGGAGGTGAGTAGTGTGAGCAGTGCCTGATTGCATAATACTAATCATTTAAACCGTCAGAGACTCCGTCGCGCACTGTCGAAACATTATAAGCACCTAATGCACTTCACCTCGCCTTCCTCGCCTCCTTCCATCCGTGCTTTACATTCCACTCTCGTATGTCCGTCTACACGCAACAGTCCTCCGCGCTTACTCTAACGCCTAAATGTAGCATTGTGGGAGGAAAATGCTGACAAGCTGACAGCACTAAACGTCCTCGTGGTAGGAATGCCTAATATTGGGAAATCGACCCTCCTCAATGCCCTTCGAGGTGTTGGAACGAACGCATGTGAGTTGATTTCTATATATTCCACTTCTTGCGGGTCTTCGGTTCTGAAGTCACTCTCGATTCCAGCCAGCAAGAATCCCCTCCGAACCTCGCCACTCCCCGGTTACACCCGCTCCCTGTCTACACGACTCAGGCTATCTTCTACACACCCTATATACTCAATAGACTCCCCGGGAATCATGATTCCTTTCCTGGGCCATGGAGAAGAAGGGAAACAACGGGGTATTAAACTTGCACTGATTGCAGGGATCAAGGAATCGTTGTACGACGACGAGGCCCTCGCCAAGTACTTGATTTGGAGATTATGGAAAGATTGTCCCGAATGTGGGTCGTGCTCACCACCTGTTTCATCCCTCTGACTGTTTTCAAACGCAGGGCCAGCTTATAATTCGCTCATGCACCCCACATCCTCTCCACATATCATTTTACCAGACCAGGGACTTCAGGGGGTGGACACTCATGCCATCCTGGAACGATTGGCAAACAGGCTTAAAGCAGTTCAAAAAGGCGGTTTCCCAGATATCGATCGAGCAGCATCATATCTCGTAAGATGGTGGCGTGCAGGAAACCATCACAGGTCGTCCGACACCAGATCTTCCTTATACTATCCTTCAAACCCACCGACACCGACTCCGAATTTAGTCCGTAGCTGGGGCTTCGATTTTGACTTCGAGAGACCAATTGAGCTCAAACCATTGCCCTCACTGGAGGACGCTGGAACGGATCCGATCCAAATTGCCATGAATGAAGTGGTGCAGAAGTATATTGAAAAAATGGGTGATCAGGGGGGAATAGGCATGAGTGTTTCCATGACGAAGAGGAACGAACTGAAGGAGCGCAAGCGGAGGAAGGTGGAAAAGTGGAAGAAAGGAGAATCATAGTTTTGTTAGTTCCAGTTACGTACATAGACGCTTTTAAGTCCACTGTCATTGCTGTCCAGAGTCTGATTACTCAGTAATTCCACGAGTTGCATTCTTACTAGTGATAGAGCGAATCAAAGGTGAAAACATTCGCCAAGCTTCAAATAACAAGGGGTATCGAAAAACAAGACGAGAACGTGTGTGCTTCAATAGTGTACATGTTTCCACATTTCGCCCTTGAACAAACCAGATATGGGGGTATCAAAACGCACAGCTCTCCACAACAGTCTCCTACCTCGCCGCGTCCTCCTCCCCTGGCGGAGGGCCTTCAACATCCACATGGCCGCCCTCATCCATTGAGGCCCCTTTCAACGAAACGTCAATCTTCATAGTCCTAATCTCCTTTTCCTCAGCCTCTCCAATCCTAACGTATCCTTCGGAATCCAAACGATCCGTGCAGGGCCCAATGCAGGATGCATGAATTCCAATCCTGCTTCACCTTCAAGGCGTGGATGTTCAGGTTCGATCATCCCACTTCGTCGATTGCTACCCAATCCAGAACTTCCCAACCGGCGCATGAGTCCCTTACGTGGAGGTGCGGTATTTGGTTTGTCAACACCCGTCGTTGCCCCACCAATATCTGCTTCGTCCTCCGCTCGGTCCTCGGAGTCAGAGACTGAAGGATCAACACTCGTTCTAGCGTTGACTTCATCTTGGTGCGAACGGTCTGCTGCGAGCGTAAGCGGCAGGGCCTTAAATAACGGTGCATATGAATCCAGGAGAATGATATGAAAACCAGCCTAAGTGGATGCAGGGAAAACCGCGCCATCATGAGACAAAGCGCAACACCAGCAGAGACAGGACTACTGGCTCACCGTTATGACAATCAACACGACCATCAATGCACCCTCGGGTACAGCGCTTGGATGATTGCGCGCATCCTGCGTCAAGAAGAACAAAGCAGCAAGGCAGATCTGCTCCACATACAACCCGACAAAGACATGCGTGATAGCCTTCGGGAAGAACAATCCGCCCGTATCAGTCGAAGGAGGCTGATCCAGCACATACAAGAACAGGTATTTCCACGTCTGGTACAGCAGGAAGAAGATTGCACATGCGAGACCATTGATGAGTGGTGAGATGACGGAGTATGCCACCGTTATTACCACGATGAGCGATACTGAGGGAAAGAGTGTCCCCCATTGAACGTCTTGAAGTGTATGCGTGATCGCGTAGACTGATCGTGGTGTGCTTCCAAGAAGGAAGAGTTTAACGTAGTAAATGATTAGGGGAACCAGTTGAAGGAACCTCCGGCTATACCGGAAAGTTGCAGCAAAATATATCTACCGTGAGGCTCGTAATCTAATTCGAGGTCTATTTTGACGTTGTGAGACTCACGTCAAGAAAAAAGTGGATGCCCCGGGAAGGTTATTCGCAAGTAGAGTTGGAGCGGAACCGAGATTCTTCGCAAGGGGTGCCAAAGACTGGACAAGACCAGCCGAGAGTGTCACAATCAGGAAGGAGTGCTGGGCAAATGCAGATTACTCTTCAGAACCAATACCGATTGCTCTCAGGGAGAGAAACTCACAATCACTTGGAATGTAAAGAAACGTGTCATAAGGGATAACTCAAGCCCAGTTCGGCGGGGTATACCCTCAAATTGAGCGAGCACTGCAACACGCGAGAAAACAAGTCGCCCAGTTAGGCCTCTAAACAGACGTCGCAACGGGAGAACGGAGGGAGCTTACATCGTAAGATGATCGGCAGTAACATCATGAGCAATGCAAGTAAAACAGGGGGAATGATGCCCGAAATAATGCCAATCACAACTACCCGCAACAACCACCCCAGAAAACATCAGCTCAACGGCAAGAGAAAGATGAAAAATTTCACAACCCACCACCCGGTAAATGACAAACCCAAGTCAACCACCTATACTTCGAACACAACGAATGCACATTCGACACAGCCCCAATGAACGCTACCGGAAAAGCCCAGAGTAGGATCAACCCAGCGGTAGCCGTATAGCTGATGCCGGTCCGAATCTTCGCCTCGTAGGGGTTCATATTCAGATTACTCCAGATGACATCCTTGGGGGCCACTTCCGTGTACTTCGCAGCCATTCGATAAGGCTCATGATGAACGAGTGCCTGAGAAGCTATATGAGCTGCGATCTGTTCGTTGAAGAGCACAAAGGCACTATTGAGACGCGGGTACATTTCAGTGGATGGGTCGAGTGGCATTTCGGAGGCCATTTCGGTTGCGACGCGGTCTTGGTGCGAACGAATAAGGGCATTTAAACGAGAAATCTCTTCGCGGCACCATTGAATCGTGTCCACTTTCTCCCCGAAGAATGGTAAAGAGAAAGGAAGCCAGTGGAGGAAGGAGAGTTTGAGTCTGTGCGTAGGACGTTTATTGGCAGGTACGAAACGCTCAGCCAGAGAGAGGGGCTGTTTCTCTGCATCTTTTGGACTGCCTGGAGAAAGTGCAGAGGCCCCACCCGCCGTAGGGGATTGATCGGCGACACTCGTCCCCCTTTTAGCGAGCCCCTTCCTCCTCTTCCTCTCCAACTTGGCAGCAATATGCATCAACGTCGTCTCTGCACTCTCCAATTTCGCGATAATGTCCAGTCTCTCGTCAAACAAATCCGGCAAATCCCTCAGGTCCCTGTTAACCCACACTTTGTCCACCCCCCCAGGAAGAAGAGAGAACACACTTCGGATAGCAAGCGGGTGGAGATACTTGGGGGGGACACCGGTCATCAACATGGTTTTAGCTTGGGGAGTGGCCCGATGCCCAGGATCAATCAAGTGCCGTTGACGTACGGTGATGAAGTGCCTCATTTCCTTCTTGAGGACGTATAGTATCCAAAACGTGAAGACGTACGCGAGTGTCAAGTGAGCAGCATAACGAGACTGGTCAGTTCTAGATATATTTCCGAAGGTGAATCGATCGAGTCCAGTCAGGCCTTCGTGCCGAACAGAATTGATAGGTAAAAGAATCGTCCAACTGAGGAACCAGATGGGGAGGAGCATCTTGACCATCATTCTCAAAAAGTGCACGAAGACATAGGCATCTAGGCCATTCTGACGCCGAATGTCGTCAGGATCCAAGTTGTAGATTGCTATTGGCCATGAAAGGAAACCAGGCGGGAGAGGTGGCGCACGTTTCCTGTGGAAAGTAAGGAGTTTGAGCTTAGCACGAAAGGCAGATAGTAGCTAATGGGAATCAGCGCACGAGAGAGGCGGAATGAACGTCCGTGGTTCATATATGGTTTTGAATTTCGCCCTCAACACTGTGAAGGCGACGATTTCTGCCAAAAATACCGCTACAGGTAGGACAAGTGATAGGGAAATGGAAGTCAGCCCTGGAACCTTTTCAAATCCCAAATTCAACATACCGAGATTAGTTACTAGCGCGGTGGTAAACGTTGCCACTGACGCTGTTTGTGCATTCCCGATAGTGGGCCTACGCAAATGAAAGATTGGTGAGGCAAGAGCGGAGATCACCAAGGAAAATGAGCAACATGTTGTCAGTGCCTTGTCAGGTAACCAGGAAGGCGGCAGGGGAATGAAGATATGGTCGTGATCTGGCTCGTCCCAGAGGAAAATCGCTACAAAGAGGAAGGACTTAGTGAGGAGTGATGTGCAAAAGAGTGATAGTGGATTGAATTACGCGACGCCACCCACCGCTCCACCACCATTTGCACGGTTTGAATAGTCTCACGTCACCACGTCGACTACTATACTACGTGTGCTCACTGGTCGTCAACACTGACATAGGCAACTTGTCTGGGTATTCTGAGGCTGCTGGGCCAATGCTGTGCGGTCTCGGCCTCAACACCCGAACTTGAAGGAGCTCGTTCTGACTGAATTGAAAGGAACCAGTATGTAAATTACAAAAATTCCAAATCGCGGCAAACAGGGTTCTGTCTGCTGCGGTTGCGCTGAATCGTTAATACGTTACTCGCTAGCTGACGCTGTACTGTGGTTTTGGCTTGACTATGTGAGTCCACTGTCAAACGCATCTCGGGACGGCCTTTCCGTACAGCATTCTTCTACCCAGCCGTACCGTTTCGCACTATGGGGGCCTGGTCTGGCGTCTCTAGTGCTCCTGCATTTAGGCAATCTGTTTGGACTCTGACGCGATTCACGATGGCTTATATGACGCATGGAGGAATTGGCTATCTAAATCTAGACTGTTCAAGGATGGTGGTGACATGTCACAGAAACGGCGCATATTGGCGGCCTCGTTTATGTGTGGGCTTGTGGTCCTGTCACCCTCAAAGGGAAAACTCCCTTAAAACAACTTTGACACAGAACCGCGTTGTACATGCGGAACAATCGAATCCCCCACAGCCAGGGCTTCCGATGAGCGAGCAGCCCAGCAACGTCACTTGATAGGCATTTGACGCGAGCCGGAAAGGGCCCCTGGAGATCGTGGCATATTCAAATCGAATAATTTACCTCTGTGTACTCGTATCGGGAACTCCTCATCTTCACGCTCGCCTGAGCGCATAACCAACTCCTTTGTTGCAGGGACTTCCGTTCGATGGGCCGCTGCCATGGTTTTCGGTGCAATGGTGTCATCAAAGCTCGTTACGAGATCACAGTGCTCCCTCGGCTAACCTCAAGAACCGATCTTCTGCACGGGTGATACATGTATTACTTGTCGCTCTTGCTCGACCTAGTTGGCATATCGTATGAAAGAAAGTAGTTCACAATATGCTCTCTGGAGTCCCTGCTCGTCAAGAGTCTCGTTCAACTCGGCAATAGTTTCTTCGATCTTCTGCTGCCAACTTGCTTTCCTCTCTGAACCCGCTCACGATACTCTTCAGTTTTTGAAAGTGCTTCCCACAACCCAACTACAAAAGGGTGTAGCGTACCCCTAATGTATGGTTGTACTCAAGGATCAGCAATACTAGGATGGAACGGTCTATTAAAATGGATTGTGTGCAGCTCTTTCTTCATGCGTTAAAAACCCAAGCCATGCCGTTCTACAGACGACATATTGGCATGCGTCCCAAGGCCCTGCGCGCTCCAACGGAAGTCAAGCGCCCGCCACCTTGACTTGAAGTGCTTATTCAGAATCCTTGCTGATGCACTGGTGAATCTTTCAGGCTATGACCCATGCGAAGTAGCACTTTCCGGTCTCGAATATTTTCCAGGGTCATCAAGAGTGCCCGAGCTGAAGTAGGGAGATTCATCCGGAGCCGGAATTCCAACATCCCGAACAGCACCTAGATTCGCTCCCTGGAGGTTGAAATTTCACAGACCCGAGACATTTTCAGGGACTAGGACATGGGCGCCAGATAAATTATTCTTTGGGAGCTAAATGAAGCGAAGGGTCACCTCATCACGCGAAGGAACCGATGTTCGAAGCTTCGTTCGACCATTCTGTACCGGTCGGCATATGGCGGAGCAATGGGTTGCACTGTACATAATCAGTACAAGGCTGCGCGATGTATCTTGCCAGCTCTCCGACCGCTATCTGCCGGTGTCCCATCCATCCACCTTTTACCATCTCTTCTTGCAGTCGCCGGTATCCACATTCCTCGAGTCGCAATCACCTAAGTTTGAGGACCGAAGTCCCGGATGAAGAGGGTTAATCGGGCAGCCCACTAGGCCTTGATGCTGTTGGAGATTGCCTCCTGAGCGACGGTAGCAATGGTGCGTAGGGCCAGAGGCGCTAAGCACCCATCCGGACGCCGCGTGTCTGGACACCTAACCTAAGGTGTCATCTGCAACGGCTGTATGAAGAGTGACAGTTACGAGTATTGCATATTCGTTATCACCAAGTTGATGCTGTACACAAATTCTTTCCAGCTTGACTGTTGGCGTCCTTGGGCAAAAGGCCGATTCCGTCTTGCTTTGGTAACCCGAGTGAAGGGCTTCATATTCCCCTTCATGCACTGCCATAAATGCATCGATTCCTCGTCGGGGATGGTGACAACTCTCCGCCGGTTGCGTTTTCCGGTCGTAATCATCGAACATGACGATGGCATTCTTCTGGGCTATACGCCGGCCTAATTCTCCATCAAGTGACATGTCATCTGCTTCATGCGATTCATCGATGTAGATCTAAACGAAGCCCCGTGGATGCAACTTGTTAAGTGCAGGGGACTGAAATGGTCCCGTTGGAGATCAAATTGGTTGATACAGGTGATATGGCCGTCCCCCCCAACCCAATGATCTGCCTTCCCAAGATCCTATCTCGAGAGCTCTGTGCGTGGATGCGGTGACCTGGTGGATCAATGATTTCCATGATCGTTGAACCAGTCCTGAGTTTCAGTGAATTCGTATTTCGCCTTCTGCATTTGTACAGTTAGTACTGTAAGTGTAGCGTGGGCTTCTCACTATGAGTCGCCATGCTGGTACGGCAACTCTCACTTGACACTATGTTGATTGCTCAGGCGGAAGAACGGATTTAATCAATCCTTTACTTCAATTCTTGTTCAAGCGATAGCGATTGGGGCATCAGCGACATAGCCCCAGGCGTTTCTCCTCCCATTGTGAAATCCACGGCAACCAGACCATTGAATCCGTTTTGCCTCTCAGCACCCCTTTAGTCAACGCACTGGGTTCCATGATCAACTGATGTGCTCACTTAAGCATAGAGAAAAGAAACGACGGCATCCCAATGATCCTCGAGATCACGCATCCCAGGATCGTACCTTCCTTACGATGCTGTCTGCTGAGCTACGAAAGCTGAGAAGCACTAATGAGACTTCAGCACCAGGTATGACAAGCGGAGTTCAAGTTGCACGATAAGTCCGACACACAGGGGCCCACTCAAATGGAGACCAATGCTCGCGAAAGGAACGGAACCGTGCTGAATCAATCTTGAGAGACAGTATTATGCTTCAAGCGATTGTCCTAGCCTGATACCGCTAAACATAGCCCCTAAACTAGCGGCTCCATCCCGCGTCTCAGTCTCAGACACTGGGTGCAGACGGCGTTCGGCATTTCCCCGATCTGGAGGCCCAACTGTCGGGGGTTGATGGCCTAACAACTCGCTTCACATCCAGCCATACAGATTTGCTTGACCTGGCCAAGTTTCATTCTGGAATGTCCCCCCCGCGAGGAACGTACCTGTGCGCTCAACAAGGAATTTCTTGCTGAGAGTAAAGTGCATTCGGGTGCAGGGAATACTGGGAGGCAATTTTCTGGCGAAAAAACCCAGGGTTGAGAGGTGGAAAATAGCCTAACTGCAGGAGACGTGTTCCGACAACTATATCTCTACACAGCGTAAGCAGTACCCAAAGTTTTATATTAAGTATTCGTGGGTGAGTCCCAAATCGTACGAAATATTCTTCTCGTCCACTCAAATATTTCCAATGCAGAGTCCCTAGGTCTTGTGATTACAAGTTCAGTGAGGGTGGCTATTACAACATAAGTGACTGGTTTGACATGTTCTTTTCCATCGCTGTCGGTGTCTGGCATCGCCTAGCCAACATCTCCTAGTATCATTGGGTGATGTATACAGTCAAGGCTCATCCCATGGGGCCCATCTCTCCGGCATTTCCCACCATGTAAAGTCATGCATCGCGACCTTTGCGGGGGGTTGTGACTGCCATTCTATCCGTTCTTCCTCTGCTAATTTCTCCAGGTTCTTCGCCCCAGGTTTCCCAATCCGCTGGTCTGTTCGATAAGTGTCATAGTTCTCCACGGAATAGGCGACGCTGGTGCCACTGTCCGTTAGTCTTAGCTTTAGTGCCCAAAGGGGAAACTCACCGAGCACGAGATGCCAATAATATTTTTCCTATTCCCTTCTTCCACATATCGACGCTCGTTAAATAACACTCAGACACAATATCCGTTGGCTGCTTGATCTCTCCGTTCTCGTGGTGGTCACTCAGTCCCATTCTAAAGCGAATGTCGTGTTCAATGAAGACACTAGAGTCGAAAGCAGCCATCCCGTTCCAGCAGGCGAAAACTTGTAGTGGCATCAAGTTTTCGAATCTATGACGATCTTCCGTTCTGTCAGGCAACGGTGTTGGTGCAATCTTCTCATCAAGACTTCTAGGGTCTCTGAAGTATTTGACGAGGCCGTCGTGCTCGTACCACGGGCTAGCATGCACAACATACTTCAGTGACATATAGACTTTTCAAATGAAATTTTCCAAGCAGCTTACTCTCCGGACATCGCCCGCAGCACCCATCTGTCATACACTATTCGTCCACCCCAATCCCAGTCTACAGAGCAAGACTCATAAGCGCCTTGCTCCCGCCGCTGGTAAAGAACTTCCAAGACATCTGCGGCGCAGTAGATGATATCATTCATAAACAGCACTTCGTCAAATTTTCTGCCCGGCATCGCCTTTTCAATGGCTCCAGAGTATAGAGGTGCAAGGGCCAGATTCCTAGCGATTGCAAGTGCCTCGATCCGATGGTTGAAGCCCTTATCAAATGTAAAATTCTTCCCCTCCGAAATGATCGTGTAGGAGGTCCCCAAGTTGTCCAGGATATCCGCGACTGGCAGTGTCTTTATTGTTGATTCAGTCTGCGGAGGAATGATCAACTTACGAAGGACTAGGAATTGTTGGGTGGCATCTTCACTTCCATTCTCGTATATAGACACATGAATACTTGAAGGTGTCAGGAACTTTAAGACTTCGGGCATTTGCGAGATGATTGTTGGAAATGTTTGCGCATTGTTATGGAGATTCATCGCAAGGAAGACATTCTTGCCTGAGTTTCTGAGCGATGCGTATCTCATTTCGTGCCATTCCTGAAACTGGCAGGTTGCTCGCGAGAACGGGGTAAGAGCCCAAGCTTTCCGCTGGATCTCCGCAACTCTAGTCAGGTTTTGAAATGGATGACGCCGAGGAGCTCGTAGTAATTTGAGCACTTCTGGCACCGCGTCAATAGAAGGCAAAGGTCCCGTGTCATAGTTTTCAAGTTCGTAAGGGGTTGTTTCAGGGAGGGGATCAACGATCATCCTATGCCTGGCTTGCCAGCCGAAGGCAGAAAGAAACAAGATGCACGCGATGAGGAGTAGACACCCGACCCTCAGATATCTTCGTTTGTTATTTGCTACCATGGGTTTCACTGACGCTGGCAACGTTGGACCTGGCAGAAGTGTATAAGGAAAAGCCTTCCAAGTTGAATGACTGTCCATGACACTATTTGCAAGAAGGGGGAGAGGCAGACACATGCAACCCGCCATGCTGTATTTAAGATTGCTCGACATCAGTACCTCCAGAATCTTCACGCGCCGCCAATCCTTGTTGCCCGCAACAAAGACCTACACATCGGTTATGCGGCGGATCCTCTAATTCAGACAACCCAGCCGCGGCCGCTGGGACATCTATACGCGAAAAGGAAAAAGGTTACTCGAATAATGCTGCAGTCTCCAATTAATTGGAAGCTATCCCTCGTGTGTATTCTCGCACGTACTATCTTGATGGCGACATTCAATGTACTTGTTCATCCATCAATGTCCGTCACAATCAGCTTCTATAGTAACTGCGCTAGGCTATGGGGTTCCCCTCAAGCTGAATAACCAAGCTTGCTGCCGGAGCATGTTCGATAGTGATATTGATACATACAGCGAGGGACCAGAGGGACCGCCTCTCGAACCTGCCCTCCTGACAGGCTCCAATATATGGGGGGCTTTTGGGGCTAACTAAGCGGCAAAGATCAATATTTCCGCTACAGCCATCTGCTTACACTAGCAATTTTTCTCCGTTCTTTTTGCATAACATTCCACTGTATGATACCATTATACTTGCTAGATATTAACCAAATTGGCTTTGTGATTGTTGTGAGAGACGCTGAAATGTGCATTTTTAGCAACTCAGGGAGCGTCCTCATAGCATCTTTGGGGGCGGCCAGGGAGAAAACGCCGAAGTAATATGCGCTGCATACAAAGAGGGTGGCAGCGCAGTAACGGAATATATATGAGCCCCAATTGTAGGCATGACTCCAGCTTCTATGGTAAACAAACAATATATAGACCCCAATTGGCCAATTGGGCATTGTACTGTACAGTGGGTTGTAATAATATTGAAACACAATTCCCGGTCCTGCAAATTTTTGCCCGGGACTGAATTCGTTTTCTGACAATTATTGCCTCCAATCCATGTTCGTGATGCACATATTCTGTTCAGTGATTGTTACAATCCTCCCATGGGCTCTCGTCTGCATGTCCGATTCAATATCGGAAATTGATCTGCCATGCTTTGCGCATTTCATGCTCTGATGATAGTTCTGATCCGGACGAAGATGACATCCGGCATTCCCCTCCTCTGTTTCCAACCTATTATCCGGATCGAAAGATCACCATTCAAAGTCCCGAGTCTGCATTGCTCCGTCTTACTTCTGAAATCTCTACCTCTACTTCTCCATCTGAAGATCCTTAGCAGCGTTTGACACGCTTTCCAAACCTGTTCGTCTCTTGTCTTATGATATACATTTACTCCAAGGCCAATGTCCCCTAACCGCACCTCCCCTGGTTACAAAATATTATGTTGTGTCACGAAGGAGTCACGTCGTCGATACGTCTTCCTCCAATGTCATGCTTCGTATTTGCTGCAAATGTCTTCGTTCTTTAGAACGTTGTCATATTCCTAAAATGGCCATAGCTAACGATTAATATTTCAGACCCATTCTGGAACCTTGCTGAGTTGACTATCATCAAAGAGGCCCTGATTGCGCGAAAAGTTGGATTGCATGTCCATTTGCGCGATGATGTTTTTTTTTGTCCACTGGTCATTCTATTGATCCTCCCTCCAATGTTTCCAATCCCAGCCTGATTGAGCGAGTGTTCACAGCACTCCCTGTGCACGTTATAGCTGGGAACTCAAAAGTAAAATGGTGGGTTCTGCCGCGTCAGGCGGCGCCCAGCGTCAGCAACTGTGTTGTTATGTAGCTCTCAGCAGGGACTCGGGGAACAACGACACACTGATATTGTAACCGCACAGCGGTATAAGTAGTTAAGGTAATAACAGATATCAGACAAGAATAATAAGGGAATGAGATACGCGCAAGCGCTACATATGGAACGCAGTCAACAGTGAGACACGCAGCACATGGGGAAGGGGTATCATATCGGCTAACCGATATGGGCATGACATGCATACCGGCGCGTCATCATGTCTTGCTCAACCAACACTCCCCCTCAAGTCATGACGTCGTCCGTTAGTGAAGAAACGAATTTGGTGAAAACGGGGTTTGGAAGCGGTTTAGTAAAAATATTAGCTAAGTTATCTTCAGATCGGATGTGAAAAATAGAAATATTTTCACGTTCGACGTGGTCGCGAATAAAATGATGACAGATATCGATATGCTTACTGCACGCGGCCATGGAACTGAGGGTCGCGCCTCGATTATCGCTGTTGAGCCTGAATGGATGTGGGGCCTTAAAACCTAGTTCCACCATAAGCATATTATGCCAAAGTATGTGCCGAACAGCGTGGCTGATAGCAGCATATTCGGCCTCCAACGTAGAAAGGGCGATAGTGCCCTGCTTCTTCGACGTCCACGCAATCGGTCCACCAGACATAACAAACACGGCACCCGTGATGGAAAAGCGGTCAAATCTTCTGCGTGATCGGCATCAGCGAAACCTTCAGCAACAAGTCCAGAGTTAGACTTTGCATAGGTGATACCATGATTGGTAGTGCCTTTCAAGTACCGCAGGAGGCGTTTGACAGTGCTGATGTGGTCAGGTCCATACGATGCATTAAACTGGGCAAGATGTTGAGTGGCGAACACGATGTCGGGTCGGGTGTTGATAGCCAGCCACATGAGTGAACCAACCATAGTGAGATATGGATAATTTGGACGGGGACCGGGGAATGGGGAAAGCTTCCTCTTGGGCGACATGGGTAGATCTTCGACATTGCAGTCGACCATCCCAGCCCGTTCGAGGACTTCGTGGGTATAGGACGATTGGGAGATGGTGATAGACTCGCATGTACGATCTCACGTTTATCCCACAGGGGGCCCTTCCCTGCATTCCCCACGCTCGGCCGGGCAAAGATGAATGAGGGCTCGCGTATTATGATATGCATGGCAAACTGTGTGCAACATATTTACATGACTGTTGACCTATTCCTCATCCTCATCGTGGTCATCTGTGCCTATGCCTCCGTAAGTCCGTATCACCTCAACTACGAGATTCGCACCCTCCTTCAAGTCATCGATTGAGCCAAGAACCTTCTCACGCTGTGGTATTTCTTTTCGAGGAAATGACGTGACGAGTTTGAGTTTCCAATCATGAGTATAGCCAGTGGGTGGTTGGTCGGGGTCCGAGTCTCTAGGTTCGCTCGCGGGTACAAGCAGGGACTCCGCAAACGTGTAGACAGCCGTCACATCATCCGTAGGGGAGAACATCCTTACTCCGCGCCGGCCATCAGGTAAGCGCACACCAATACGGATACCGCCTGATGGCGGCTCGGGTGGGATGAGATGCTTTCTGGCATACCTCCTCCATAACAGAAGCTTCTCCTCATTGCTTGCTTTCTCCTTCTCTGCCTCTAAACGGGCTTGTTTTTCCTCCGCGGCCTTCCGTTCTGCCTCTCGCTTTTGCTTCACGCGCTCTCTATCACGGGCGGCAGATTCAGCAAATGCACGATCCTGTTCTTCACGCAGTTTGCGTTCTTGTTCTCGATTCCAACGCTCTGTGCGGAGACGTGAGAGAAGAGGGGTAACACGGGGAAGGAGGGCAGTGGTAATATGTGCTTGAAGGGTCTGAGCTGATGTCGTGGTAGAAGGTGGACCTTCGTGGCGGGAGAGGACAGTGAGACGCGGGCCCGACCCTGACGGAGTCGAACCACCCACATGAGCCGGAGTGGGGTGGAGGGAGACAAAGCCTACGAACGGGTAAGTTGTAGCGCCAAGTTTGATGGAGGCTGGAAGGGTGTTGTATCAATATATACCATCAGAATCAAAATTCCCTCACCTTGATACGCATCTCTATCACGTATATCACCTCCCCAGACGACAAAATTATTGTCTGCAAGTGTTTTAATGAAATCTGCGTCCGTAAGGACCATCCTGTTGCCCATGGGAGTTAACACACAATGTAGCCGGGAAAGTAGGTGTCTGTACCTTCTGAACTCTGGGATGTCATCATGCTCGCTACTCAAGATGATGGCGCATAGGACTCGAAGTTCCCTTTCTGCGGTCCTCAGTGCTTCTTCGTACGAGCCAATGAAAAAGTCGGGTAACAGCCTTCCAGCAGCTGCAGCTTTACCAGCTAGTGTTGAGGAGCCAGCGACATTTTCTGCTGCTCCCGCCTCGGCTGCATTGGCGTGGCTTATCGTCATCGCACCTGTCTCATCCTCAAGTTCGCGAACAAACCTGTCAGCGGCAGCTGCTGGGTTTTCAGCGAGCATACCACGCCCACCACGAGGCCCCCGGGAGCCGCGGAGAGCTGGGCCGTTAGGTCGAAATAAGTAAGGAAATATTCCTACGAGGGGAAAACGTATTATTCTAAAGATGAATTGAAGTATGTTGGTAATGAGGGTAAATGGGAAAGCAACAACATTGGCGAGATTCAGCCCTGTTTGGTGTGTCCTCGGGTACACGGGTCTGGTGTTTCGTGCTGGTGCAGAGTTTGAATAAGGAATCGACTGCGCGGAGTCGTCTATAGATACAGGTTGCACGGGGGACATCGAAGGACCTGCTTGAGGCAGATCGTCGTCGAAGAAAGCCTGCGCGGCTTTCTAAGCAACGTCATTCGGAGTCAGCTGACGGGGACATTGTCGCATCCATGTGCCAGATACGCACCTCCACGTTCCATCCGACGCTCTCCAGAACAGCAAGTTCACGCTCAGGATCCTCACCATTCGTTATTTGACGAAGATGGTCAAGGGCTGCCTGCTGGGCCTCTGTAAGATCCGACATGAGGGACCAAACTGTGTGACAAGCGGTCGGCAGCAGTTTGAGCAGGCGGTCAATTCCAGAGCGTGGGAATCCCCAATGGACGAAAGTGTCTACAACCCGTAGATGATTCAAGCCCATTGCGGGGAATTACGCACAGCGCTTCAAGTATTAGCCTATATATATATGGGAAATAATGATCGACCTCAATGAAGTTTCCGTTAAACCAAGCCATTTGTCCCATCCAACATCTCCAAATCCCCTTCATCATCACTAATAATCACCAAGGGTGGCTGGGAAGGCGCTTGGACTACTGGTGCCTGACTTGGTCGAGTTTGAGCTGCCTGAGCCAGCTGCTGATGCTGGTTTGGACTAAGTGGTGAAGTGGCCAAATATGTCCCCACCTGCTCCATCTCACTTTCCTGGTCCTCGTCATCACTCTCGAACATTGCTCCAGAGGCATCATCACCTTCCTGAGCTTCGGCTTCAGATTCAGCAACAGCAACGACGTAGGCAGCCTCGTTCAGCTCCTCGTTGATCGTCCCGTCACCGACACGTCTCTTCCAGTTGTACTTCTCCGCTAGCATACGGACAGCCATGTTAGCTCTTTCCACGCGGTAGTCGTGTTCTTTCCGTATCGTGTCCATGTTGGCAATGACCTGCTGATCAGTTTTCGGTTCGACGCGATTTGATCCACCCATCGCAGCCACCGTTTTTTCATCTGATTCTAAAACTTCGGGAAGGCGCATCATACGAAGGAGGGAACTGAGTGCGTTGTCCATTTGGCCCTCAGATACAGGCTGAAAAGGGTGCACAGCAAGTGAAGGCAGTGGGTTCTTCATTTTTCGGCCAGTGGCTGGATTCGTCATAGCAGCCTGAGATACAGATAGCATTAAGGAATGTGTTTGGGTAAGGATGACATTGTATTTGGAGAGCAGTTCAGGCCTGCGGTTGTCTTTCATCGCCAATAAAACCCTCATGCTTGGATGTGGCCTCACCATGGTAGCATATAGGGTTGGTTGTCCGCATGGATCGAGTACTGAAGCGTTCTGATCGACTCTATTGTTTGATTGAGTTTAAAGCGTATGGACTCGAGTTGTGAAGTGGGTAAAGATTCCATGGGAGGGGTGGTTCAAGTTTGCATCCGACATTTGTGACACCAACCGACAATGTTCCCGTTCGTCCTAGCCCGGACACTTGTAAAGCGCGTAGCAACTCAGGCAGTAAAGGCCCGATTCGTCCCTTCATTTCCACCCACGGCCTTGCCAAATGCTCAATTCATTCTTGATAATGGGCTCAGGGCATGTAGGTCATGATAGATATCATTGGATCGCCTAATGTTCATAGGATTCATATCAGCGTTCGCGACCGCGACAAAGAAACCTTCAACCAAATCTTCCACAACGTCCAGCGTCAGGTCATCTGCAACGAAAGGCTCGTGTCCAGCTATGGTTCATACGCCGATTATGTAAATTGAAACGCGTTCGCAACTCTTAGGAACTGCACCTCAGAGAAAGGTGACCGCGTCCGGGAGAAAGCTTGCTGCTAAGAAGGCTACTGAGCAGAGACGTAAGTTTTCACAGATCAAAGTTTTCGTATAAAGCTCATTGCTCTATGTCATTCAGCGGTCAAGCACAACGGCAAAGGTGCGTTGAAGAATCGGTGGTAGATTGTTCGTTCATGTAGAAGGCTTACTGAAGAATATTTGCTTCAAAAGTAGGCAAGAAGCCAAAAATTGGTGTGTGGTTCGTTCATGATATCGATGTCGCTAATTCCTTTTCATATGTTGCAGTCAAGGAGTATACAAAGCCGCCCAAGAGGCCCTTGACGCCATACGTACGCTTCCTTGGGGACCTACAAAAGGATGCACCGAGGCAAAATAGTATCGAGGGAAACATTGAATTTATTAGAGAGACCGCGCAAAGATGGCGGAGCCTGAGCCCTGCAGAAAAGCTCGTGCGTTCATTAAGTGTCGTCATGGCTCATCTACGTTTGCTCATAACCATTGCGTGTCTTAGCCTTATGAACGCGAATTCGCTCAGGAACGTGAGAGACATATTCTCGAAAGGGATGCGTGGATAAAGAGCCTATCTCCCCGGGGGCTTCGACAGTATCGTGCCGCTGTACGCAAACGTCACATAAAGGCTCGACCTAAGGATCAATCTGGGAAACCTCTCAAACGCGCACCCTCTGCCTACAACATCTACTCGAAGGAGGCAATAGTGAAGAAAAGAAAACCTGGTGAGAGGGCTAGCCAGTACCTAGCCGAAATTGGCCAAGAATGGAGACATCTCAGTGAAGCTGAGAAGGCGGTACGTATAGTCTCAGCCACAAGAGCCATGGGACTCACTGGGTCTTTGGTTCCTGATCGACTGATTTCTTCGTTCAACAGCAATATGAATCTAGGGCAGCGGCTGGAAGGATTCCTTACAAACAGGCTAAAGACAAACGCAAGGATGAGACGCGTGCAAGGTTCTATGAAGTTCACAAGCTCAATACTTGAACGGCCAATCGATAATTATTACATTCTTATTTATTTCACGCTTTTTTGGCACCGCTGCGTGCATGGTATTGTTTCGTACTCGCTAAAGCATGACAGTGATAACCTTCCGGATTTAAATATTCATATGTGAACCCCGCAGGACCTTGCATTGTAACAGTATTGAGCCTTGGGAAGATGGCTCGTTTCTTCGCGGGCATTCGCTGGTTTCACATGCGTGCGCAAACCCAAAAAGCACGGTATGTCGTTATTCATACTGTACTAGATGAATTGTCTGTTATCACGCAGGTTGACTGTGCTATATAGCTAATCGTTAATTTCTGCGATCGCCTTGAAAGCTTCATAACAACTAAGAATAGTACGTCTGTTGTCCAATGGTTTCATGCCTTCACTCCAACGACGGTGCTGTCTCGCAACGGGCGCAAAACAAACTGAAACTTCAGTGCGCTGGATGGGAAACCGACCATGGCGAAGATTGAAAACCAGGTCCGCAGTGACGGGAACCTTATAGAACGTCGGGGTAGTGCCCACCATAATGATGCCAGCCATGATCTACAAGTGATTAGTGTGCATGGGAAATGGTGGAAGCTGGAGCTTACCTTCTCTTGGAGCTCAGGTAAGCCACTGGCTCTCCTAGCCTCATTATTGTACACAAATGCAGCGATGCCCTCGACAATGAGTCGTGCCTCTGTGTCAGCGAAAGAGGAATGCTCCCCATGACGTTTGTCTTCTTGGACAAGGAGAAGTATATGGTTGCGTAAACGATCGACAATGCAGACGTCTGTCTTGGCATGTCTGGTTTCACCGCAGATGGGAAGAAAGAGATCCTTGCGGGTACGAGCGTATCTGCGACGACCAACGTAGCCAAGAAGTCTAAACAGTTCAACCACAAAGTCATCTACAGCGGACTCTTCACTTTCACGGGCAGGAGGAAGCATGGCGACATCGAGAAGATCGATGAGCCTGGCATTCTCATCGTTCATCATGTCATCGGCCTCATGAACGTTGAGAATCTCCTCTGGGACTCGAGGCTCTGGAAGAACAAGTATGCCGAAGAAAGTAGCGGTATCCTGGGGTGTCACGTAGATGTTATATGCATCAAGATCACCTTGCGTCCAATCGCTACCGGATTTTGCTGAGCGGATGAGGTTCGCCATTGTTGCCGCTTACATAAGCCATCTACCAAACCCTCACAGTAGTTATAGATCGATACATAGCTGAAAGCAGTGAACAGGGTCGAAGGGAGTGGAAAATAACAAAAACAGGGGTGTCGCTTGCCGGGATAAGTAAACGATTGATAGAAAAAAGCAGCCACTGTGGCCTCTCCATTATCTTAATCAAATAAATTGGCAATGCGGGAGACGTCTCCACCATCTCCACAGGGTATCCAAGCGTTGAAAAGCAACGTTCCGATGATGCAATACCGTGCTACTATACCACATTCATAGCCGATGTCCAGGTACAGCCCAGAAGAGCATCGTCAACACCACAACACCAAGCAGCACCAAAAACATGACCCAAAGCGCACGACCCAGGAGCAGCTTGTTGACATAGGGTTCACGAATGCGGATGGCGCGGAATGGGGTTGTTTCAGATTGACCAAGGAAGACGAGGATAGGGTCAAGTTCATATTGATGGGAAACTAAGAAAAGGACGGCAAGTGCAAACGGAATAAAAAGCTGTATGCAACAGATGTAAATAATGGCATAGGAGTCATAAAATCAGGAAAAGTACCCACAAAAAATCGCTTTGACTTTGGCTTCACGTCCAAAAAAATGAGGGAAAAGGCGGTGGCAAGACCCACCCAAAGGACAAGTAAACCCACACAGAGCCGAACAAGTGCTCCAACAGGTGTCAGGTTTCCAAAAGCTTTTGCCCGTAAAAACCTGGGGAATGCGTCTTGTTCCATCGCTCGGAAAACATACTCCTTTTGCTGATGGAACATGTCTGGAACCTGAGCGAGTGCGCTACTCTCAATCTCGTACTCAGGTAAAGCAGGCTGAGGAAGTGAAGCGGACGAGAGAGGGAAGTTGTGAATGCGAAGAGCAGCAGGAAGGTAGATTTCTTTTGGCGCGCCAGGAGCCAGGTAGCGAAGGTAAATACGCTCAGCGGAAGCGATGAGGTCAGTGCGCGTGATAGCTGAGTCTCGAGGAATAATGGTCGGGGCCCGGGAGGCACGCTTGCTGAATGATCTGCCGAGGGAAAGGCGACGTGCTGAGAATGAGGTTCCGCTCCGCTTGGGCTGAGTGCCGTCTTCTGCCACAGCGAGCTGAACGTGTCCTTCAGTCGACTTGCGCGTTTGTGTGGTGGGGGGGTTAGGGTTATGAGTTGCACTCGTGGAAGTAGGCGGACGAGGCGAGACGGAGCGCGTATAGTCGCGGTTTGCTTCAGCCGCTTTCTCCAGATCGCCAGCGGAGCCAGTATCCCTCTTAGTCGTGGCAACAGTACCATAGATAGAACCCCGTCTCCGAGCGTACTCATAATACTGCGGCCAATCCTCTCTAATCGTGCGACCTGATTTGCGGACGTCCTTGAAATACGCGCGGCAAAGGTTTTCATGTTGATGGACATCGAGCCAAAAGTCGAGGACATCTTCAGCGCTTTCGTGTTGAAGAAACAGACTTGCCCCGAGTAAGACAATTAATGTTAAGCATCACCACGACATTCCACATTTTTTCTCGTAAGCAACTCACTAGAACATGAACAAATCGACAGGGGGACGTGTCTTACGGAACAGGACCTATTGACATTATTGCATCAGCAATGATTGTCAACACGGTCATCACGACAGTATAAATGTACTTCATCGAAGGAAGGAAGTCTATTTTGGAGGTCTATGGACGTGCGCTCATCTGCCCCGCGAATGGCAACCTTTTCGGTCATGGCGAGAGGGCGTCGAACGAGGTGTAAGTGAGAACGAACGTCGCTTCAAGTTGGCTGGCTGCAAAGACAAAATTTGCTTCCGGCATCGAAATGAGGGCCATGAAAGGCGAGTGCAAGGACTCTGGCGATATCGATCCTAACATTCCGGTCCACCTTCCCCCTGCTCAGGAGTGATTGTGTCATGGTGCGGCGGGGCTCTGAATCTCAATAGGCTGCCATCACTCAATGGCTTGTGTTCACAGCGGTGATCCAGCAGTCAAACAGATTTTAGTTCACATGAACGCGTCAACAAATCCTGAAAATCACTTCATTGTCCAGGATCTTGACGATACGCATCTCCTCATCAAGGCCGATGTCGTCAATACTGTTTTAAAGAACTTGGAGGTCGAGGTGAGCATGGCCCCCCATTGGGTTTCAAGGAACCGTTCCGCTAAAGTGGCGGCACTGCATGGGCCAGTTGGAGAGGAACATGTTTACCACTGATATCCTGACCAAATGAGAGCCATCTAGCATCTGAGAGTTCGCAATGGCCGTCACCACCCATACAAAAGCTAATTCCTGATACTATAATGACAACAACGTTGCGACTTTCGACTGGACATCAGACACTTTAAGATCATCTAATTCAATGTGTTTCTCCATGCCGCGCTCTGGGATCATAAGACAGACGGGTCAATCGTAGGATGAAAGCGAGCGGGTCCGTAACCTCACCAAATCGTGCAAAAACTCTAGCAGGCGTCCCTCTGGCCTCTCGGATCAGTATTGGTAAATCCGGGTTTGCCTTCTTCAACGTTGGGTAAGCCGACAGAATGAAGTCTCTAAATCCGGGAGGTCGTGAGTTCGTACAATCATTGCCATGAGATCGGGTGCAGCACCTTGTGCCAGCAGAGGCTGGCGACGTCTGGCAAAATAGGACGCGAATCTCCCGGACAGCAGGTGAAAGGGCTTTCGAAAAGGCCGACATCCTTTTGTCTATGTTTTTGTTGTTGGCAATGGCCCAAGAATCCTGTCACGTGTTCATGGTCGTAATAATCCCCGACTGTCTGGCTCTGACTTCTCATTCTCATCATTCCCTTCCTGGACATCCCTTTGGCCACGCCCATTCTCAAGGGGCTATATAAGCCGCATTTTTCCCCGCTAAAAACCGCAATTCGCTTCCGATATCAAGCTCCGACCTCACAGGTCTTCTCTGCCACCCAGTTAACAGTCAGCGCGATGCCTTCTCCTGCCCTTCTTCGCCTTGACCAGGGAATTCACACACCGTCGCCTGGAATACCTGCAAGACAAGTATCGAATGCAAATGTTGTTGCAGATCCATCTCACGTCCAGAGTTTAACCGCCGCTTTGACGGGAGTTGAGGCAAGTAAGCAGCTTGCAGCTTGGACCGCAGTCGATAGACATATAAAGAGTGAGCACAAGGTAAGCTAGAAGGCTCAGTATGTTTTTTGGGTGCGCCATTGATTTTGAAATAGGTTATTGGGATTGGATCAGGTGTGCACTGATGCGCAATGTATATGTCGTCCGTTCTCTGAATCTCAGATTTGCAGGCTCAACCGTTCCATACGTCGTTGATCGTATTATTTCCCAAGGAACAGAGCTAAACAGAGAACGCGTCTTTATCCCGACAGGTCTATTGTATCCAAGATCCGACCCCAAACCCGACAACTGACTGCCGCCGTCCTCGTTACTACACAGGGTTCCAGTCAAAAGAGCTCATCGTCAAAGGAGGCCTCAGACTAGGCGACGTTGACCAATATCCCACGATTGATGTCACTATTGATGGCGCCGACGAGTTGAGTCCATCGTTCTTGGGTTATGACTCATAATGACTCCTTATCAGAGTGGACGCTGAGCTAAACTGCATAAAGGGAGGAGGTGCGTGCCATCTTCGCGAGAAAGTACTAGCCGAGGCTGCCGAAACGTGTGTACATCGGCCATCCCCCTGTTACTCGCCCGTACTCAACCCTCCCTCTCAAGATTTATTGTAGTGGCGGATTATCGCAAGAAGTCGAAGACTCTTGGCAGCGCAGTACGTATGCTTCTAAAGCCATTCTAGATCCTCGCATTCATCGGGATCTTGCAGTGGAAACAAGGCGTCCCGATCGAAGTAGCACCGTTCGCGTATGCTAAGCTTCTACAAAACCTTCACCGTTTTGGTTCTCCATCAGCCACACTGCGAATGGCAAAAATGAAGGCCGGACCTGTAGTGAGCGATAATGGTAACTTCATCATTGACGCACCCTTTGAAGAGGAGTACATGAAACACCCTTTTGAGGTGAATTGTGTTTTCTCATGGGGAAGGGATACTTACCTACAAGTTTTAGTTATTGTCCCGGATAAAAATGCTCACAGGTGTTGTGGAAGTGGGACTCTTCTGTGGGATGGCAAAGGCGGCCTATTTTGGCGAAGCTGTACGATTCATTTCTTATTTGCTTCGCCCATTCTCACCCAAGCTGGGCCTTCACTTACAGGACGGGAGCGTAACAGTCCGTTTACTCGACCCCAGCGCACCAAAGGACGGGACATTCCCCGTTCGACCAACGCCCATCGACAAACGACTCGAGTTCGTCGACAACTCTGAGTCACCACAAACTATTGCTTCCTCTTCATTCCCCGAGAGGTCCGGTTGAAGAAGACGGTGAGGGGAGTCGTAGATCTTGAAAGAATGCCCTGCAGAGTGGGCCGGCGGGTGTTGTACCAGTGGCGAATCTTATGTTGTATCTTCAATACGGAAGTGCATTATTCCGACAACCTACCCAGGCATGTTTACCAGAAAAAATCATTGTATTAAGTAGAGATGTCCAACAGCAACCATCACGAACCACTGAACGAACTGGAGGGGTATGGTAGGGAACACCGGGATGGCGGAATTGAAATCAGATGGTTAAGTTAGTGGTGCACAATAATGGTCAGGCATTCACGAGCGCCGTGGGCAAGGATCTTATTTGCAAACAATAGTGAGTATGGTACTCGCGGACAACTCTGAGGTATGTGATCTACGCGACCGACTTGCTCATCCAGGGGGATAGGCACGAAAGAACGTGAGCACCACAGGATTAACGGTAATGTTCAGCTTCAAACTTGGGAAAATGCACAAACCTAGCAACAGCAACAGCACAAACACCGAATGAAAACATTCTTGCATGTAGTGTCATCTTGAATTCCTCAAATGCGAACTGATTGAGGGAATCAACCATGATTCAGGAAGTTATTCATCGTGCTATGGTTAGAGATTCGGGAACGATTGTCTTTGGATAGATGATATAACCAGAGAGCGGTGGGCGTGAACAAAATTTTAGTTCGGTGTTTGGATGACTATCGTCATCGCAATGGTTGTCAAGCTATCTGGGTTAATTGTCCTGATGGTTTGCGTCATAAGCTGACCAAAGGAAAAATACTATGTATACATATCAATATCACACAGCAATTAAGCAACTGGGCCTTTTTTCGAGTCCGGACGAGTTATTCCGGTGGCCATAATATGACCACTAGCAAAATGACGGGCAGGGGCCTCGGAAATGAACACAGGAGCTGTTGAAGCAGTGAGGTTGAATATTGCTTTCCGCGTGAATCTGTCCGGGGTCACAGAGGGAATTAGAGCAGCGTAAAAAACCACTTTAATGATAGTAAAATACCCTTATCGTTACTACGAGTTGAGTAGTATTTTATCATCAAGTGTGAAGTGTTTTACCAAGATTCCATTACCACAATAGCGTGAGTAAAAGATGCATCTTTTTGTTGTTTTTTAATTGTTTTATGATGGTAAACTGACCGTTTACCATCGTCCTGTTTGGTATTTTACTTCATGGGGTAGGTAATTTACGACACTCATGGTTGGTAAAAAACACGAGAATTCAGGGTTATTTATACTTATAACGGTGGTAGTCTACAACGACAATAGCCTTCACTGTACTTATGCGAAATAGCGGTATGATCGGAGCGGTGGCAAGCCAGAGATGAGGAATTGGAAAAGCGCGCAAGAGATGAGGCCAGAAACAGACACGAATCAGACCAGTGAGCAAGATGCAAAGAAGAGCTGTCACAGTGAGCAAGTGCCTGACGAAGAAATAACACAACAGAATGCAGCAAAGTGTTTCGAGCTTGGGGAGCACAACCTAGGCAAGGTGCGGGGTGAGTTTGATTTGAGAGTAAAATTGCATAGAGCACAAACTGATAAGTGAAGGGATTTCATCCCTTGCGCGTAGGTCGGGGCCTTGCCATCTGGGATGGGCCAGGCTCATTAGTGAGTTGGGTTCGGGCTTTCTTGGTTTGAGGGGCCGCCATGGAAACAGCTGCGGGAGTCCGTTTTTTGCGATGGACGAAGCTGGCTTTGAATTACCGACTGGTTGGATACTATCATTGTCGCTATCAAATTCCAGTTGCCTTTGAGCATTTTGATCGCCTCCTGGAATAGAAATGAGGGAAAGAGGAGGGAAGATTAAATCAAAAATGATATGCATACGTTTTAACACCCCCACGCTTTGCGGATCCGCGTGCCGCTTTCCCACCACGGATCGGTGTGTCGGGTTTGTCCTATCTTGCTCTCAGCTTCGAGTCTGTTGTCTGGCTCTGACGATTCATTCATCTCCTCTGCAGTAGATAATGAGCGCATACCCAGATGACATGGCCCCAAAAAGTACTTACTAAGCATACGAATATGATTTCCTCGCGCATTTCTCACGACACTTTGGATCAAAAAGGGAAAGGATTGGGGAGATGGGAGTTACCTTGCTTATTGTTGGCGTCATGATGATTCCCTGGATAAAATAAAAGCAAAATTGTTGTTAGCAAGGCACATCTCAGCAAATCACACGTAAAGACACGTGGAAACACGTCCAAATACGAAGCCTTCATGAGGATTGGCATGAGTACAGCTGGGGTGTTCTGGTAGAACTATCAGCACTTACTAAGTGCTACCTCAAGAAAGAATTACTGTAGAATGGTAGGTGGAGGCTTGGAGATAGGTGTAGGGGGTTTGAGAGTTGATATGAGAGTCCAGATGAGGGAGATGGGGACGAAGCAAGGACCGGAAACTGCCGAGAAGCCGTTTGATCGATCTAAGTCCTAAGCGCCAAGTGTATGCCCCCGGAACAGCAATTTGTCCCTGCTGTAATGCAGTTGGCCTCAGAGCGTACAATTAGACGGCATATCCAGTTTTCCGGCCCGGACATACTTGATGCACTTGAGCCAACACCCAAGCACGACTCCGACAATTCCGACCACAGTTTCAGTGAATAGTGGCGCTTATTCGGACGTGGAATTATCGCCCACTTCTTTCACTACGCTCTCTGACACCACCCAAATCATTGCACTTGCGTCCGTATCGTCAGTCTGTGGCCGGTTTTGTTATGGGACAAATTCTGGCCGTCGTTGGGCTATCATTGACCGCAGCGGCAAGCTTGCGAGGCCAATTTTTAGTGTGGATGATGATGGCTAGCTGAACGTCAACTCTCCGCATCGAATGTGCATCCCAACTCATGTAAAATTCGTTGCACTCAAGAGACTATCGATTGAGTTGTATTTTACAACGTTCCAACTGTGGTATTTAACTTCACTGCGCATTCTGTCGTAATTTACCTCCTTCAAAATACCACCAAAACGTCCGTAAATGGTTAAAAACTACAAGTATTGTGATTTTTTACGACAGTTTACTTCCCACAGTGGGGTATGACCCCGTTCACGTCAATTACACAATTATATTTTCAATACAAATTTGCTCAACGAAGACGCAGCTCTCAATTTATCCACGGTCTATTTCGATGATGTGTCTGAATATCTAGGCACGATTGCCTGCAATGTCTTTGTCCGGGATGCATAAATACAGGCTCTGGCGAAAGCAGAGCCCTCACCGAGCCCAGATTTCTTGAGTTGATTTCGCACGAACGGCGGACAGTTTCACGCAAAAACGCGAGATGAAAGACATCAAAAACCCCAATGTCGCGATTCATGATGTCGTAGAAGTGCTGCTATGGAGATCGAAAACTGGCACCAATAATGAAAACTTGATTCTGATAGCTTGATAAGTCCCTAACTACGTGTAGGAGTGCGAAAGTCCAATTGCATATCGAGCCTGCTTTCAAGTCCGACTCAAACACGCCTGCGGGTCCGCGGAGCGAGGTCCGAGTTCTCCTAATCATCATCTGTGTGACAATCAAGTCGTTAGAAGGGAGACTGGGGACAAGTGAGAACATACAGTTGCAGCAACCGCAACACTCTTCAATCTCGCAGCACTAAAGCGAACGATAGGTGATGAACGACAAAGAGGACACAATAGGACAGATGAACGTACACAAATGTCCTCCTAAAAATAGAACGAAACCATGCCGATCAATAAAAAATAAGATATACATTATATATTCGGTCTATGCGAACGCACCAAAGCACAGCAACACAAGCAACAAATGAAACAATCCTTGATGAAGTTACCTCCTCCACGAAGACGGAGAGGGGCCTTTGTCTGCGATTGGGTCTGTTGCGACTCCTCTGGGGGTGCTTGGGAGGGGATGACTACTTATTAGGAATACCCCGAAACCAACAATCAGCGCGTCATCACCAAAACCAATGTGTCGGTCAGCGGTTCAACGATCTGAACCAGAAAACGAAGAGACGTACCCATCTGGGTAGCACCAGGCTGTTGGGTTTGGATATTGCTTGTCGCTTTAGGCTGACTCGTCATGAAAAATCCGAACATATTTGTTGACGCTAGTGAGTCTGGGCGAGCAAAGAAGCAAGAACTATATAGTATTTATAGCTCTCCACCTGCTCCGCCACAATCATCCCTGGAACTATCGTTCGCTGCGCATCCTATGCTGCGGCAGTCGTGGGAAAGTAGCAATATATGCAGGAGATTGGCCAAAACAACTCTCATCAGTTCACTTATGGCAATGGTAGTGTTGTGCGAACGTGGGCGGTGATTGAACCCGGCCCCCGGCATTATATAATCTTGGTTATCCCCCGGTGACGTACAACCCCTAGCGGTGAACATTGGCGGAGAAGACACATCTACATACGCCCTCAGGAAGTTTTCGATAGTTGTAGATTACGCACATTCAACGTTATGGTCTGCTGTCAGTGGAGTACCGTCGGCTTATGTCTTCATTCGAATTTGATTGCAAAGTCCTCGAGCCAGAGAAGAATTGGTTTGGTCCGAGAAATGACTAGAGTTCGAAAGACGCTCATGCATTCATCACACATCTATACGTAAAGGATGAGACTTCCCATGCAGTAACAGGGCGCTGAAGCGGCTTTTTTGAGAGCTGCGTAGAAGCCATCAAGGGGAGGTCTCGATACTTGATTTCTTTGTCATAGATTCCTGTTTTACACTCGATCCAGCGGAGGGAGGTCTTCGTTCGCCTTTGAACTGGGTATTCAGTCTCAGATGACCTGGAGATCTCAAATTGAGACTTGCAAACGTTGTGGTAAGCACAAATGCTCGGTTTACTGTATATCGGATTGTGGGTCCTCATAGCCGTGCAATCAGGATAATCCTTGCGGTACGCGGGCCATTACGCTACAGCCCAGTTTCCGGAAATGGACGTCGAGGTCAAGAACTATGTATTCTGATTATCGGACTCCCTCGAGGTCCCCAAGCCATGAGACGAAAGAATCGCCCTGCGACCCCATTGGAGATGGGAATGACCAGGTATCCTTCATCGATGTTATCTCCTCGGGCAACGGCCTTCCGAACTTCCAGATGATGGGATGAGTTCCAGCCGCATAGATGTCTTCCTGGAGGGGATTTCCGATCAAGGAAGTGGCGCGATGTTACAAGCAAGGACTTTCCGAAATATCCCTGGATGATAGCATGACTATCCGACGCAGGAATTCCAGCGCTTATACATATCGATGGTTTCTTTGGCTTTCGTCGTCACACTTTCCTCCTCTCCCGCGCCCATATGGAACCCTTTTCCCTTACCCTGGTTGGAGTGTCAATACCGATGATCCTCCGGCTGCCACGAGCCGCGACACGAGTGTGAATACCTCATTGGGAAACCTGGACGGTCAGCTTTTCGGAAGCCCCAATTTTGGAAAGTAGCCCCCTCTATACGGTTGTACCTGCGAAAGACGCTCTCGCAAGGGAGATGACGTCCTGTAAGGGCGATGCTGCCACTTATCAAATTTGTACCGAGACTTCCTCTTAAGCAGAATCCCCCATGTGTTAGACCCCAAGGAGGCACAACACCTATTCCCTCGGAACACTCAAGTCGCCCTTCCGCCAATGTGATGAAGGATATTCTACAGGATCGCGCCCCTCGAGACCACAGCACAGCGAAGCGTCTGGCAACGGATTTTATTGTCAATGCTGATATGAGCGTACTACAGCCACTTAAGCGTGACGCTAACCGCTCAACCTGTGGACACTTCGATATAAGCGTCATGCTTAGGTGCAATCATGATCACCAATGTCGCGCACATCATCACATTTAGCATCAATTCCAATCGAGATCCAGTGATGAGAAACAGGAGAAGGAAAACGCGAACAAGGTACGCTTACTTCCCACCAACATGCACTTTGGACTGAAATGCTGTCATAACTATTGAGCACTAGCAGTATTGAGTCGCGTTGGAGGCATTCTCCCCGAGATTATCCACACCCTCTATCAAACATCATCACGATGAACGTTAGCCATTTGTTCTCCTGCTCTGGTGGCTGAAGCCAGAAAAATAGCGGTGTAAGCCCCCCTTGCCGGGCTTCCAGAAGAGGTTTGCTTTACCTCCACTGATCCTCGGCGGGCTTCCCGATCCTAGATTCGTAGCTATCCATGCAGCTTGTTGTCGTGCAGCCCATCTTTCGGGAGCGCCGGAAGCTATCAACCAAATCTACGATGAACTTGAGTTCTTGCAGATAATGGCTCTTCCGCAGAGCTTCTTGATTGCGTTCTGCTAATTGCCAGCTGCATGCGCTGAGCCTTGTGTTTTAAACTCCGGAAGAAAATTGATGATCCGATCCTGCAGAGCACTAAAGGCAAACGAGTTACGCTACGCATCCTGAACCAGTGGAATATGGGGTAGTTCAGGAATGCCTTATCAGGGCGAGTCCCTCGTTAAGTTATCGATTCAACCGTCACCGTGGACCGTGGCAGCCCCGATGGAAGAATACGTTATGTTCAAGTGAGACCATCCTTCCAGATCCAGCTTTGGTCCCTGTGTGTATATCGGGAGTATCGCCCTTCACGGTGAGCCATCTACTCTTCGTTTGCATGAAACCCCAGAACTCCAGGATATAAAGGTAGATTTGAGACCTAATGTCTTCCCCAACACTATGGCTGTCCTGGATCCATATGCAGATTAGTCGATGTTTGCGATGCTGTCCTTCATGATGCGTTGGCGTTGGGGACGCCGAGAACCAGCAACGAACCCATTGTCAGGGAGTTCGAAATCTGATGATCGCTCGAGCTAATGGGTATATTCGGACGAGGAGATCTGCACGATGTCCTAACGAGCAGGCCGAGAGCATTCTGGGAAAGGACTGCTACAGCACCGGTAAAGATAACTTGAAGACGCAACGATCCTCAAACGCGAGATATTGTCTCGGTTTACGGATTGTCGGAAGAGTTTGTTTGCTAATCCCTGGTGGATGGTAGATACCGCAGGTAGATTTATCCCATACGAGTTATGGTGCTAGCTTAGCCAAGAGAGCGGGCATCACGCTGAGAATCGTGTGCCTGCCACGCAGCAAGCGGCAATGGAAGATGCCACGTTAGAACACTCCTATTGCGTTGACGTCATGCGTGCTCGACTGTATAACGAGAAGCACCTTCAAGCGCCATTCGAGGATGCAAGATTGTACGAGGCTAAGGACACCCCTAATGACGCACGAGCGTTTGAAGTTATGTATGCTCTTTGTTTGGTGGCCCGCTGTTCGCCACTTGGAACACAGTGCCGCCGTGCCCCGGCGGTAGGCCTAGACTTCGCGGCTGCACCAACGCCATTCGCGGACCATGGAATGATATACAACAGGGGCAGTAGCAGGAACACGCAGCTACGATATTTTGCCAGTGGGAGCGTGTGCACGGGCACGGGGATTCAGAATGCCTGGCGAGAGAAAAAAACCGGTGTTGGCGAGTGGGGAGCGGATTACCCAAGTATGAGCCGTTCGAATTATCGGTTATCGAGTTTTGGAGTTGATCAATGATGCAGAGTCATAGAAGAACTCTCCCATCCACGAATTACAGAAGAATCGCCTTTGTACCATGCCGCAAACATGGAGGTACGCCAAGAAGGGATTGATCGAGGCGAGCGTTCACATCTGCAGTTGTCGAGTACTAGTCCCATTATCGACTCGACCAGAGCGCAACAGGGCCGATCCATGAACAGCCGGACTCACGGGAGCCCACAAAGGGAACGAAAACAGGGATGGGGGAAGGGGATCACTAAGTGGGGCACCATACACACCACCATCCTCTAATTCGGAGAAAGAGAATATCATATTTGAAAAGGGAATCAAAGGCCCAATCCCCACCTACAGTAAGCGCTTCCAGAGGTCCCAAGGCAAATGAATTGCCAACTCTCCCTACAGACTTCTTTCCAAAACCTCGCGCATGGGCCATGCTCTATCCACTCAATTTACCACACCCACGGCCTGGTCGTTCATTTTCCCTTGGATTTCCGTACGATCCAACCTCAAGTAGTCCAATATGACACCTCCCTTGTCGCACGTACAGGTCCTATATCGACATGGCAGAAGACCAGATTCTCCCTTCTTGAAACATAAGTCGCCAGCGGCTCCAAGTAGGCCGAAGAGCGGTGCTTTATCATTCCTACTTCCAAGCGAATTTCGTAATGGAGCTCGCTTACCGAGGCATTGATTGCTGCCAGTAATGGCGATGCACCCAACCGAGTAGTGAGTAACCCTGATCGTCCCTCTTGTGCTGCTGCGCCGCCTGCTTGAGCTCTAGGCTGTGAGAGTGCGCAGCTTGGAGACCCCGCCGCACAAGCAATTTCAAAGATTACGACAGAGTGTTAAGCACCACTGGTGGCGCACACCAACGTCTTCAATCATACCTACCCACGGCCCAGTGTGGTAAGGGACATTGTTTGGGCTTTACTTCACCAAACCGGACCTGATGTTAGTTCCGCCGACCAACAACGATTACCCTAATGCTATTTGTTTCTAGGGGTTCCAAAGTTATATATGTAGCAACCCAAGTGAACCTGTTACACCGGAGTGCTGGGGTGATCTCAACAAATCACTCCGTCGATAAACCTCGACTCAACAAGGTGTGTGTGTATAATTCTGGCAACAAGGTCGTCGAGTACGTACAACAGCCCTTCCATGTTCTCACATGCATCAGAATCAAGTTGCTCATTATATGACATGATTAAACCGTACCGTAGCCTTGCTTCGATGAGACACGACAACAGATTGAGCCACTTAAAGACCTAGACAAATGACGCCCTTGCAGATGTAAAAGATCATTCGCGAACCAAACAAATATAAACTATGAATGGCAATTTAAAGTCCCTTACATGCCTGACCATATACGGCTAAGTGCTCCGAACAGGATTCTCATTTCTGATTCTCTAAGGGTTGTTCATTCGCTTGGACATTCCATGCACGCTCTCACCGGCCCTTCGCTTGTCGTTATCTAGATTAGAGTGACCCACTTGAGAAAAGCTTCTGTCCTGTATTCTGCTATCATTAGATAGGGTCATGCAATCCCTGGCCACTTGCCGGTTGTTGCTCTCTGTCAATCACTGAAACGTGGTGAAATTCTCCAGTTACTCGGCTCGAATCGCAAGAGAAGACAACATTTCTGTGGAAAACTGGAGAACATGCATAAGGGCAAAAAACCCGTTGCGCGCTAGATTGTCCTTGCCTGCTCCTTGCAATACCTGTCTTACAGCCTACAGGTTGCCAACGCAACTGCGATGCGATTTCCCTGTCACGTCAGGAGAGCTCTGATCACCTACGACTGCCCTTCAACTTCGAATCCTTGTAATAGGGTCACACGACTATCTACCACATTTAAAAATACATTCAGATGCAGCAAGTCCAAGCGGCCCTTGTTCGTTCCAACCGAATATATCCTCAAGGCATGTTTGATTATTGGACCGGACCGGCCAACAAAACCAATAGAGGCATGGACCTAATACAACGACCGCTCTTCGTTAATCATTCCTCCTGAATTGTGCATACCCACGCTGTACAAAATTAATCACATACATTATATAAGCGGTCAAGCGTCCCAAACAGAGCTAGAGCGAGCGAAGCCAAAAGTTAATTTATCATGTTAGCACCCAAAACTAAGTATTCCCAAGTCGGATGAGCTGCCAATCTAATAAAGCGAGTTATATCGCTAGCCGGTGCATTGCAGACGCCGAATATTTCCGGATCCTGCCAAATATACAAATATACTCACCACCTCTAACTCTCACCTAAGTATGCTCGCCCTGACGCCTCACCCTACATAAATTTCACGATATAATCCTTACACACAACTTCCTCAGTCCTCCAATATATCATCTCCAGTATCGGCCGTCGGCTAATGCGCAGACGAACCCCCTTAGTGTCTCAGGAAGGGAGGATCGAGGAAAACAATACGATCGAGAGAAGTTTATATTCTTATCGTCCACGCGCACCTACCATTATCATACACCTAGCACGCTCAGGACAGCCAAGAGATCATTGGATACAAAGTTGCGAATGAATAGCCGAGATGTGGTCAATCCACTGGATTCCGTGACCGCTTTATTTGCAGATTGCATATTGATGAGAAAGGCAACAGTCAACAATTATGACCATAATTCCGACTCCGCCGCCGCCCAATGTCTCCAGTCCGCTTGGGAACAACACACCAACGATGGAGATGGTGGAGTGATAAACTGTGCGGCATACATATGTCTGCGGCCAGGCGGAGAAATGACTCCCTGTTGTATGTCATGCGAAATGCCGGACCAACCATAGAACAACGCCAGCGATGTTAGCCGCAGGGCTGGTTACCAACTGGAAGAGGACGGACAACAACCAGCTACATCCATCCGGCACTGCATTATTGGCTGTGCATTCATCGTAATCTGAGAATCCGAAACATTGGACACCGGTCTCAGGATGTAGGGCACTCGCGAACCATTGTCGGTATAAGCTACTAGTAGCGGAGTCATGTCCTTTCGCGCTCGATAATCTGGTAGGGCTGCGGGAGACCAGTCGCTCATGGGCCAGCACATATGCGTGGCCCTCTCCGTGCCTTGTCCGGTAAGAATGTATGCTTGTAGGGAGTAGCTTTAGCCCTGATACAAATACTGGGGATCGGAGTGCATGAACCAAACACTGAGCTGTAAGGATGACGAGGAGTTAACTAACAAGGCCACCTAAGCTTGGCTAACTAATATCTTCGAGTCAACTGAGGGGATTGTAAATACCGGACCTGCATGGGGAGAAGAAAAGCAGAAGGATTGGTCGCAAACCAAGCTTTTGGGGATGTTGTTCTAACGCCGTGGTATGAGCGGGGCTTAGATAACTTGCAACACGGCGACACTATAGCCTCCCCTATGAGTTGTGTATCTTTGCAGCTGTATTAGTTGGGGATTCGCGACTTCCAACCCAACGTGATGATGAACATCCCACTCCGCTCCTTCGACGATACCAGCTGTGGCTGAAATGTAGGGCCCATGCACCCTTCCGCAGGGTGCTGGTCATCCGCCGCAAGGCCCTCCTTCGACGTTGGTTGTGGCGGAATTGCAGGCCTAGGGTCTACCCGAAACCCTAGGCAGGACCCCAGCCTCTATGATATTGGATAGACCGAAATCCAGCATCTGTCGCTGCGTAGGACGTTCTGTATCCCATGTGTTCGGCCCACATAATCTCGATGAAGGTAATTTCCGTCTTATCGCATATTTCTTCCGCTCTAGCGATCAATTCTGACCCAATTAGTACTGCTATACTGATTTGGCTGTTCGAACGTCGTTAAAAGCCTTGCACGTGTGCATGTCCTGACGCTGCGTCTGTTCCTTATCCACCCGATCATGCATGGGAAAGGGAGAGCCCCCCTAACCGTAGTAAACGCCCTCTATCGGCACTGCTTGTGAGGGATTTGCCTTATCCTGTTACTGCACCCTTTCACCCGATCGACACAAAGGAACAATCAGCGAAATCCTTGATCGCTCTATGCCTGGATTGGTAAATTATTAGCTGCTTATCCCCGATCGTGCATCGCGCGACAGGCAGCTGACGCCACACGCCTTGTATGCTAGTGGCGGCTTGCTATCGTTGTTTGCGTGCTTCTCGTCATGTGGGACCGGGCGTTGCGATTGCTCTACCAAGCGTACTCACGATAAGGACCTTGTACATTTCTCCGAGCCTCGTGAACTTGGCCAACGATTTGCTGGCATTCACAATTTGAACTACGCATAGGTGTCATGCACTTTTTCGACCACGGCCATTCTTCCAGCTGCAGAGCGAATGGTTTGGACGGCACACTTTCCTCAGGGCGATCCCTTTGTTGCTACCGTAAATGATAAGACTCGCCGCCTTCTCTCCTATCTCTATCATGCTATCACTGCGAAGTCTTGCATTCACATGTCTCCGCCGTGAAGCCCCATACTTGATAAGTCGGTCAAACTCCACATTGGACGGATAAGAGATTCCCCCATGGGCACAAGATCGCTGACTCGTTTTCCCGTAACGGTTGTTGTGGTAATATGTCATTTCGTTAGTGAAATGTTATGCACAGCCGACGTGAGTATCCTATCGAGAATACGTATCGCCAACGGCTAGGAGACATTACTATCCTGCACAATTCAATGATAGAGCATTACCAACTAGTATGCGTGTCCTTGTAAAATGTTCTATCAAACAGTTGCGGCTAGCAATCAGCATTCTGAACAACTAGAGCCAATTTAGCTGTCGACGCTGATTATTCCCTGATGCCTCCGATAAGAACGTGTACACCTAGATCGATCATGGTGTGAGTATGTTTGGAACAACTAATATAATCTGCATATGTGGTCATGGGCACCTCTTGGATACGGCCGACACTGCATATATATACTCCTCTCGTATCAGTGCCACTAACAGCAGTCGAGCTACCACGCCGTCTTGACTTTCTATCTCACCTTATCTGTCAAAGTCGCTCACATGGGGATTACCAGCCATTACATTGAGTTGTATCATCCATCCCCAATAGCTAGGATCATTGCACATATCGGAGTAGATGCAACCCCAACTTGCACAGTTCCAACTACTCGGTTCTATGTAGTACGATTTCACGCCTGAATTGCATAATTCAGTTGATTACTCATCCCACATTGGAGGTCAGAATATGACGCTGGGACCCAGGACCGTTAATCATCAACAGCTGGTCATCGACCTTCCAAAGCCAGGCGTACCGGAATAGGCTTCCTCGGAGTTTGATGGTTTGGTCCTTTGTAGCAATATTGTAAATCAGGACGTGCGTTAGGATGCCTAGATGAAGTGACATAGTCAGAGGCATGAGATTTTCCGGTTCCCCGAACCTAACGCTTACGCAGATGCAATGTGCTCAAGAATCATGTCTTCCGAATCTGTGACACAAGGTTTGCAAAGCAAGCATTCCCACTGTCCATTCACTGTACTCGATGCTCTAGCCGATTCAAGTTCCATACCCTCCAGAACGCGGAATCTTGGCTCTTCACCACCGCCATAGAGAAAACGGCGGAAGCAATTATGCCCATGGTGCACCTTTCGCTCAGCATGTCGATCAACCAAGTTTAGAAAATAAGATGGTTAGGTACCCACCGCTTTAGCGGCTTCCAATATTGTGGCACTCCCAGGTAGAGTGCAGGTGACACATTCGACATGGATGTTTTCCTCCAGCAGCTGTGTGAACGTCATGGTCTCAGAATTGTACCCAGCTGATGCCATGATGCTGATCAGGATACGTGATCCCAAATCGTCCCATTGCCACTGCAGAAAAAAATGCCCGAGATTAGGATACCTTTGACCGTACACAGGGTCATCATATCTTGTGGAAGGCTTGTGCATGAAAACAGATCGAGCGAGGCAGAGTGTTTCCTCGACGGAAGATAATCGTAGCTTCGGAGGGATCATCTCCAACCATTCCCTCTTGCTATTCGTCGAGTGGTCATTGGAAATATCCTCGAAGCGGAGCATCAAGGGCCCAATAATTACGTCAGGGATTTCAGAATAATTGGTAACATCGATGTTATGGAGGTTAGGCATCAAAATTTCACGGAGCGCTTTCTTTAATTGCAGGTGTCAGAGAAACATAGTTGCAGGATACACATCCAACGTGTCGCACCTTGACTTTGAGGATCTTATAAATTGAGGGGGGGATGGGCCAGAACTCCCTCCCTGGATCGCGACATTCATACCAGGAGCAATAGTGTGATATAATGGCCTCCCTTGCGTAATAACTGTAGGTGTCGGTGAAGAACCTTTCGCATCCCTTGACGGCTAGAATGGCATTCAGCTCAATTGTAGCCCAATCTACAAGGAGTCAGGTTGGTTAATCAGTGACGACAGAATCAGACAGATGCTAGCTACCTTTGTCCAACAAAGGCTTGGCCACCCGAAGTCCTGGGAATTCACCCGCGACAGCATGGTCAACAAATGCTTTTAGAAATCCCATATTCTCCAGTTTCGACCGTACCCTGTGCGCGTTCGGCAGTGAGTTATTGACAACATCAACCTGAAGGGAGCTCACGCATTCTTGCGGGCAGCGCGAATAAGGTCCAGCTCGTTTTCTCTCTGAGAGATACGGCCTTTCGTCCACTCCGTACATAATGTTGCGTGCTGCAGGAAATTTATGGTTGAGATCAGTGACGGAACGAGAATTAGCTTACTTCCTCCAATGCCTGCTTTTTTGCCCGTTGTTGGGAAACATACGACTCCCATGACTCATCACTGCTTGCAACTGCCTTCAACGTAAACAATTCAAGCTCCTCCTTTGGACAAACAAGAACCACGCGTTTTGGAGGGCGTCCTTGGAAGTGGGTTAGTGGAATTGCTCGACCGAGCGGTATATTTGCCTACGGAAGGAAATGAACGTTTGGCGGAGAAGGAGATCTTGTCTGAGACAGACGCGATCCACCCTCACTGACGACAAAACTCCATCAATGTCGCAGTACTGCGATGACAGTCTATTTGACATGTTGGGCCGTAATGTTCTCACGAGGCGAAGGAAATTGGTAATGCGCACTGATTTTCACGACATTTGGAACACCATCGAACTTGCAAAGACCAGTCAGTGGATGAACGGGTGGAAGTGGCGCAAAGCTACATCGGGGCATCATAAAATTGTGGAAAAGGGTGAAGACAAACAGAGTGACTCGTACCTGGCAATGAGACCCAAATCCTAACAAGGCATACCTCTGCTCTGTGAGATCTGGGTGAATCGGCGGCATGTCGGGTGCATGTCCTTCTCGCGAGGCCTTCCACACTCCGGCAGCGCCTGGCCGTAGTAGGTACCGCGCGAATACCTTTGCAGACCGTACGAGCCGAAGTAGGTCCCGTGGCTCGAGATGAGAACAGATCTGCCAGCCTGGTGGTGAAAGGGACCGTCACCCACGGAAGAACATTGGAATATAAATACCTCAAAGACAATCTCAATAGGCATGTCATGGATAACACGCCGCAGCTTTCCATGTTTTCTGCGTCCGGAGGTGCCTCCTCCCTGTTTCTTCGACCTCGACGCTTTGGGGCGCTTGGCGATAGGATGATCTCTCGAGTCCGAGGGGCAGCCTTACGAGGCCAATTACCACACGACCAGTTCCATGCATACGTGACGCTCACTGTATTCATCGTCGGCGAGAGTCCGAGCGGACCGAATACGTTTACGGGAGGGCATCGCGGTTGCTGAAAAAGGATGTGAAGATGGTTCATCTTGTTAAATTTTGGGAATACATACACCTCACATTTCTCGTTCGGATTCCATCCTCCACCCCGTCTAGATGTGATTCACAAGTCATCAATACTCAAATTTCAGCGTCTAATATAGCAGATCCGGTATAACTGGCTCGGAATTTGCGACCTAACGCACGCGGTCACCACGGCAGGGAAAACCCCCCTCCTCTCGCGTGGGGATGACGCTTGACCGTCCTGACGCAGCTTCCAAAGCCTGCGCATCCAGGAAGCGAACATGTGCCAACAAACATCGAAATGCCTACTTGCCTTCCGTAGAATGTTTTTGCATATCAAGAACCCTTCTTAAGGGCGCCCAGACTTTTGAGGCAGAAACGAGGTTCAAGTCAGGGCGATTAGGGTCGCACAATTACGTAACATCTCTGTCGGAGAACACCGCCCAAGCGTTACAACGCCTCTCAACGGCACGCGCCGTCCCAACGCTCTCAAGGCTTACTCGATTGTTCGCTTCGAGGCGTTATACTTAACGCTTTTTAACCGTTTCAACGCGTTACAACGGTTTCCAAGCGTTACAAGAATCGACGGGAATTCTCACGTTTGCTTTCCCACACTGTGCCTTCGACGCACTGGTTGCTGGCGTTCCTTCGTTTTTCTTTTGAATATCACAGAGATGTTGTTTTTGAGCGGTCCAACAAGGATGGCTTCTAAGTCATGTATTGTAGTTGGCTGAATTTATTGTGTCATTTCCTTTCCCACTCTAGTACTCACTCGTCGCACAACTCCGATGACTGTCTACGCTTATGGAGTTAGTTGTGATGTTGTTACTAGAGAGGGCCGATCCTGCGTACTAGTGTCTTCAAATACCAGTCGGGCGGTGAACGCGTGAAAGTGCTGCAAAGCTTGAAAATGTGAACAAGGGGGAAGAGGACGGATCAGAACATCGTACCTGACAATGAGACCCACAAGCCTAACAAGACAAACTCCTGCTCTGACCGTGAGACCCAGTGAAATTATGAAAGAGACAGTCAGTCACAACCCGCACTAAAATATACCTCTGGAACTACTTATGTCAATGGGTATTCCTTCAATAACCTGCTGAAGCTTCCCATGCTTTCGCCGACCGGATGCACCTCGCTCCTTCGATGTTGACGCTCTCGGGCACTCTGGGGGGTCACCTTATCGTGCCCTCTCAGCGCATGGCTACCCTTGTACGTATGTGACACTCACTCTATTCACCGTCAGCAAGGGCCTGAGCAGAATGCTACGGTACTGTGCCCTGATTGTGAGGCCATCCCCTTTACGGACACACGTGTGTTGTGTGCGTGTGTGTGCATGTGTTTGGGGAACGAGAAAACAACGCCCAGAGTGTGGGGCTGAAATATATCATGTCAGACCGGGACTGACCCGCTTCAACTGCCATATTCTCATCGCAACCTCAGGAGTAGGAATGATATCTCAGTCAAAACACATTAATCGCCGTCTTGACGACCCCGACTTGAAGAAAGTACACGTACCAAAACACGGATATCTGAGGCAAACTGAGGTCTGGAGGACCCCTGCATTGTAGGAAACAAGCACGATTGCGATATGGTATATGCAATGCTATCCAATCAGACCGAGAGTCCTGAAAGCCGAAAACAACCGAAGAGGTCATGAGTATAAACTCAAGCGCCGCCGGGTCAATAAAGCAGCTCTTCCACCCATTCAGTGGACATCGTAGTCTGCCTGACCACGAATAAGCCAGGATTGTAGAAGAGGCAGGGTTCATTGTGTGATAACTGCGCAGCGCGATACCTCAATTAGTTAGGTATGAGTAGTGATGGACGGACTTGCCTGCGCAGCGCGATACCTCAATTAGTGAGGTATCAGCTGCTAGCGCAAGTCCGGTCCTTATATACATCTTGTAATGACTCTACGCCACTGAGGTGAAACATAAATGGTAAACAACAAGTTGAAAACAAAAGCGCAAAGCGCAAAAACAAAGAGTCTAAGAGGTTGCCGCCGTTTGTGCCTCAAAGCGCCCCTCCCCTTCCCAAAGCGTGAATGTCCGGCCCGGGTGACTTCCTTGACCACCAGTGGCGTTGGGCTGCAACTTCTAACACATTGATATAGCATGAAGGAAACACCGAAATATGTCAAACATCATATCGATTTCTAGGATCGACAGGCAACCATATTTCCGATCCATCCTGTTCCAGTACATTGCCTGGCCCATCAACCTGTGATTGGACACTGATTCATGATAGCTGGTCGATACAGGGACGCATGGGATGAGAGGTAACCAACTATTGGTTGATGATAAGCGTACACTGCCATGCACTGCGATCCGGTCAACTAATGCGAAGAGGACCACAATGACGCAGGAAAAACGTTCTAGAAACTTAAGCAGGTGATCAGCTTCTATTGCTAGGAAACAAGGTTCAAAGGCCCTCAGGTATGGCGATCAATCAAACCGTATGGTTACGCGGATTTGGTTGTGGAAGTCAGGAATCATACTAAATTACCAGCTCTCTGGATCGAACTTCCCCTATCACTCCCAGATCTACATCTAATGCAGATCGAGAATCGTTATGGCGCACGCACGTTCGTGAACACGACAGCGATAAAACTTGCGAAGTTGAACAGCTATTCAGGCGGATATTAACCCCGTGGATCTAGAACCAATATTTTGTTTCTGAAAAGCGTATAGCCCTGATGTCCAATAGTCACTGGGTAACTTGACTAAAAATGTTATGAAGACGAGGTGATGAGTGTCTTCCAAGTAAGGGAATACGAATCCCTGTCGGAAAGCAATCGGGTCGGGAAGCCCGAAGTGTCCATGTGTCAAATCCCAGGACTAAGAAGCCTAAGGAACAATGCACAAAATCAACGCGACACACTTTATGGAAAATTTCCCCAGAGGTGTTCTACGCAGAACATCACAACATGGGACTAGGCTCTGATGTTGGTAGGTCATGAGGTTTCCAATACGATGTGTGAGAGCCGAACCAAGAATGGAAGCGCTCTGATGAACGGCGCAATCACCAAAGCCCCCTGCAGCTGGATTAGGTCCATCATACGACGAGGACAGCCTTAGCGGTCGACGCGGTTCAAGCCACCGCATTTCGTTGCACCGGGTACCTGCACAACCTCATGTGCTTCAAAGCACCCCTATCGAACCAACTAATCACGTGCGAGTATACGTCAATAATTTGCGTCAAACCTCAGCGTCAAACGGCCGAGAAAGCCACGAGTCGTTGCGCGCGACAATTTCAGAGACCAACAGTGAACCAAGGGAGCGCACGTTCGAAACTAATGCCTCCTCAAGTATCATTGAACCTGACTGGAGAGAGTCAGTTGCCTCGTGCTGAACGCCAGTATGTATTGTTCTGCTAATCACACGTCCCTCGTACAAATCATCACAACTTACGCCTCAAACCTATTCCCAGGTAGGGCAGGTAACGTAAAGCATGCACATTAGCCGTGCGAGTCACAGCTATTTCAGATTAGAGCCACAAATGGAGTGATCGACGAACCGTCATTGGGACTGAAGTCCCATATTCGTACGACTCTAGCACTGCAAGAAGATCGCTTGAGGGCATGAGGCCTCGGGACAGTGATAGCACTGATGGGTCACCAGGCCAATTCCAGCACCAGCATCAGAGAGATCCTCGCACGTTCGAATGACGTGAAAGATGAATCGATCTCCTGGCCAATACATACAGCCATCCGCAGCCCAGCGCTAGCTGTGCTGCATGGATCAAGGGTCGCAATCTAAAGACTGGGTCACGAGTGATTTTAGAAAAAATCCGCCTATTGGGCGGCAGTTGTATTAAGATAAGATAAAGGTCGAGGCCAAAACTCATTCTAGGACTAGATCCCCAAGGCTGAACCCCCAAAAAGACGTTCATGGCGGAGATGAGTGGGCGTCAGATTACAAGGTCACGCATCCTTGATCATTTTCCCACATCAACGTGAACAATCCGAGTAAGCTCCATCTGGTACTTTCGGGTTGGTTGCTCACGCGCGGAGCCACAGCAGCAAACCCCGACTTGTCGGCTGTCGGGCAGGAATTTCCTTCTCTCACAATCGTAGCCGCATGAGGCTATACACTAGCCGAGAGGGTCTGGGTCCCCCATCACACGAAAATGCGGACTTTTGTTTCTCAGCCTAAGCTTCTTGAGGGCGTCTTCGCAGTCTGGAATCTTGTCTAATCGAAGGCAATCTGCTCAACATGAGTCTAACAATGGGAACTACCAAACATTCTCCTTGGACTTTTCCCAACCGAATTCTATGTCGGGTGAACCCATGTACACGATGTAAGACAGAAGATGTCCAAGGCGGGCCCCCACTCACACGCACATGACCATCGAACTGGCCTGGCGATATACCCGATGATGAGAAGAATTGATTGACTGGCGCGAAGCACACACTGCACATGCGTGCTCTGGCCTCACGAATCCCTCGTTTTTCAGCCTAAAACTTGTCATGGCGGGGGCCCGTACCCGGGGGGTTGAGCTTAGCAGGGGCTTATCTTATTCACGCACAGTGCAGGGGAGGGGCGCTGTGGATATGATCATCGATCCCACATCAGATAAGCACCGATACATATTCCAGGGAACCTG